TCACAGGCAGCTAGGCCCCCGAGGGAGAACACCCCCCCCAACAACATCTATAAAGTCAATGAGATAAAAAAAAATTGATATGAGATGAGATAGTACTACTCCGGGGTATATGTAAAACCAAAAACCAAAACGAAACATTACAAGTCATACTGTCGTTACTCGTGCGCATCATAAGTCGTAAGCACCACCATGAAAAGAACCAGGAAATCCCCCCCCAAACGCCTTCGAACCCAACAACACGTATTATATACAGCAGACACATCCGTCCCACCTCATCGTGCCTCAATTCCTCATCCACTTGAAGATGCCCTTCTTCCTGCCCACCTTCTCGTCAATTACTACAATTGGCACCGCCGTGCGGGCCTCATGGTTCAATCGATCAGCCTCTTCATAGTCCCATGGTGTCGTCCAACTACGTTGTGGAATCTCGCCCAGCTTTGTACTATCAGACGCAAATGTGTACGCCGACGGTGTCATCTTGTCTATGCGGCGCCTGACCGGCAAAGACACCGGTGGTGCGGCCGAGTACTTCTCACTTCGTGCTGATGGCGACGACGTCTTTTGCTGCGGTGCCGTTTGCCTGCGGGGCGCATGTGTGAAGCTTGGGAGCTTAGGTCCAGGGAGATGTAGATGCTCCTGCGCCATGTACGGGTACGCCGAGGAAGTTTGTTTGTCGTCGGGCCATGTTGCCTGCCGTGGATCATGTTGAGTAAAAGAGTCTTTTCTTCGCCTCCCATGGCCTGCAAGTGGTGGCATTGGTGCCCCAAGAACCCCTGCGATGATGCCATTTGTGTCAATCTCGAAAGGCTCTTCAGCAATGTATAGCGGTAGAGGTGATGCTAGAGGCGATGTGTATGCTGAGCTTGATGGCGAGGGTGATTTGGACGACGAGGGACTACGCGAATTGCTCTTCCGCGACGAGGAGGAGGGCCTTGGCCGGACTACGACAAGCTGAGGCTGCCTTGATGACTTGGTTGGCATGCGTGTTATGGTCGGTCCAGTAACACGTTGGCGTGAGCTTGTTTGCTTCTTCTTCTCCTTGCTCGAAGTCGAAGTCGAGGTGCTGCTACTTCTCGCTGAGCAGTCAGCATGTTTATTGCTACCACACTTGGTGCATGATTGGTGGCCAATGTGTTGGATTTGGAGCTGTGATTGGCTTAGTCGCTGATATAACTGGGTCATGCTTTGTAGCGCTTCTTTTCGCGAAGCATCAGACAGGTTGGTGAGTGACTGGTAGTTTATATTGAGGGCCTTTCCGCCTTTTTGATCATGATTTAGAAAGCTAGCAATGATGGCGACGAGGCCGGTATTCAGTTTGACTAGAGTTTCTGCAAGAGAGGCGTGGGCAGTGGCTGTTCACGGCAAGATTAGCACTGTGACATCCATGACAGGTTATCAACCACGACAGAAAGTAAGCAGGCACGTTCCATAGCCTGGAGCTATGCACAATATTAATGGGCCTTGATTGCGAAGACAAGGCCCTGTGCATAGCTTCAGGCTATGGAATGAGCTGCTAGGTACGTGTTGCACCCTGGCCGCTTTCCGTTATAGTTGATAACATGTGGTACTCTTCGCGTTGGGGAGTGCAGCTTACCGTCACCTTTTGCAAAGCTTTGCCCAGTCTGTTTGTAGCACGCATCGTAAGTCTCGGCGAGCTCTTGTGGTCCTCGTTTCAAGGATTTAGACAACTGCTTCTCTTCGCTTGCGGCTGCATCTGCGGGCTGATTCTCTTTGCGGCCCTTGCGCTTGCGCCTTCGTTCGCGTAGCTTTTTGAAGATGTTCAGTCCATTGTAGAACGCGTGAATCAAATTTGAGACACAGTGCTCGACCTCTGCCTCTTCCGCCTTGTGCGACTTCTCTTCGAGTTTAACCGCCATCGCTTAAACGCAGCAAAAATGGGCAATGGAGAGAAGAGGAAGCAGACGGTGAGAGATGGAATCAAAATAGAAAGTGCGTTTTTAGAGCATTATTAGCGAAGACAAGAAAGGCAGAGGAGTCATTCTCAAGCCGTGGTCCGTGGATGCTCGTACTTGACCTCAAGTCCAGTGTAGTCCGCCAGCGCGAGGACCGGGCCTCATGCGTGGCCAACACCCCTAGTCTGTTCCTGCATCTTTCACTGGGTACTACCCATCACCAAAGGGCACCGTTTCAACCTTCCTGCGCGTAGCTGCGTGTAGCCGCCCCGAAGTCGCGTCTTGGACGTCGTCGAGCGTGTGACTGGACGATAGCAACCCGTTATCCTTGCCTAGCGTGGGGCTAGACGGCTCGACAAGCTCCACGCACAAGCTTTCGGGTCGAGGACTCAGAGGGGTGCATCAAACTGCATACCAGCTGTCCACTCTGCGTCCATGGAAGAAGACTTAATACTGCAGCGGTTCGTGGATAGAGCACGGCAAATGCTGCAGCGTCGCTACTGGCGAACACCACAATCGACAGCAATGGTTGGGCACGACGACTTCTACCAAATGCAGGGTGCTATGCAACTACAAATGAACACGCGAACACCATCATGACATGGGCATGGGCAAAGCTGTCCCTGCGCGGGTGAGGTGGGTCTTGCGCCAATTCATGTACACCGCCATCGCCTAAGGAGTCATCTGATTTCCACCCATGCGCCTCGCTATGCTAGAGATAATTGTACAGACTTCATTGTTCATTGTTCGTTGTTCATTGTTCATTGCTCAGGGTCCTCCACGTCTTCCACAGTCACAGTCCGCCTCGTCACGTTTTGCTCCCCCAAACTACTCCCGGCAACTACGGATCCCGAGCTTACAGCCTCGTTTCTCTCAGGAACGTTGCCAAAACTCCAACTCGATGCTAGCGAACTAGGCTCCGCAACCTCTGGTGACGAGCTTGCATGCGGACCCGTGGCGGACGGGCCGGGTGCTGTCGAAGCTGGTGCCGAAGACTCTGGTACTGACGGGTTGGATGCCGAAGAACCTGTCATTGTCGATGAGCTAGGAGGGAGCCTCGAAGTATCCGCACCAGGCGAGGCCTGACTAGGAACTACCTCCGAACGGCTCTCTTGACCTGATCGAGGCGCCAATGCCATAGGTCTCAGAGTCCATCCTTCTGGCAACGTCAAGCCGCTTGGGACACCATCGTCACCCTGCCTTAAGACTGGACCTCGGGAAAAATACGCTTGTGGTGTGAAGGAATTCAGGCTTTGAGCATTGAGAGGCGCAATGGGCGGCAACTCGTGTCCAGTCGCCAACGAGGCCCCGGTCGATTGCTGGATGCGATTGAGCTCACCAAGAAGTCTGTGGACGATCTCGAGCTGCTCGTGTTGCGCATTCAGCTGCCGCAGTGATTCGATAATATTCTGCTGTATGCGCAGGATATCGGACTGAATATCTGCTGGATGCAGAGCAACCGAACCTGGTATCGAACCCATTGCCAGGCTACTCGCTTGGCTTTGCGCAAGGCTTGGGTTGGTATTGCCTGCATTCTGAGCCTGTGCGGCTGGGTTCTGTACAGTGTTGTTCCCTGCTGCCTGCTGGCGCAGCTGATTAACAGCGTCCCTAATATGGTTTGGATTGCCCTGCTGGTCAGCGGGAAGGCGGAGATTTCCCATTGCAATTCGAAAGGGGCCCAAGTTGAACACACGCAGATTGCCTTGGGGCGCATTCGGCTGTCCGGGAGGAGCGGGTTGGTGCGGCTGGCCCTGAGCTCCTCCAGCTCCTTGTGCCGCGTTCCTTTGGAGTAGCGCCTGAAGGTAGTTGTTCGGGCCTTGCTGATTCTGTTGATTCTGTTGATTCTGTGGGTTCGGTTGGTTCGGTTGATTCTGACCCGCCGCATTATTGTGCTGGGTGGCTGGAGTGCCTGTCTGTGCAAGCACCGGCCGTCGACAAGTCGGACATACTTGCTGCCGCTCCAACCAGCTTCTCAGGCAGCTGAAGTGCAGAATGTGGCCACACGGTAGCTTTTTCGCGCGTTGTCGTTCGTCCATCCGTCGGCCCGCTTGGGCGGCGTTCGCATCAGGCTGTGTCCATGGACGCATTTCCTCGCGACAAACAATGCATGTGTTTTCGCGCGCCAATTCTTCAGCTGTTGCGTCTGGATAGCGCGTGTTCATGTCCCGAGTCGCATTCCGATACTGGACGAAGTCGTGGAGTCTCTTGATAAATGAACGAATGGTCATGAATAAGTCCCTCATAATGTGGATCGGGATGCCGTAGAAAGTCATGAGAATCATGAAGAAGCCCAGGTAAACGACTGATTTGATGAAGTCGGTTGCGAGGTCCAAGTAAAAGACCCAGCGGCCTTTCTCCTCCCAGCCAGGAACATCGCCGTCGTCATCATCCTCTTCGACTGCGGGCACATCTGTTCCGTCGGCTGCAGCACGTTGCGTCGCCTGCTCTCGTGCTGTCCGGCGAGCCTCTTCCCTTGCAATTTCTTGCCGGTTTGTGATTGCGAGCTCAATGAGCGAAAGTGCGTATCGAAGTAGCGTGGATATTGAGGCAATCGCCAGGAGGACGTATTCGAAACCAAACATGACCATGACGCCGGGGCGGGAATCCGAGAGAATGGAATTGACGCAGTATTGCATCATGAAGATATCGAAGGCAACGGAGAGGAGCAGGGAGCTCATGAGGCGCGTGTGGAAGAGTTTTGGGCTCGCGGGCGGTTGCTGCTCCAAAAACTCAACTCTGCCCTCACCAATCCACTGCCATACTTTCCCAGCAAGCAGGCAGAGGAACATGGTGAAGAACCATATACCAATGTCATCGCGAAAGATGGTCATAGCCAACAGCGTCTCGCTGACGGCAAACCATGCCTTGTCGTAGAGCTGCTCCGTCTCGATGGGGCGCAGCGGTCCGTAGAAGAGTCGCTGGAGGCCGAATCCAAAGCTCGCTGCGACGATGAGCATCAGGTTGACCAGGAACATCAAAGAGCCGGTGCTCTGTGAGATGTAGACGGCCGCCGAGTAGAAGTTTGGCCGCTCGTAGTATGCTCGTAGAAGCACTACATTGGCCATGACGGCGGAACCCTGCCTCGATTAGCAGGCTGCTGCACCCATCACACACTGCGCGTGTACTTACCGCGACGTAGAGCTTGAGCCGACTCATGGCGCAGAGTTATAGTGTCGCAGCTCAGGTTGGGCTGTCTATGGGCTGTCTATGTCCATCTGCGGCGTTGTTTGTCCGCAAATAGCAAATAGTGGTGATAGGTCAGCGCGCCTCAGTGAACATCTGAACACGTTTACGTGAGAGCACGTGCGCGGACCGGGGATGACGTCGACTGGGGGAGACTGCCAAGCCTCGTCCGGCACACTTCACCTTTGGCTTCAAATGCTCTGGGGCACGATGCATCTTTGCTATTGCGGAATTGCGCCACCGAGCCCATTTGCAGCTCCTGGGGCCGGCCTGTGTCCTGCAGCACTTCGACGCCGGCTTGGGCCACTTGGTCACCACGGGCAGTAGAGTCTCCCACTCGGAGGAATACTCGGTTTCTCTGGGGGCCCCAAAGCCACAACAAGGCCCTTTCTCCGGACTGCCTAGACCAGCCTCATCGACCATGGCCGCCATCTAGTGGAGCCATCACGAAAAACCTGGTTCGTACGCCTGCGCGTTCGCGCGTGGCCTACTTGCCGCGGGCGCGAATTCCGCCATCAGCGATTCGCTTCCAACGTGCCCCAACGTTGATTAACGTAGTCCGATTGCGCAAAAGGCTTCTCCCGGCCTTCCTCGTGGCTTCCATGAGCAAACTCGATAATTTCCGTTGTGGGGAAATCGTGAGGGGTTTGCGGGCTCCTATGGCAAGCTACTGCACCCTGGTCGTGGACATGGTTGACTATACAGGCCCAGATCTTGGGTCTAAGCATGATGGCATCAGTCCTCGATCGGAATGAAGATTTACGGGGCTTCACCCAGCATCTATATAAGGCACCTGCGCTCAATGACTTCTATCTTATCGAACATCAGTCTGCCTCTGTGTTTCCCATAAAGCTATGGTTCGATCATTGTCACTTTTGGGCGTCGTGCTCGGTGCCATCTCGCATGCCAAGGCACAAAATAGTTCGGAGTTCCAACTTCCTGCCGTACTTACAGCCGATTACATCGAAGCGTTGGGCAACAACAGCTTGTTCTTGCGATGGCGCCCGTCTTATCACTTCATATCCCCGGCAGGGTGGATGAATGTTCGTAAAGAAATCTCCCAGCTCTGCTTACGCTAATGTCTCCGATCAGGACCCTTGCGGTATGATGTACGATCCCGCGAAGGATCGGTATCATCTTCACTACCAGTGGCATCCTAACCATGTCAGTTGGGGCAACATCTCTTGGGGACACGCAGTCTCTGACGACTTGATCACCTGGACCGATGTAGGAGGATGGGAGGGTGACCCAAGCCCAATCAGTCGGAAACTGGGCCAAACCCTGATTCCAGGAATAGCTCATACTATGGGCCTGGGTATCTTCAGCGGTTCTGCGCAGCCTTATAATCTGAAAGGAGAACAGGATGGGACTTTGATCAGCTTCTATACTTCCGTCCAACATCTGCCGACGAATTGGGCACTCCCATACATCAAAGGGACCGAAAAACAGAGTATCATTATCTCCAACGACGGTGGCGAGTCATGGGAGCAATACCAAGGCAACCCTATCCTCTCTAGCCCACCAGAGGGTTGGAACGTCACCGGCTGGCGCGATCCTTTCGTCGAACCATGGCCAGAAATGGACGCCATACTAGGACAAGACGAGCCGCACTGGTACATGGCTCTTGGCTCGGGAATAAAGGGCGAGAACGGCGGCGGACGCATTCCATTTTACAGTGCCCCAGCATCAAACTTGACAGACTGGACTTTCTTAGGCGCTCTATGGGAACCTAAACCTAATGAGACTCTTGGATCACTGGTCGAAACAGGAACGTACGGGTTCAATTTTGAAGTGTAAGTCAGCTGCATGAGGCTGTGTTGCACTACTGACCGTACTAGGTCGAACTTCTTCTCCTTGACTGACGAGGATGATGACGTTCACTATTTCACTCTCATGGGTACAGAGGGTGGAAACTTAACTTGGCATCCTCGTGCTCAGTGGGGTTTATGGAATGAGGGAGTAGTCACCAGAAGGGAAAACGGCTCTGCCGAGTTCACTCCTGTTTCTGGTGGTGTCATTGACTCTGGTCTCTCTTACGCAGTAACAAGCTTCCTGGACACTAAGAACAATGCCTCCCGCCGTGTGCAATGGGGTTGGGCAAATGAAGAGAACAACAACTTTGGTCTTCTTCAAGCTGGTTACCAAGGAGCCATGACCCTGCCTCGAGAGATGTACGTCATCAAGACTAAGGACCTTGTGAATTCGGGCGGAGGTTTGACCACGAAAGGCAACACTCGTGTTGTTGAGCATGGCAACGGAACATTCACGGGCTATACTTTGGGGGCTCGCCCGTTGCCTGATGTTATCGAAGGCCTCCGCCAGAGCGGCAGCCGCAAAGACATCAATGTCAACGGTACCTGCACAGGAAGCCGTCTTGCAGGCAACGGAAGCAGTCATATGGAGCTCAAAGTAACACTCAGCAACGCTACTGGTCCAGCTGGTGTGACAATCGCTGCGTCTCCGGGCGGCGAAGAGAAGACAGTCATCTGGTACTCACCGGAAAACTACACAATCAACGTTGATCGTTCGCAGTCATCGACCATCAACGAATTCGCCAACTATACCATGCTCGGATACTTCTATCCATACACTTTTGCCAACGGTACACAAGAGTCCTTACACATGGATATATTCGTCGATGGATCTCTTGTGGAAATCTATGTCAACGTAAGTACACTGTTTGTCCGCTTTCGCCGTGTGTATTAATGATGATTGCAGGACCGGTTCTGGCTCACCACTCGTATATATCCAGCCCGCCTCGACAGTACAGGCTTTGGCGTCTGGGTTGGGGAGAACTCGAGTGTCGTTGCCTCAGATATGACAGCTTGGGACCTAGGAAGTGTGAATGTGTGGCCTGAGCGACCGCGCAATTCAAGCAGTGAGCTCATCTTCGACACGCCAGAGGAGACGAGCGACTATTTGTGGTGGCAGGGCTTTTAAGATGTCGTCTGATCTCGGACTTTTGATACCGATGACCTAGCCGGGCTTACCTCCTAGTCATGTACTACGGGTATACTCGATGCTTCTCGATCCATAGCAAAGGAAATAGGAAATAGAAAATGTATCTTCAAAATGCTTACAAACATCAGATCATGAATTTCCTTGTCCTAGTTATCTTCGAAGCGTCGGGCGCGCATTTCCGTGGCTGCCAGCAGCCACTTACACCTGCGGAATGCAGAGCCCCGCCGGCTTCCCCACCTGGGCGAGCAGCTAGCCCCTCAAGATGCGTCGAGAGCATCACCAACGTCCCGCCAAACCACGTGTAACTCGATTCAAGAAGCCACCGGATAAATTGGCAATTGTACCGCAGAGACGTCAGGATGAGAGTCGGTCTGCAATTGTGGTGGCGGTACATGAAGGAGATAAATAAGATTTCCTGCGCCGAGAATTTGTGTCCTCGTATCACATAACTGTTGCTGAACTAAGCACTATATTCTTACCTACTCGACGCATACTACTCAGACCGGGGTTACTTAGCATGGCGGACGCCGAACAACAACATAAGCTCTCGCAGGAGCAAATCGACCACTTTGTACAGCATGGATGGATCAAGCTTTCAAACTGTTTCACGAGAGAACAAGCCGATGGCCTGCAAAAGAACCTCTGGACTCGCTTGGGTATGGATCCCAACGACAAGTCGACATGGTAAGCTCTATTTCATCACTGCTCGGGAAACATCATCACTGTTCAGAGAAGATGGATTCTGCAGTTAGAGAAAATGTCAAGATAGATGGCAAATTCTCCGGCCCAGCCTGAGCGCATTCAATGGTCGCGAGAGAGCTGTGATTGACTTTCTTCAGGCACACCGAGCGCACAAACATGCCCTTCTTCAACGAGTTCAACGTTTCTGACTTCGCGCCGAAAGCCTGGGCGGGTATCTGCGAATTGCTCGGAGGGTCTGAACGCGTCGACTCGAACGCATCCACATGGAAAGATGGCTTCATCGTCAACCTTGGTACACCAGAAGGCCACAACAAGGTTATCAAACCACAACAACTCCCCGGCTGGCATGTTGACGGCGACTTCTTTGTACACTACCTCGACTCGCCCGAGCAAGGTTTGCTCGTCATCCCACTATGGTCTGACATTGCACCGGGCGGCGGCGGAACTTACATTTGCCCACCCGCTATTGAAACAGTAGCCAGATGGCTTCAAGATAACCCCGAAGGAGTTAGTCCGCGAATGACGCCACGGGCCCAGAACCCAGAGTTTGTGCAAGAGAAGGGACTGAAGTGGTTCAACGACGTTGCTGCAGGCTTCCCAGATGAAGCTTTTGTCGAGGCTACAGGTGTTGTTGGAGACGTTTACCTCCTGCACCCTTTGATGTTGCACTCGGCGTCGAACAACCAGCTCCGTCAGGTGCGCGTAATCACAAATCCACCCGTTTCGGTCAAGGAACCTTTTGTGTTCGACCGGGAAGATGGTGACTACAGTGCCGTGGAGAAGAAGACGTTGGCCGCACTCGGGAAGGAGAGGCTCGAAGGATGGAAGACCAAGGGCGAACGACAAAAGGTCGTGCCGGAACGTGTGAGGATACAGGAAGAGATGAAGAAGAAGGAGGAGGAGAGACTGAGGAAGTTGCAGCAGGGACAAAGTCAGAGTAGTGGACTCGAGTCGGCGGCGCAGGTCAAGACTGCGGCCTAGCACATTGCTTCGAGTCCTTCGAGTATGTCCTGAACGTGGCAAGCCATAAAGAGACATGGTCAAGTGCGCTGAATTGAGTTCGTAGAGAAAGCAAGAGAGACATGAGCTAATCGCATACTGCTTGCTAAGGCGACGTACACACCAAGTTAGTGCACGCGATCGGTATCTGACACCTGGGTAGCCCTGCAATGGTGACAGTTCGGCACCACTGTAAGAGTCTAACACAGTATGGTTCTGTATAAGCACCGTGAACTGAACACCTGGCCTCGCACAGGTAAGGTTTGCTGCACGGGATTAGGTACCGATCCTGAGTGAAGGCGACCAAGGTAGATTTCTATATTAGTAATATGCGATCACCAAGTAGAGCGGCGGAAGCGGCGGACTGCAGCAGCTGGAACGGCGCAGAGGTGGGCACGAGTAAGGCGAGCAATGGCAAGGCGGGCCATGGGCGGTAGATTGGTGTTGTATGTATTTCAGGTAAAGGTGGGTGGCTATGCATAGGTGTCCGCGGTAGGCATGGGCGCGGTGGAGCTCAACGTGGCCAGTAGCCAGCCGCGTGCGGTGGGTGAGAGTGTGGCTGGCTCGTGCGGTAGACCCTAAGTACCCTGTTCTTGGCGCCCGAATGAACACGGTATTCTCAAAGAACTCGCGCCACTACTCGACTTCCATAAGAAGCCCGGCCCCGAATTCCTCTGCCCTCTCTCTACACGCGCAGAGGATCTCAACCGCAGCCTCTTCTAAACCCTCCATAAAAACTGTTGCACACTTCGCCATGAAGTACTCGACTATCTGCGCTGCCTTCCTTGCGGCTGCCGTCACGGCATCCGATGTCAAGCAGCTCAACAAGGACACATTCAAGGCCTTTGTCGAGGAGAACGACCTCGTCCTCGCCGAGTGTAAGTCCCCCGTAACCGCCATACCAGGCACTGCCCTCCCCCGCCATTGCCATTGCTAATTGCCGCCCCAGTCTTCGCGCCATGGTGCGGCCACTGCAAGGCGCTCGCGCCCGAGTACGAGACGGCGGCGACGACGCTGAAGGAAAAGGACATTGCACTGGTCAAGATCGACTGCACTGAGGAGCAGGATCTGTGCCAGGAGTACGGCGTCGAGGGCTACCCCACCCTCAAGGTCTTCCGCGGACCCGAGAACATCTCGCCCTATGGCGGTCAGCGCAAGGCCGACAGCTTGATATCGTACATGACTAAGCAGGCCCTCCCTGCCGTCTCCGACGTCACCAAGGACACCCTCGAGGAGTTCAAGACGGCTGACAAGGTCGTGCTCGTTGCCTACTTTGCCGCCGACGACAAGGCCTCTAACGAGACCTTTACTGAGGTCGCCAATGGCCTCCGCGACAACTTCCTCTTTGGCGCCACCAGCGACGCCGCCCTGGCCAAGGCCGAGGGTGTCTCCCAGCCCGGCCTGGTCCTCTACAAGACCTTCGACGACGGAAAGGACGTCTTCACTGAGAAGTTCGACGCCGAGAACATCAAGGAGTTCGCCAAGGTCGCCTCTACCCCCCTCATCGGTGAGGTTGGCCCCGAGACGTACAGCGGCTACATGGCTGCTGGCATTCCTCTGGCCTACATCTTCGCCGAGACCCAGGAGGAGCGCGACGACTTCGCCAAGCAGCTGAAGCCCCTCGCCCTCAAGCACAAGGGTGCCGTCAACTTCGCCACCATCGACGCCAAGTCGTTCGGCCAGCACGCTGCTAACCTTAACCTCAAGGCTGGCACCTGGCCCGCTTTCGCCATCCAGCGCACCGACAAGAACGAGAAGTTCCCCTACGACCAGGACAAGAAGATCACCGAGAAGGACATTGGCACTTTTGTCGAGGACTTCCTCGCCGGCAAGGTCGAGCCTAGCATCAAGTCTGAGCCCATCCCCGAGTCAAACGACGGCCCCGTCTCTATCATTGTCGCCAAGAACTACCAGGACATCGTCATCGACAACGACAAAGACGTTCTGGTCGAGTTCTACGCCCCGTGGTGCGGTCACTGCAAGGCTCTTGCTCCCAAGTACGAGGAGCTCGGTGAGCTTTACTCTTCCGACGAATTCAAGAAGCTTGTCACCGTCGCCAAGGTTGACGCTACCGCCAACGACGTTCCCGACGAGATCCAGGGCTTCCCCACCATCAAGCTCTTCCCCGCTGGCAAGAAGGACTCACCTGTCGACTACTCTGGCTCGAGGACCATCGAGGACCTTGTCCAGTTCATCAAGGACAACGGCTCCCACAAGGTTGCCGCTGTCTACGAGGAGGCCAAGGAGAAGGTCGCCGAGGCTGCCGAGGAGGCATCCGAGAAGGCCGGCTCCGTCGCTGACGAGGCTACCAAGTCCGCTGGCTCAGCCGCCGACGAGGCCACCAAGTCGGCCAAGTCTGGTGCTGAGAAGGCCACTGACGCTGCAAAGGATGCTGCAAAGGACGCCGCCGCATCTGCATCCTCAGTAGCATCTGAGGCCGCCAAGGCCGCAAAGAGCGCTGTCGATGCCGAGGACCACGATGAGTTGTAAATGCAGACTTGATTGATTTGTTATGGCGCAATGTACCAGTACCCACCATCTTCAGAAATGCTAAGTTCATATATGCTCAGGTATATGATCAAAAGAGACATGATTTACATGGGGGACATGATATGGGGTCCTCTTTCCGAGCGGTTTGGATAGCGACATAGCTTCAACGGGAGTTCCGGTTCATTACTTCACACACAACATTGCCGTTGCCTATCGTGAATCATGCATTGAACCGCTAAATGAACTGTCCCAACCTAAGACGAATCTGCACAGCTTATACCCATAGTGCCCTTTTCCACCCCGATTGAGCTGGGCAGAGTATCATAGACAAGGCATGATTTGTCACCACTAGTCTGCTTTACAAGGGTTGAATCATGTGGTGTTTTAGTGATATTGGTCGCCGAGCTTGAGCGCTAATGGGTATACTTTTAAGTTCGCAAAGTGGCACCAAGAAAAAAAAGACTACAAAAAGAAATGGTGCCAAAAAGAAACTCCATAGACAACAGTGCAGATGATCGGCCAGTCATGCAGGGGCGTCAACAAACTATAATCAAGAAGGGCAGATGCCGGAAAGCATGGTACAGTGTCATATGGGCAAGGTGTGTGCCAATGGAGAGATGGGGGACAAAGTAGAAAGGGACTCGCATGTCGAAGAGAGTGGTTCACAGACCCATTCTTCGTATCATTTCTCGCGAGTCAGCTTCTGATAGCTCGTTGCCATCGATATTGATGCGACCTTCCTCAACTTGGGCAAGATCTGGCTTGACGAGACCGCGGTGAAGATGCTCCAGGAATGACAGTACACGCATCTCAAACGCACGATAAGGATGCCGCGTTTGTGCTGCTTGTATAGCCTGCAATGAAGTCTGCGAAGGTTTCTTGGGCAAGAGCTGCAATAACACTGTTAGTGTGATGTTTGTTCTGACCAATATAGACACATACCTCGTTGATGTACCGCCGCTTGGTGTCAGCCCATCCACGGATCTCCTGGCGTGGGTCACTGTCGTCACAGAAGAGCCGTCGCATGGCTGTGACATCTGAACCTTCCTCTGCCCATCGCGGACCGGGTCGACCGAAGGCGAAGACTGTGTTGAACGTCTCTGGTCCATATGCCCCATTACGGAGATAGTCATCAATCGCGGCTTGCATCATGAATTGTCCAGCCAGGTCCAGCCACTCCGAGGTTGGCACCCAGTCGTCGTCCAAATTTACTCGCGCAGCAGTCAGCTCAATGAAGAGTGGTAATAGACAATGCAACGATGGCGTCCCTGCCATGTCGGTCACCCATCTCCGCTGGTCGCGGGGCATGTTTAGGGCAGAAGCCAAATCGTTTCTGTTCTCGAACAGTGCCCCATCGGACAGCGGGAATTCTTTTTCAAGGTCGAAAGGCTTCTGTAAAGCAGCGGGGTGGTCAGTCCGTTGCTGCCAGTACTCTCCACGGCTCTTGTTCTGGTCACGCAGCTCGGCCAAGGAATCTTCGTTAGTCCAGGTCTCATCGTGTTGAAGGCGATGTGTGAAAATGAGCAAGAACTGAAGCAGCCTTGAGCGGAATGCTGCTGCTGGAGTCAAGCGACGGCCATGGTGCCTGCGAGAGAGAAAGGTCCTCCATTCTGGTGCAGCTTTAGCAGGATTTCTTGGTATCTGTGCCGCCGTGATGCATACCTCCGGTCATAGTGACCAAGGCACTTGGCAGGTCCGAATGAAACGGGTCAGCACTGGCCCTCCATTCAAAGACGATACCGGTGGCTTTGTAGACGAGAAAGTCCAGGATGGTCAAATCGACATCAAACTGCTCCTCGTCTTCGTTGTCCATTCTCCTGGTAAGAACATGCAGACCCTCGATGGGGTCTCCATTGCTGTCGTGGAGACGGTCGAGGGTGTCTCTCAGTTCTTGCTCCAAGTCTCGCATGGTCGGGTGGTGCAAGGAAGCTGTGGCCAACATGGGGACGAGGGGATTATAAGTGGTCAAGATAAGGCACAGGAAGGGCTCCAAGGCTGTGAGGATGTGGCAGCGTCGACGCCGCAATGTAAATGAATGGGAGCGGGCAACGACACAAAGATCGGACGAGGACAGCCAGAGTCAGGATCCCTACGCGAGTGCCACAGCAGATCCAAAGTGAAAAGACGAGATGGGAGAGGCATTAGCTGCTTCCAGCCCACGGTTCATGCAAGCACTAGAGGAGGGCGTGAACGGCAGGGGTGAGTAGACAGCTGCAGGGATAGCGCAAGCGAGGGCTAAGGTTGAGTTCAAACAGCTTGGAACAATTGTCTTGCGTGGTGTCCCCACCCATTGGGCGCGTGGGACGGGAGGGAACGACGGACAGGGAGAGGGAAGGAGCGGGCGCAGGTGGCAGTGTCGGAGGGCTGACACGGCGGCGCAGCTTCCGCAGATAATTTCTCCGTACGCGAGCGCATGTTTACTTCACCATCGCACCAGCGCACCAGCGCACCAGCGCACCAGCGCACCATGGTTCCTGGGCCCGGTGCCGGTGCTGCAGGACTGCAAACAGCGCCTAGAGCCTAGAGCCTAGCGAGCTGGCGGGGCGCTTTCACGGGGGGGCGCGCACGCGGTGCGAGTCCGATCGCCTGCTGCATGGATCTGCGGCACTTCCCACCTGGGCACCTCGCGCTCCCTCACGACGCGGACCCCACCCGCCCTCTTCCTTTCACGCCCTGCAACCTGGAATTGGCACTGGAACATGTGCCCCTCCGCACGCCAGCCGCTGCGCGACCATGCCCATGCTCTGTAAACACTCGTCGCTGTGGCTCTCGTCCTATACCAGCCTCAGCCCGCTCTACTATAGCCAGCTGCCCTCCGCTGCTCCACCTCAATCATGCCGTCATAGACAGAAGCGGTGCTATGCCCACCACGCCCACCTCCCACCGCACCACCCCCAGGACCCCGAGCTGCTGCAGTGGCCCGAGGCCGTCAAGCCGCACAGGACCCCGACGCCGTATCAAATTCTGAAATGTCGCCAGGGCGAGCTGTACACGAAGCAGCGCTTTTATGCGCTCGTGAAGCTGTACCACCCCGACCGATGCCAGGCCTCGCCTATTGCACATCTGCCGCTGCACGTCCGTCTGGAGCGCTACCGCATGCTGGTCGCCGCCCACGATATTCTCTCTGATATGGAGAAGCGCAAGGCATACGACACCTGGGGCCACGGCTGGGCTGGCCACCACCGCACGCCCTCGTCGCCCGCCCGCCAGGAATGGGACTTCGACCGCCGCCGCTGGGCTACGGATCCTCGCAGCAATGCCACCTGGGAGGACTGGGAGCGCTGGCGCCACGACAACGAGGGCGCGCCAGACCCGGACGGCCGGACCATACAGCTATCCAACTTCGCCTTCATGTCGCTCATCTTCGCCTTCATAAGCATCGGCGGCGTCGTGCAGGGCACGCGCTTCAGCACCTTCAACAGCTCCGTCATCGAGCGCCGCGACCAGATACACCGCGAGGCCAGCACCACGCTGCAGCGCAGCCACAATGCCACCATGGGCGGCGACCGGGACGAGCGGATACGGACCTTCCTAGACCACCGGGAAGCGCAACTTGCAGGCGAAGTCTCGTATCAGCGCTTACTCCCGCCGGCAGAAACCTGCGCGCCTGATACAGCACGAAGGCAATAGGACATGAGCGCGTTTTGGCGCATGGGGCCGTCTGTGGTTTTCGGGGATTGCGATTGGATAAGTTTGGGTGCATGGTTTCTTGAGTGCCGGTTATGCTTCGGGATGTATATACTTTACCGCGAGAGGGATCATCCACGATCCTCATGCGCTCTGACGCTACGCAAATTCAACGACATGTCTGCGGGATCTTATTAGAGATTCTGAACCATCACCTGGCGCATCGATATATTGCCCCGCCGATCGATATGTTATCAAGCTCACCATGATGTGCATCCAAACCCAAGCGCCCACCTTATTCTTTGATGCATCGCCCGTCAGCGCGTCTTCCGCAGGGGCGACGCTCTTCACGGCCCCACGTCACAGAAAAGGCCTCAGGCTCCCAGGCCCGAAACCTCAAACCGTTGTTGTTTTCTGCTTGCTCGCGTGTCACGTTTGTGCCACAAGAACAAGTGGAACCCAATCCCGAGAGTCCGAGCCGATGGTTCGCGCGAGTCGTTTCAGCTTGGCAGCAGAACGATTCATGAATTGCACCATATATGTCGCAACATTTATTACTACACCAATAATTCTTGCATGAATGCCACGACGCCCAATTTCAGCCCTCTCCATCCATCACTGGAATGGAAATTTGTCGACCACTTTTTCCGCGGGCTCAACCCTTGAACCCGCCCTTCACGTTATCAAACTGCGAATCCGGGTAGTAGATCCAGTTGGGCTTTGACTCAATGCCCCTTCCGTCCGCCCCGGACATTTCCCTCACGACCTAAGCGTCATGTCAGTGGAATATCTTTTCCGGAGAGCGCTCCGGTGCTTACATTGCTGATGATACTGCCGCTGTCGTTCCGATCACCACTGACTTCCCACCACATGGCACCGCCCAATTTGTTCTGCTTGATGTACTTCACCTTGGCCAGTGCCATGTCAACCGTGTCGTAGCTGACCAGCATTGCGGTCGAATTGTCGTAACTATAGGTGGCGTACGCCTCGCGATCAAAGTACTCGGTAGCACCTTGAAGTGGTAGATCCTTGAAATCGTACACTCCAGCTTCCCAGGTTCCCTTGCCAATGCCATTGTAGGGTTGACCTAACCCAGCTGTATTGGTAAACGCTCGACCGTACAGGGGCATACCAAGATTGATCTTGCTGCTGGGTACACCGGCGCTTATATAGTGCGAAATGACCGAATTGGTGTCGTATGGAGTCGACTTTGGGTTCGATTTGCTGGGTGCAAGGTTAGATGCATGAGCCGTGACGTTATCCCATGACCCGGCATAGTCGTATGCCTGTATGTATCAGCCAATCGCACCCAAGTAGCTGCAGTCACTCACCATTAAATTAACCATGTCCAGCACCTCCGCCATCTCCCGCAGCGGGAGCTTGTTGTAATTGTCAGCACCCGCCGGTGCGGCAATCGACAGCAAGAAGTGCGGACGAGCTTCCTTTGCATAACCTTTGTCTCGTGACAGATCATCCGCATAGGTGTCCAAGGCTTGACGAACCTCCTGCATCAGTGCGAGCCACTCGCGCCCTTGTTCTGTGCTCTGTGGATATTCCCAGTCCACATCAATACCATCGAACCCGTAATTCTTGATCATGTCCACACAGCTGGCCGCAAAGTTCTTCCTCGCCGCTTCACTAGCGCCCACAGGATCCAGATTCTTCTTCGTGTTCGTGTAAGTCCAGCCACCGATACTAAGGAGGACCTTGAGGTTGCGATTCTTCTGTTTGAGCAGACCGAGTTGCTTAAAGGATCCGTAAACATTCTTCCCAGTGTCAGACCAGGAATCGCCTGGAAGATGAATCTCTGTATCGGCATAGCTATCACTCAAAGTAATGTTACCATCAGGGGTGTTGTCAGCGAAGGCGTAGAGGAGATGCGTCAGCTTTGACGCAGGAACCTGCTGCGGAAAGTATTTGCGCGCGTAAATGTCCTGTCGGCAGACGGTCAGAATGAGTTTGCAACATTCGAGACACGATGCTTTACCCAGTTCCCAAAGTACGCCACTGCTCGGTAGCCATTACGATCATCAACATCCGGGTTTGGGTATGCCACACTGCTTGCTTTTGAGGCGGCACTGGAGCGAACCGTAGATGATGCCCTGGATGGTGTGCTGGCGACATTTTTGGTAGGAGTGGACTGGCTGATTATCAATCATAAGGACAGAAGAGCGACCACTGCAACTTACCAGAGCCACCTTCGGAGTGCCAAAGGTTAATGACTGTCGAGCCGGAGGTGCGATAGGCCTACTACTGGCACCAATCGCGCTACTGCTACTAGGTAGAGGAACATCATTGTAGTCGGGAAGACCCTACATGGAAGTTAGTAAGCATATGTATTAGGCGACGGATATCTTGGGAGCGATCTTACGAGAAACTTTGTCAAATATTGGACATGCTTCACCAACGCATCAAGTCTTTGCTTGGTAATGCACTGCCAACTGTTGCATGTTTCGGTAGACGTCTGAGCCAGCACGACAGGCGAAAGAAGAACGAGCAACAAAAAGAACCACCGAAGTCTCAAAGCGTGCTAGTAACCCGTGTTAGCGCAGATGTAATGTCAACTTCATCGCTTGTACTCACCAACATATTCCCTACTTCTCAGGAACGCGACTTGACGAATTAAAACGAGCGACGATGCAATCAACGCGCGCACCAGACTCAATGTCCTCGTTCCATGCGACCATACCCTTCATTTTAAAGCCCGGCAACCTCTCCCTTGGGCGCCGTTGGTCTCTCATCCCTTGGACAGTCGCAAGTGTCATTCCGCCCAGAGCAGGTTGTCGAGTCGAAGCACGGGTCTATTATCATTCCTGAGTCGGTCTCACCGTAAGCGGAAGCGGGTCTCGGTAATGCGTGACCGGATATAGAGGCTGGGCTGCGGCTGGTCGACGCGTTGTACCACGTTTCGTTGCTAAATGCATACACTGGAAGAGGTGGAGAAAACACTCGGACGATCGTATGCGGCTCTGTGAGACTTGATGTGGTAGCTGAGTGACGGGGTCAGTTGTGACAATATTTGATTGCGCCTCCCGGAATGGATAGTTGAGAGACTGGGCAACGCCACGCTGAGGAGTAGAATGGCTCGTTTGGAGGTGATAGATCACGCCGAATGCTAGGCCCAGTGTTTCTTGCCGCAAATGAGAGGACCGATGACACTGGCTGATGCTGACAGGTCCCTAGAAGTGGCATCGACAGCCTCCTTGCGCCATAAGAGAGAGAGAGCATACGCGGCACGAGGACTGCTGACGCGGATTGCGCTAACTACTACATCCACATTGTAGACGAACTATTCGAGACGCAGCAGCAGCACACTGAGGTGCGACAGCCCGTAGAGAGATAGACAAGTGCTGGAGAAGGCGAGTGTACCGTTTGCCAGTCCATTTACATGGAATCGGGACAACACGCACGTGGATCTGAGACCTGCAAGGATGCGCATTGAAGTTTACCCAGACAGTGCCGCACAGAGAAGAACTAAGAGACGGACTTCTGGTCTTAACAGAGTTGCATCTTGGCCGGATGCGACTGCAGAAGCGCGGCATGTTTTCTGTGTCCCTAGAAATATCACTGCGAACCGAAACGGACTCAATTCAGGAACATGGTAGCTGAGCCACTACCTAGGTATCAAGATTCCGTTCGTCACATGTACTTGAGAGGGGATTGGTATACACATCGAAGCTACTTACTCGAAGGGTGGGCATCATGACTCTGTTTGAACGCTGTAGTCCCACCCTGGTGGAAACAGAGTATATTCAGGCAGCTATGGCGATATCTCTATTTGATACAAGCAGTATGCCCAGAGGCAGTGTATTCTAGTCAGCGGAGCGGCATGAAGGTACGTAGAGGTGCTATAAGAACGCATCACAGCCTAACCTTTCTCCCGGGCTGCATAGGAGGAAACATATATTGATCATAGAATATGTCATCACCGACCGACTGATCACTTATACTATCTCTCAAGATGCAGGAAAAGCGAAATTCAGCAGCTTCATAAATTTACATGCAAAACTGGAGTCCTAGCGCCTGTGCAGACAATTGTACTTTAGTCTACATATTCTAAGAAAAGTGAAAAGACTGCCCGGGATGATTCGCGACTTTGTCTCATCGTATTTCTTGTAGCATCTTTAGACTGTTACCGTAGCCTGGCAGCAGTAGTTATATTTCGCTTCTTCTGCAACTCGAGAGACTGTCCCTGCGTACATGGGCAGCGTTCATGATGCTATCGGCGAAGACTATTTTCCGGCAACGCTGATTGGCTCACAAGCTTAGCCCCTCCAAAAAAAGTGTCGCTGCAAAGAGTGACATTCCAATATCGCACAAAGATATTGCTTTCACCAAAATGCCGCCTTACGACAGTGAATCTTCCGATGAGGGCGAAGAGTACACCGAAACGAACGTCTTGCTAGGCTACGCGACAGAAGATGCGACTGGAGACGCCGTGTCGCATCTTGGAGGCGCACCCGTACAGCTTTCACACCCCACTTCTACGTCTAGGACTAATAGTGGTTTTGTAGTCATGGCTCGACGATAAGACAGCTCCCTCTGGTGTAACGGCCAAGTGTAAAGTATGCAACGGCCTGTTGAGCCTGCTCCTCCAACTCGACGGCGACCTGCCACAACACTTCCCTGGACACCAACGCCGACTGTATATCTGGACTTGCCGAAGGAAGACTTGTAGGCGGAAGGAAGGTAGCGTACGGGGAATAAGAGGCGTGCGCATCGCCAAGGGTGCAAGTGCTAAGGTACAATCGAAGGCGGAGAAGCCCAAGGTCGAAAAAGAAGAAACGTCGCAGCCTAAGATTGGCGAATCGCTATTCGGAGTGAAGAATGGAGCAAGCACGAGCGCACCTGCTAACCCATTTTCGAATCCTTTCTCGTCCAACACGGCCGGCAATGCTCCTGCGAATCCGTTCTCGTCCGCAGGGTCAAGCCCTGGCCCCCTTGTCGCCGCTCCGCCTGCGGTCAAAGTCACCTCCGAAGAGAACACAGATGAAGCGAGCTCGACACTCCCGGAGACGTTCGCTTCCAAGGTTCGGTTATCATCGCCACCCACAGACCAGCCCGCTCGCCCACACGAACCATGGCCACCCGAGTCTGCATTCGTGGACGCATTTCCTCGCTACCACCTAGATGCCGAGTATGAAACCCTCGATGTGCCGTCAGCACCGCAGATACCAGATAACGCGCGCATGGATGTAGATGCTGAAGGCAACGGGAGCGGTGGTGGCAAAGAGGACAAGGAGGTTTTCGAGAGCTCCATCGATAAGACATTCCAGAAGTTTGCAGATCGCCTTGGGCAGAACCCCGAGCAGGTGTTGCGATATGAGTTCAAAGGCAAGCCGCTGCTCTACAGCGACGCCGACGCTATTGGAAAACTTATTGCATCACACTCTGAGAACGCATCTTCGTCCAACACCAAAATCACAACTGCGGGCTCAAGAAGTGGGTCAGGATTCCCTCGCTGTCAGAATTGTGGCGCGGACAGAGTATTCGAAGTTCAATTAACACCTCATGCCATTACAGAGCTTGAAGCAGAAGATATGAGTGTTGATGGGATGGAATGGGGCACCATCATCCTGGGTGTTTGCAGCAAAGATTGCAAACCAAGGGACGTCGAGGAGGGCGAGGTGGGCTATATCGAGGAGTGGGTCGGTGTACAATGGGAGGAGATGAACTCTAAGCGATAAAGTCAAAATCGAGTCCATGATAATCTGTCCGGACCGCACGATTGAGACTATTTTTGTCGCTCATGTGGGATGTACGCTGCTCTTCGGCATCTATCATCAAATTCCTTTCATTCTTGTCAACTCGCTTCTTCCTGGATAGCACTGTTGGTGTTTTCAACCTGAAAATAATGGCTTCATACTACATTTCCAGTCATTCAAACCTTCTTCGGTATTTGTCTTCAAGTGATCGTGCGAGCTGCCGGCGACCCTTGGACATGTGGAGATATGAATTACAATGTCCCGTCCCTCGTCGGAGTCGAGAAGCATCGGGCAGACACGCTAGCTGAAGGCACGTGCTTTGCGCTAGTTGGGCCTCACCTGCGACACAACCACTACGCAACTTTCTAAACTTATACTGCGCATTCATCATGGCGGACACGGCGCAGCAGCTCGAAGCTTGCAAAGCCGCAGCTCAGGTATGCGGCCCACACAATTGCACCGCTTAACACATCTAGTCCCACTATGATTGCGAAGCGCTGCTAATGCCTGTTGCAGCAGTATCGCTCGCAGCTGCAGTTTGCCACAAATAAAGATGATGCTCTTACTTCAGCTATCAATGCGGCGGAAAGCCTCATGAAGGCAATGAAGCTGTCGTCAGACCCCACTGAGAAGAAGCTTCTGAAGACGCAGTGCAGCGACATCATGAACACTGCTGGTCGCATCAAAAGCGACACGAACTGGAATCCTGCAAACGAGTTTCAGAGATCAGGGTCAGAAAAGGTGGATATTGGCCAATGGGCAGCGGAAGTTGATTCTGCCCAATCCATCTCAAGCGGCTTAGAAGACACTGCTTCACTACCAACGGCTGCGCCCGTCGACAGTGTCAGCATTCCTTCAGGTAAAACAGAATTTGCTATCATGTCAGCTAGCGGTGGAGGGAAGGATAAGATAAGTTGTGGAACAGGTGGTGGAACAGGTTCAGGTTACTCTAGAAGGGAGCCGCAAATGGGGCCCTCAACATTGCTCAGTGATCCTCTAGATGGCCAAATTCCGTCCCTGACAGACTTTGAATCAAAAGCGCATACTAATACTCGACACGAAGATAAACCGAAATCGATACCTGCTCTAGGCTTATCACCACTGCGAAACCCATCAGTGAATGCCTTAGGTTCAAGAGCGCAGCTTAAAGCCCCGGCTTCGATGTCGCCGTCGATGTCGTCGTATTCGCGTATACATCGCCTTGCAGAGCCCAGTTCGACCAGAAAGCGATCTACAAGAGAAGATATCATTCTGCTCAAAGCCTCGATGGTCAACGGGTTCAAATGCCCGCCATGGGACAGACTCCCATTACCAAGCGAGTTCGTGGCACAGAACGATACCGAAATTTTCGTGTGAGTTGACTCCCGTGTTCCTTTACCTCAGTTTTAATAATGACAGCGATATCCATGACTTGAGCCTTTCCTCGTATCAACAGCAGTTCTTCAAAGGCTGGGTCCGTGCCGAAAATGCGATTCCTCCGCCTGCTACATCTCAGGGCAACAGGAACGGTATGGGGCCATTGATGTCTAGCTCACGAACGATCGATCTTGTTCAAGATGCAGCATCCGATTGCTCAGTGGTGACAAGCCTGTGCGCTGCTATCGCTCGAGCCGAACGCGGCCATGATCAGGTTAGAGTTGTCAAGCAGCAAGGGGGACTCCATTCAAACTAATGTTCGCAGATGCTCACAAACAAACTTTATCCTTTCGACAAGCAGCTTGGTAGACCAGTGACGTCAAGCAATGGGAAATACATTGTGCGGCTTAACTTCAACGGCTGTTGGAGGAAGGTGGTGATAGATGATCGCTTGCCAGTGTCCAGCACACATCGTCTGCTACATGTTATCGACCGACGCAATCCTGCACTACTATGGCCCGCACTACTTGAGAAGGCATATCTTAAGGTTCGCGGTGGCTATGATTTCCCTGGAAGTAACTCTTGCAGTGATCTATGGACTTTGACGGGGTGGATACCGGAGCAGGTTTTCTTGCAGGAGTAAGTTTACCATTTACAAACAGTGCCAGTGAGCTAACATATCCTCCAGGACGGATACAGTCCCTGGACAGCTTTGGAGTCGCATCTACAACGCATTCTTATATGGAGACGTGCTTGTTACTGCAGGAACTGGAAGGATGTCAAGCCGCCAGGAGCGAGAGCTTGGTCTTGAAGGGCAGCACAGCTATGTCGTACTAGACATGAAGGAGACTGACCACGATCGCCTTCTGCTTGTCAAAAACCCATGGGTGGAAGGTAGAGGCTGGAGAGGTCCCCGCCCGTCAGCCATCACAGTCCTCGATTCGTCCACTTCCAGTGGTGGCTCCGGGAGCAGCCTCGAGGCCTATCACCGAGATAGTGTCCCAACCCAAGATCGACCACACCCTACCACTTTCTGGATCGGACTTCAGCAAGTCATACAGCACTTCGAGAGCTTGTATCTGAATTGGAACCCAGGTCTGTTCAAGTATCGCCAGGACATCCATTTTGAATGGAACATTGAGTCGCAAAAATCACTGGGCGGTTGCATCATCAAGCATCCACAGTTCGCATTCTCTGCAAAAAGCTCCGATACTGTCTGGTTCCTGCTGAGTCGGCATTTTCGTGACGTGACAGCGGAGACCAAGGATGAGTCCGACGCCTTCAATGACGGAAGCGTCAGACCGGACTCCCAAGTCGACTCGTCTGGTGAGCATCCAAAAGGGTACACGAGCATCTACGTCTGCAACGGTCAAGGTGAACGGATATACATCAAAGAGACATACCTGGAGTCTAGTGATTATGTTACAACACCTCAGTGCCTCCTTCGCTGGGATGCGGAAGCCAACGCTACCTACACTGTGGTGGTCGACCAGGACGAATTACCACCGTCACTCTACACGTTCTCTCTGTCCGCATTCTCCAACTCCCAGATTTCTCTCGAGCCAGCAATGCGGCAGTATCCTATAGAGAAGGCTGAAGAGGGGGCTTGGACAAGGCAGTCTGCTGGAGGGAGTACAAGCTCGCCGCGTTATTTTGAAAACCCGCAGTACTCACTCGAAGTTCGTGAGCGAGGCTCGCTGGCAATACTCCTCACAAGCGACCACGAGCATCCACTACACGTCAAGCTTGCACTTGGCCATGGCAAGCGGATTTACCAACTGCAGAGTCGAGACGTGCTCGCAGATTCAGGAAATCATCGCATCGGATGTGTATTTGCGGAGATGAAGGACCTTCAACCAGGATTATACACGATCATTTGTTCGCTGTTTGAAGCTGGACAGACAGGTGGCTATACCCTGAAAGTGGACAGCACCACCGATGTGGTTCTCAAGCAGATACCACGCGATGGTGCAGGGCTGTTGTCGATGAAGCTCGCGCCTGCCTGCTTTGGTTCCCAGATTCACAAGATCGCTGCGCCTTTCCATCCTTATCGCCTTGCCTCGTACACGATCGTCACGAGATTTGTGAGAGCGACAAGCCCGCGGTCGAATGACTTGGGCATGTTGGCGCGGAGCCCGCTGCGCTTCAGTGTCGAGCTTGGTCGAGGCCCCGAGCGCAAGTTCGTCATTGCGAGTGGAAAAGGAGATTACTCAGATGCAGCGATAGTCCGGTCCGAGAGCGTGAACATTGATCCAACTATGGCTCGACAAGGAGACCTGTACTTGGTCCTTGACCGGCTGTCTCGACCTGGTGGCCCCGTGGAAGAATGGTATGACGTGGAGGTCTTCACGGATGCGCCACAAGCATGCGCGATTGGTGTTTGGCGAGAGTGGGATGATTGAACTTGGATGTGCTGCTCATATGGGGTTGGGAATGAGATGGCGTTTAGGAGATGTGATACCCAAGGTCATCTGTTGCGGCGCATGGCAAGCACGGTGGCGCTGTTTGCTGTTTGGGGAATGTTTGGCGGCCTGTTGCATGACCAGATAGCACCCGCGGGACTAGTCCTATGCACCCATGACATATGCTGCGAAAGGAAGCAATGAGAGTATTGTGTGTAAAGGTGTGGATGGCCACATGACGCTACGTGGGCAAAGTCCCAGTGGTAGGGATGGAGGTGGGCGGTGAAGTTCAAGCCAATCAAGGCGGCACGAGTGATGTTGTTGCATGCTCCGGCCGCGACCAGCATGTTGAGCTTCTGGAGACGATAACGGCGCGCGCTAAGTAGCAAAAAACCCCAGGTGAAAGAAAAAGAGGCGCTTCCGCACGCCTTTTGCTCAACGGTGCCGGGCTTTCCTTGTCGTCTCAACCTCCTTGTGGCTTGTAGGCTTGTAGGCTTGTACCCCGCGATAAGAGGCTATCGGCATCACGACGTCAGAGCTTTCCCCATCACTCCAAACTCAGGCGCGCCAAGCTGAGACGGTTTGAAGCGCACTGCCACACTTCACTACGACATCACTGCTAGTCCTGGGAGTCTGACCAGGGACCAACATCGTCTTCTCCTTCATCTTCTCCATCTTGCAAGAGCAGCACATGCCAACGACCATGGCGGATCTATCCGCAGAGAACGCCCGCCCGGGTTCCAACGCAGCTTCGGCGCTCAACTCGAAAGATACGTCACGGGCCGCCACACCGTCGAACGCGCCCGCCGAGAAGGCCCCCGAGGATGGCTCCAAGTTCAAGACGCTCCTGGGCATCTTGAGGAAGTAAGCTGCTCTGTGCTGCCCGTCCCCGGTGGCCTGCCGCCTCAGACTCGGAAGCAGAAGCTAACGCGGTTTGTGATGCAGGTTCATAGGCGTCTCCGACCTCGCGGCCGTTCGATTCTCCCTCCCCGCCCAGCTCCTGGAACCAAGACCAAACTTGGGTATGTTTGCCACTGGCGGTGTCTGCAGTCTGCAGTCGATACAAGCATGTCGCGCTCGGGGAGACTTGGTCTGACGGATAGCAGAGTACTGGCACTATCTGGACAGGCCAGACACGTTCATCAGGTCAGTAGAGCTGGACGAGGCGGGTGGTCCAAAAGCCTGGATGCTGACTGGCGTAGCATTGGAGACTCGGACGAGGACCTGGGGCGCATGCTGGGCTGCTTGCGCTTCTGGTTCACCAAGGACCTGGTAGGCTGCACCAAGCATGAGCATGCAAGGGACCACGGCGCTGACCCGCTGCCAGAAATACGTCAAGGGCAAGCCCTGCAAGCCATACAACTCGACCCTGGGCGAGTTCTTCAGGGTACGTGCTACGTGACAGCCTCGGCCCAAGGCTGCTGGACCGACGACTGACTCCTGCAGTGTAACTGGAAGATCGAAGACAGCCACCCCACGCTCAAGACGCCGACCTCGGCACCCTCGAGTAGCGCGAACAGCGTCGCTGGCGACAACAAGCCTGTCACCGTCTCGTACCTCACCGAACAAACCTCGCACCACCCTCCCGTCTCCGCTTTCTACGTCGATTGCCCGGAGAAGGGCATCAGCGCAAGAGGCTACGACCAGCTCAGCGCCAAGTTCACCGGCACGAGCGTGCGCGTCGTCGCTGGAGCACACAATCTAGGCATCTTCATCACGCTGAAGAACAGGGACAATGAGGAGTACCAGCTGACCCATCCGGCAGCCTATTTGGGCGGTCTGCTGCGAGGTGTGTACCAACCAGCATACAGGTACCGTCTGCTAACCAAGGCCAGGCTCTCTCAGTGTATCCGTTGCCGACTCCTGCTACATCACCTGCCCCAAGACAGGCCTGAAGGTCATTCTCGAATACCTCGAGGAGGGCTGGCTCGGACGGACACAGAACAAGGTCCAAGGCGTCATCTTCAAATACGACCCCAAGAACGATAACATCGTCAAGATCAAGGACGTGCCAGAAAAAGAAGTCCTTGCGCGCATAGAAGGCAACTGGCAAGACAAGGTGTACTACACCCTCGGCAGCAAGCCGTTCGCCAAGGTGGCCGTGCGTATCCCGAAATACTGAATCAACTGGCCCACACTGACATGGAGCAGGAGAAGAACCTGATTATCGACCTCAATCCCCTGGACCCGATCCCCAAGGTCGTCCCACCACTTGAGGAGCAACTGCCCAACGAATCGCTCAAGTTCTGGGATGCTGTTACACAGGCCATAGTAGGCCGACAGTATTCGCTCGCCACCAACCTCAAGACTGAGATCGAAGAGAAGCAAAGACAGAAGGCTGCTGAGAGAAAGACGTCCAACACTGAGTGGAAACCAAGATTCTTTACCGGTGCCGTGACACCCGTAGGTCGGCCAGACCTTACCGCCGATGGAGAAGCAGCACTCAAGGGTTTACACTCCGAGCAATACCAACTCGAGCCGAATAAGGAATATGGGGCATTCTAAGCACATTTACTTGATAGATCTTTCGACACTCGACAACTGGCCTAGACCTTCGTTGGGATATCCAGTACATTACTGCGGAGACGAGGTCCGTGACACCTTCATTTAGCATCTGCTGCATGTTTTGTTGGGTAAGGGGGCATGGCCGTTATGGCGTCTGATGCTTAATTTTACTGGGGATCGCGCACTACATGTATCGTCTTGTCTGCATATGCGTCTTTGCAACCAAATAGATATCACACTTGAGCTAGCCTACGGGCAGCCTACCGCCATTGTTGGAGTATCCGAACTACTTTCAAGAGCCAAAGCGTCACTAGATCCAAAGCAACACCGATCACATTATCCAAGGCAAACGTTCTTGGGGTTAGAGAGAATGTGGTGCTGCTGTTGGAAAGCTCACGAACACGTTGCTAAGACTAGCTTATTTGAGAATAAGTTGCAACACCTTTGAACATCCACACTGCCGCATAATCACCTGTCGTCCAAATAGAATGGTTTGCATTTTGCTTATGCCTACTGTTTCTCTGTCCTCGACTCAACTCGTTGCACCTTTCTCTCCTTTGCATCATCTCTTCTCTTCGTCCACCCACTCCCATCCACCCGATTCTACCTACCAAGAAGAACCTGCCGATATCTTTCTCCTACGGCATGTTGCATCCAAGTCAGTATTTCGTCGCTCTTGCTCACGCCAAAACTCCGGAAAATCATCCTCTTCTGAACCTCTCTCGTATTGCTCTCGCAACAGGGCATATAACTTGGAGCTGGCCTGTCGGTACTTTGCAGATGCGGTGGCCAGTTTACTTTCCTTTCTGATCAATTCACCGTCTGCTTTCTCGAGTTCGATCTGCGCGGCCTCGATACGGTCAGGTGATGTGTGGAACGTGGAAGGATAGCGAGCGGAGCTATAGGAGAGCAGAGGTGGCGTGTAGCGACCGAAGTCTTCATCGGTGTTTTCCGCGGCTTTTTCAGTTGATAAGAACCGCTTGGGCCTGGGAATTCTGCATGCATTCTGTGTCGTGGCGGGCTTCTTGGACTTGGCTCTCTTCGCGGCGCACCCAGCGTCTGGTGTGGTATTGTCATGCCAAATAGCATTACTAGGTCCGCTGACTTCGACTTGACGAATCATTCTGTCAAGCGCCTCAAGATCACGACTCAGCTCTGAATCAATCTCGTCAAAGCTGTCCCCGCCCTCGCAACTGCCGGTCCACGAGCATGTTGGACACTTCTCCTTCCCCTGGTAGTCATTAAACGGCACTAGACTCCACCATATATTTTCAGTCTCGATTGCCTTTCCATCCTCGTTCGTGAGTCGGCGAAGGTGGTCCTCTTCTACCTGTCGACTCCCGCCATGTTCCTCCCGCTGGTGGCGATCCTCAGGACGGGGGCTGGAGAATGATGCGATTCGTTCAGCAACTGGGTGACTGGTAGGACGACGGGACCAAAGATCCGAAGCTTGAACGGAACATCTCGCAGCCTGGGTCGGCAGCTGCTGAACAATGATGCGCGGCAGAGCCGGTAGCGAAGAAAACTGCTCACAACTGCAAACGCTTCCCAGGTCAGAGGGCATTTCCGAGTCATAGTCTTCACACGGGCGCTTGTATGAGTTCTCACTTTTGACTCTCGCTTGATTGGAAGTGTTGTGACGATTTTCAGGGATGTGGTAGGCGCAGGCGCAGGTGCATGTTTCGATGTGGTGGCTGGACATGTTGCTAGGTAGAGGGTTGTAGTAGATTGTTGGTTGGCTTTGTATGAATAGCTGATGCTGGAGATGATGTGTATTGAAGACGGGGAGAGTAAGACCAAGATGGGTTGCTTATATGCTGATGCTAACGTGAAGCGCGGGGCATGTGAAGAACGGGATGATGTGAAGAAGCAGGTCGATCGTAGCATTCGACGTGTGTATGGAATTCGAAGTATTTACTTCACATAACGCATGCGATCGTTACATGCAATCGGATGGCTGTCACCAGAAGGTACTTGACTACCTTGACTTGTAAAACACGCAATCGTAGCAGATCTGGTGATTGCACTGGAACCTCTCACCGACACTTTATTTGCTTGATTTAGGATACCTTAGACCTCCTGGAGTTGTGTGTTTATATAATTTGCATGGGTTTTCCAAATATCAACATGGTGGAACAGTCTGAAAGTGTTGCTTGAGTCCTCCTTGATCTGCAATTGACGAAATGAAGGAGGACCCTCTCTCGGTGAGGATGATATGACCCCTGTGCGTGCCCCACTACACACCCCAGCATCACCTGACCACTCCCTTCCTTTAGCGCTCTTGAATTATTCGCTCTTGAGTTGAGACGTCAGGTTCTCGGTCTGTGAAGACTGCCAACCGTTCTGGCACTCACAAGCATGTAGACATGGCTGCCACATTCACCAAATACAAACTCGTGTTCTTCGTCCCGCCACCCGCACTTTCAGCCTGCAAGTCCGCAATTTTCAGTGCAGGTGCAGGTCGCTTTCCCGGTCCTGGTGGTTACACCGAGTGTTGCTTCACCAGCAAAGGAGTGGGCCAATTTAGACCCGGTGATGCCGCCAATCCTAATGTACATACATTGTTTCCTTTCACTAGGAACGAGGCTGACACAAGTTGGTAGATTGGCAAAATAGGAAATTTGGAGGAGGTTGAGGAGTACAGAGTAGAAGCGATATGTGTGAACAGGGAGACGACTGTTAGAGCTGTGCACGCGCTGAAGAAGTATGCATGACTTGTAGCCTTGTTTGAGCAATCGCTAAGGAGTCAAGGGCACATCCGTATGAGGAACCAGCATACGAGGTCTATAAGATGGAGGATATATGATTGTGTAGGTGTCACGGTATAAACTAATTATCTTGAGAAGCAAGAGCTAGCTTTTGCTTCGACAGGTTACTCGGCTACACTTTGCAACACCTCTTCAATAATAGGTAGATCCCTTGTAACATCTGTCTGCCAGTTTGAAACTGCAAAGCGACAAGCAGGCTTGCCGTCCCAGGCAGTACCACTTACATATATCTTCTTCGTGGCTTTGATCTTATCCACTAAATTCTTGTTCAAGTCGCCGTCCTTTGCGCGGAAGAGTACTATGATGTATATGGTACTAAGTCGCTCTTCCATGGACTTGTCTGACTCTGGGAGTAGCTCATACGTCTCGCTTTCTAGAATGAACTTTGCGATACCCCTCGATAGGTCGATTTGGCGTTCCAGCATATCTCGATACCCTGATTTGCCATATGCTATAAGACTGGCATACACAGGCAGCGCTCTGAATCTCCGCGAGTTTTCGAGACCGACATTAAGCGGTGACATGATGCTGTCAGGTCCATTGGACGTGGCTAGATACGCAGCGTTAGGGTTTTGGAAAACACGCTCGGCGATGTGTCGATGGCGCGAGAGGAAGAAACCACAATCATAGGGCACGTTGAGTAGTTTGTGACCATCACCCGTTATGGAGTCGGCAAGCTCGAGACCGGCACAGGCTTGTGTAATGGTCTGGTAGCGTGGAGAGTCAAGTAGGCGACCCAAGATGCCGAACGCGCCATCGACGTGGATCCAAGCTCCATGCATATCGCACAATCTTCTTAGCTCCTCCATCTCTTCCAAGACGGATGTGGCAAAGAGGCCCGTGTTAACTTCAGAAGCAGAGACGGCGACTATAGAGGCAGAGCTTGGCTGCTCCATCAAACTCTTGAGCAGCTTGAAGTCGAACCTATGCGGGGCGTCTTCCCTCCCAACGTGTTTGATTGATGCTCGCCCCATACCAAGGACACTTGCTGCCTTGCTCAGCGACGAGTGGGGTACCGTCGTCAAGATTTGAATATTGTCCAATCCAGCGCGGTGCATAGCTTCCATGATACCATATTCCCCAACGCTGTTTTCCGTATGTGTGCGGTGAGCTGACGCCTCTGCAATCACGTATTCACGTCCGCACGCCAGGCCAACAACATTGCTGGCGGTTGCCCCAGTAGTGAAAATGCGATGGGGCCATTGGTCCGGCTGGAAATTGAGTAATTCGCACAGGAGAGATAATGCATGATCTTCGACATCTGTGGCAATGCTCTCGTCTGGAAGATGTACTGATACATTCTGGTCGTATGCAGTCACGAAATTGTCTGCAATGCTCGCAGCGGGCGTAACTCCACCAGTTACAAAGCCATAATAATTTGGCGAGCGGGATGATGCATTAAACGCAGGTTTCAGGTCTTCCTGAAGGTGTCTGATAGTTTCGGAAAGACCAAGCCCATCTTCTCTGAGCTGATTCGCGAGCGTCTTCCGTGCATGCTCAACGGCCTTTTGATTGGGGAGAACATGTGTGGGCGATGGCTCCAACTGTAGTCCAGCAATGGCAGAGCGAAGCAGCTCTTGATACTCGGAGCGAGCGGACTCCATGGGTTGGGCTAGAAGTATGTCAAGTTTGTTTTTGCTTATCCTGTGATCAAGGAAAAGAATGTGCTGGAGGTCGCATATGTTGAAATGCGTATGACTGTTGTAAGCACGCGAAGGAATTAGCGCACCCTAGGTCTGGAGCCTAGTCTGCACAAGGTCCACGTCGCAAGACTTGGAGATGAATCCGAGCAACAACTCGCAACTCATGATTGATGAAGAATGACGCGAACCGACTCGGGAATTTAGAAACATTAATGATGGCAGACCGTACTGATCGAATATAGACAGTACATAAGGACAGACAAGGTAGTACGTGCAGTTGCAGCTGGATGGCGTGCTTTTCTAGACGAGAGTGAAGCTCATTGCAGATGAGACGCGAGCTAGAGGCATCGAGAAGCGGCCTTTCCAAGGTTCAATGCTGACATGGGGGCGCCATGTCACGTGGGCTGGTGTGGGGAAGGTGCCCGGGTGTGGCTGATGACTTGGGCAGACGCGTCAAACAACGCGACTAGCGAACAGCTTTGGCAGCCGTCGCCACAACCACGACGCAACACCCAGCGAACTTCGCATGCCAACGCGTAAACAATCCCCGCGGAGCCCTACGACGACAATGCGACACTCTAATGCCTCAGAACAATTTTAAGAAGCACCTATCGTGGCTGTTATCCGAGAAGCCTTTCGTCCCGTCCGCCGCCTCGCTCGTTGCCTATGACCCCGACGCTCCCACGAGCTCCACGACCCTTTCACAGCCCTGTTCCTTCCTGCTCGAACACGCAGTAAACAATGAGCCGGGGCCTGAACCAGAGCCTGCCAACGTGCCACCGCCTGTACCACCCGTCAACCGACCGCCTCCACCCCGCACCCTCACCCGGACCAAGACCATCGACATACACAAACCCCCTGAGCCGGAGCGCGCCACGGCGGATATGGCGAGGTTGCGCGCAACACCAGGCAGCGGCAAACCAAGACTTGTGCTAGCAGGACTACCCCAGAATGGCTCAACCGAGGCGCCAGCAAGCAGAGACGACTCGTCGTTCGTTACCAGACGAGACGGAAACCCTTCGCGACCCAAGACTCGTACTTTGGTCGCACCAGCATTCAAAGACGCAGAGAGTAACAAGCAGCGTCGTACCGTCGCCGAAGTTGAGTCGATTGACCTCACCGGAGACGACGAGATCCGCTCTTCTCCAGTTCCAGCTGCAACTGCTCGCGGCAAGAAGCGGAAGAGCGACGAATATGCAGCGGACCTTCAGCGGACCAAATCGCCACGACCTACTCCCGCTGCCCCCAAACACAGTCCTGAAACCATGGTGGACGAGTTTCCCGATATCGATGATATCGTCATGGCTCCAAGTGACCCACCACCTCCGTACTCAACTATTGTGCACACTGCGAGTAGAGGCATCGAACAAGGCCTTCGCATTGGATCAAGCACGGAGCCATCACCTTCCACACATCCTCGAAAACGTAAATCGCTGAGTCGTGCACCGTCAGAAACGTTGGCTCCTGCACGAAAGCTAGGAAAACAATCACGCAGTCCTTCCCCATCAAAGGCCAGGCCTATTCCTGTTGGTGACGTTGAAAGCAGCACACCTCGATTACGAACGCCGGCAACGCGCAGAGTCCAGCACGCCGTAATGGACTCCGAAGACGAGGAGTTTGGTGACTTCGACGATATGGAAGTCGACACGGGATCCCGGGTCAGGTGGCCATCGCCTGGGAACGAGAAAGTGCGCGCAGAGACTCCCAGTACAAGTCCAAGTAAAAAGGAACGAGGCCAATCTCAGCTGCCGATTCGTTCTCCAGCCAAAGCGCCACAAAGTCCCGGGTCCCGCGAAGATATCAACATTTCGATGCCGACACCGATTCAGTCGCAATCATCTAGGAAAGAAATGCACTCGACATCGAAACCAACGCCAACACCACTAGCATCAGTTGCACTGAAGGAGGCTGTGCCGTCCTCTTCCGAGCTCTCCAAAGAGAGGAAAGATGCCATCAAGCAAGACATTGAACTGTTCTTAGCATCGGAAGGCCGTCGTCTACAAGATCATCTCAATGCGGCGAATTCGGCCTGGGAGACAGCTCGTGCAGCCTTTTTAATGCACCTGGAACAGGCCTGCAAGCCAGACGCTTCCGAGCAGGATAGAATCCACCGTTCTCGTTCGCGAAAAGATGCCGTGGAGCAGCTGATCGCCTTGAAGACCAAGCGCGACAGTCTTGTTGCACAGCGTCAAAACGTCAAGAAAAAACTCGAATACGACCTAGACATCGGGCAATTCGATGCGGCAGACGGTGAGACCCTCAATAGACTTTACAAGACACTGGAGGATGTGCAGATACAGATGTACTATCTCTTGGATACAGCCGGGATCAAACCGCAAAAGAAGGTCACGGTGAAGTTCGAGACCATGCGACCAAGCAGTGTGATGGTGCAGTCCACTCAAGTGAGCCCTGTAGGGAAGAAGTCCAAGGTTGCGCCAGGTCCAGCACTCAGTCACATGCAGCAGACACAATACGTCAAACAGACGCAATTTGGTGCGCAGGAACTGTGGTCGCCGACACATAGCATTCGATTTGCCCAAGGGCAGGTGCCGGGATCTCCTCCAATACCGCCTCTGAACCTGGGTTCCCGCACACAGACCGCCCATCGCATGGTAGAGAGATCAACTACAAATTCCCGAGAACGTCCACATCGAGTACCTGAGACGCCACAAAGGCATCGCTCGCCCTTCCGAACGGACGCCACTACTCGCAAGCACGATGACCTGACCTCTTTCAATGCTCCAGACGAGTTCGGAGACTTGGACTTCGAAGAGGACGAGAATCTTTTCATTAACAATATGGGGTCACCTTCGGGCCCGATAGAAATACATGATGACAAGATCGACGAGGACTTTTGCGAGGATGATGAAGAAGACTTCATGCACGAAATAAGCAACATTGAGAACGAAGGACCTGGTGGCTTCGACTGGAAAGGAGATAGGGCTACCCAACAAGTCTCAACGAACACACGAGAAGTCTTCCGTGAAACGACAGTTAATAAGGTCCCGCCTCGAAATCCACCAGCCTCGCCAAAGAAGGCGCAGCTGGTTATGCCTGGCAAGAATCTGCCCGGCATGAACTTTCCCTGGTCACAGGACCTGCGAAATACTCTGATCCATCGATTTGGACTACGAGGTTTCCGGCCAGGTCAACTCGATGCTATCAACGCAACCCTTGGTGGCGAGCATTGTTTCGTATTGATGCCAACGGGAGGCGGCAAGTCCTTGTGTTATCAGTTGCCCGCGGTAATCACAAGTGGTAAGACACAAGGCGTCACTATCGTCGTTTCGCCACTGCTCAGCTTGATGGAAGACCAGGTCACGTCTGCCATGGAGCGCTTCAATGTGCAGGCGTTTTTGATCAACGGCGAATCAACACAGGCGCAAAAAACTCACATTATGGAAGGTCTACGAGAGCGAGATCCTCAGAAATTCATGCAGCTCCTCTACGTGACACCTGAGATGCTTAGCAAGAATCAAAGGATGATCAGCGCTTTCCAGCAACTGCATTCCCGGCGCCGTCTCGCCAGGATCGTGATTGACGAGGCACATTGTGTCAGCCAATGGGGCCATGACTTCCGTCCGGATTACAAGGCACTTGGGGATGTTGTTCGACAATTTCCAGGAGTCCCAGTCATTGCACTCACAGCGACAGCGACTCAGCTCGTTCGCACAGATGTGGTCGCGAATTTAGGTATCCAAGGATGCCGCCAGTTCTCCCAGAGCTTCAATCGGCCCAATCTCTCCTACGAAGTGCTGCCCAAATCCAAGAATATCATCAACGACATTGCGAAGCTGATCAAAGAGAAGCACGACAAGAAATCTGGCATTATATATTGCTTGTCCCGCAAGAGCTGCGAACAGGTCGCCGAAAAGCTTTCAAATCTCGGCATCAGTGCATTCCATTACCATGCTGGTATGGAGCCCGCCGAACGATCTGCCGTCCAGCGCAAGTGGCAACATAACGAGTACCACGTTATTGTTGCAACAATAGCGTTTGGTATGGGTATTGACAAAGCCGACGTGCGTTATGTGGTCCATCACACGCTTCCCAAGAGCTTGGAGGGTTACTACCAAGAGACTGGTCGTGCCGGCCGCGATGGTAAACGATCAGATTGCTACTTGTACTACCAGTATGGCGATTGCAGGTCGCTGCGTAAGATGATTGATGACGGCGAAGGAAGCTGGGAGCAAAAACAGCGGCTGCACGACATGTTGCGCAGCGTTATTCAGTTCTGCGAGAACAAGGCTGATTGCCGTCGTGCCCAAGTGCTGGGCTACTTCAGCGAATCGTTCGACCCCTCGAAATGCAAATCCACATGCGACAACTGCCGGTCTGACTCGACGTTTGTGACCAAAGATTTGACAGAGTATGCTGCCATGGCTATCAAGCTTGTGAGCCAGGTCCATGAAGGCAATGTTACAATGCATCAGTGCGTTGATGCATTTCGAGGCGCAAAGAACGCCAAGATTGGAAGTTCGGGCCTGAAGGAACATGGATGGGGCTTTGGTGAAGATCTCGAACGCGGTGATAACGAGCGTATCTTCCAGCATCTCCTGGATGCAGGAGCCCTGAAGGAGAAGAGCAAAACGAACAAGTCCGGCTTCGCAACCAACTATCTGCATGTAAGTCGGAATCACCAGGAACCATGAGCGTCACTGACAACTTTAGCCGGGCTCACGAGGCAATGACTACGAAAGCAGACGCAAGACATTGAAGATGCAGGTCAGGTCATCTCCACGCAAGCCACGCGCTAAAGAGCCAGCTGCAAAGAAGGCAAAAAAGCCACGAACAGACTTTCCTTCTACCAACGTCTCCTCCCCCATACGTGCGCCCAAACAAAAGATTCGCCAATACGCTTACAGCATGGACGATAATGACGAAGACGAGGCGTTTGACGCACCCCGCCATCCTACTCGCAAAAAGAAAGCTCGCGGGTATGAAGACGATGGTTTTGTGGTGGACGACGATGACCTCGATGGGGATTTTCCACCTGTGCGGGTGGCCCGGTCCGTCAAGACAGCGCAGGGGAAGAAGCCAGAGTGCCCGATGCCGAGTCCAGAAGAAAGGGTAGAACAGTTGGACGACAACCAGTCATGCACTTATATAGACTTCATGACTGGTGCAAGAAAACTGCGCAAGGAGATTATGGTTGCGAAGGATATTCGGAACCCGATTTTCAACGACACCGTGCTTCAAAACATGGGATTGGAGTTACCCAAGGACTTGGACGAGATGCTCTTGCTTCCAGAGATCAGGCCGGAGATGGTTGAGCGTTACGGGAAAAGATTCATGCCTCTCATCACGAACTCCAGAAAACTTTACAGGGGCAATGTCCCCGAGCGCAGGATTCTACAGTCTATCGGGCAGACTAAGCACAGCGTCGTGGACGAGGACGATGACGACGACGATGGTGAGATTCTAGACCCCAACCATCAGAACATCATCGACCTGTGTAGCGAGGGTGAGGGAGAGGGAGAGGGAGAGGGAGAGGGAGAGGCTGCTCCCGCAATCGAAGACACGGAAAGCAATTACTTCGACTCTGAGGATGATGATGGTGACTTGCATACTAGTCACCACTTTGCACAACACATCGATCCCGAGGTCGAAGCCTTCAATAATCGTATGACCCAGCTTGGTCCTGCAGTACCGAAATCGACGAAAGTCTCCGGAGCCTCATCAGCAAGAGTTGGTTCGAGAGCGCCGGCTGCGAAGAAAGGCAAGACTTTTCGCCGCAACGGATCTGGCAGCTTTGGCGGCAAGTCATACGGGGGTGTAAAGAAACGAGCAGCCAAGGTATCTGGTGGTCGCGCTTCTGGTGGCACAGGAACGACCAAGAAGGCCGCCACAGGTAGCCGCAGAGGCGGAGCACCTGGTGGAGGAGAACCTAGCGGAGGAGGGGCGTTGCCGGGTTCCTGGGGCGTTATCATGGCGATGCCCACGTGAAACCCCAATTCAGAACCATCACCGTGGACGAGCGATGAGTGAACTCCAATTCTTTTAAATAGTGGGCTTCGAATATTCACTACAGGCCCTCATCACGATGTAATGCATTTCTAGCATGATATGAATGACTTACTATATTGACTTTCATGGTTTGACACTTCCTTCCGTGAGCCGTGAATCAATCAACGAGACGGCAAACTTTTAGTGCATCCTAACCAGAACGATAGATTTGTGTCTGTCTAAGCGCAACGTATTGATGCGTACGCCAACTTGTGTGCTAAAATGAGCGGAAAGGATTGCCCTCCCACATGCATGCGTCTCGTAGCGAGGCTTTGCGGGCACTAGTGGCGCGCGGCATACCTAATTCAATCTTCTAAAGGTAATTCTCGCCGCAACCTCGACTTGCTAGGCACAAAGTTGGACAAACGGCAGCAGCATAATTGGGCAGTTCGCAGCTCGGGGCAATGCACGGCGCGGGACGATGCGACGACGTTTTCTGGGGAAACTGGGGTTACATACTGTATTTACACTTATTATGGAGTCTCCAGGTCAAACACCGCGGTGACTGGCGCTCGACACGCGCCTAGATGACGACAGAGGCGGGGAGGAGAACAATTGCAACGTGAAGGTCGATGCTGAGAATTCACACTTTGGTATCACATTTTAGAACCTCATAGCAACATTGGGAAGAGTGATCCATTGTTGACTGTCATTATTTTCAAGTGCTTGCATACAGAGGCACTGGAGCATCTCGGGGAGTCTCGGACAAAGGCCCACAGAAACCTCTGGCAATCCGATGTCCGGATATTCCAACGATCGAGAAGATCCGTGCACATTGTCGCTCTAATGATCGCGATTTTCTAGCAGGTTCTGTGATGTCCCATCAACCTTGACAGACGCAAGGTTCCATAGCCACGTGAACAGTATCGCCGCAAATTTCCACGTACACTTGCGTCCGCCATACCAAAAGTTGGCTTGTGGCAGACGTCAGTATCAAGCCAGGGGAATTGGACACGCGCGGGTGCTCCACTAGACAGACCCATTGCCGAGCAGACGGAATCTTGGAGACAAGACGTATAAGTAAGTCGATCCTCTCAACACATTTCTTCGTTGGCTGGCTGCTTCAGTTCACATCGAACGGTGTTCCACTCCACCTTACAGAGCCAACATGTCACACGATACAATGGATAAGAAGGATGCTGTTGACATTACACCAGCTCAGTCACACGTCCATCAGGAGGTTGCGGAAATGCATGACAAGGCACTGGTGACACGCGAGCCATATGGCAAGTCTGGTACGTTCATATTGATACCTAATCAAGTCACAGGTCGACACATTGAACGTTGGCTAACACGTTAATCAGGTTTTGCGGGTCTCTTTTCAAGTCCCTATGTCGCAGCATGCGCTCTCTTCGCCACGCTTGGTGGTCTGCTTTTCGGCTACGACCAGGGAGTAATCAGTGTCACACTGGTCATGGACCAGTTTTTGGGCCGTTTCCCTCGCGTTTCTGCTGAGGCCTCGGGGGCAGGGTTCTGGAAAGGTCTTATGACTGCCATGCTTGAGCTCGGTGCTTTGATTGGTGCGCTATTTGCCGGGTATCTTGCGGACAAGCTTTCGAGGAAATATGCGATTGTGGTCGCTGTCTGTGTTTTTACTGTCGGCAGTATCCTACAGACAGCGGCAATTGAGTATGCTATGCTAACGATTGGACGCTTGATTGGTGGTATGGGCATTGGAGCGTGAGTGATATCATTGTCCACCTTCGCTTCTTCATATGGCTGACGGTATACAGCCTTGCAACAATTGCGCCGTTGTACATCTCCGAGATCGCTCCTCCAGAGATCCGCGGTGCCTTGCTCGTACTCCAAGAACTTAGTATCGTTCTTGGCATTGTTGTCGCTTTCTGGACCACATACGGTACACGATACATGGCTGGCGAATGGGCATGGCGTCTACCTTTCTTCCTGCAAATGGTTCCTGGTTTCGTCCTCGGCGTGGGCATATTCTTTCTCCCCTTTTCACCACGATGGCTTTCCGCTAAAGGCCGCGATGACGAAGCACTACAGGTATTAGCGAAGCTGCGGCGAGCGCCTACCAATGACTCCAGAGTCTTTCAAGAGTGGTGTGAAATCCGCGCCGAGGTAACGTTCAAGCAAGAAGTCAATCGCGAAAGGCACCCAGAGCTCCAAGCTCCCACGCGTTCAAACAGGATCAAGCTCGAGTTAGCATCCTGGATGGACTGCTTCCGACACGGCTGCTGGAAGCGCACTGTTGTCGGTGTAGGCATCATGTTCTTCCAGCAATTTGTCGGTATCAACGCATTAATTTACTACAGCCCAAGTCTTTTCAAAACCCTGGGCCAGAACTACGAGATGCAGCTCCTCCTCTCCGGAATCATTAATTGCACGCAACTCGTCGGTGTGGCCACCAGTCTGTGGACAATGGATCGCTTCGGACGACGTCCTCTGTTGCTTATAGGAGCGGGCTTGATGTTCATCTGCCACCTGATCATTGCTGTACTTGTTGGAAAGTTTGGCGACCGTTGGGCAAGCTATGCCGTAGAAGGCTGGGTCGCAGTCGCCTTCCTGTTCTTCTACATGTTCTCTTTCGGAGCAACTTGGGGTCCAGTTCCATGGGCCATGCCATCGGAGATCTTCCCGAGTTCGCTACGAGCGAAGGGAGTCGCATTATCTACTTGCAGTAACTGGTTCAATAACTTCATCATTGTAAGTCTTGAGATTCTATCTTCTCTTTAGAAGGCAGCATGCTGAATTACATAAAAGGGCCTCATCACACCTCCTTTGATTCAGAATACTGGCGCAGGCGCATACACTTTCTTCGCGGTCTTCTGTCTTCTCGCTTTCATCTTCACATTCTTTTGCGTGCCTGAGACGGCCGGAAAGACGCTTGAAGAGATGGACTCGGTTTTCAAGGATATTAGCAGTGAGGCGGAAGAACAGAAGAAGACACGCATCATGGCGGAGATTGTCGAGGGTAACAGGGGTAGATATACGACCTCTGCCTGAAAAAGCAGTGGAGCGTTGATATATTTGGATAATGTAATAATGTTATACCCATTTTACTTAGAGGTTTGAAAGATTATGACAAGTCTTCTTCCCACTAATTCTTTCAGCTCGATCAGCCCACCCAACACAACCTCCAATGTCAGTTGTGTAATAGAAGGCCGCATTAGTATCCTCGGGTATTCCAACAACTTGCTATTATAGGCCAGCGATACACGAGCCTGAATAGATTCAGTATCTACGCAGTGCTGTCTTGAGCGACTACAAAAACTTTGAAGATGTATAACCTTCAACTTGACTGTACGCTTTCATGTACAGCGTCATCTAAACCCCTTTCTTCCTATCTCCTCTGTCTCTCATGCGCTCTTCCCACTTCCCCACGCACCCCCTCCAATCCTCCGGTCCATGCCCTGCAAACATACCTTTGCCCGCGCCGCCAAACATACCCTTCCCCATACCTAAATCCTCCATCAAAACATCAAAATACGGCAACGTATCCCAAACCAAATCCGGAGCTGACCTGCCATACCCACCCGCGGCCCTGAGCGCACAATACTGACTGTCGCGATATGTCCTGCTCAGCACTTCCTCGTGCGACCCGAGAGGCAGTTGGTCGGCGAAATACGCACTGATCCAGAGGGATTGGATGTATGCGGCAGGGTAGGTGCCCAGGGTATATAGAGCGCCGGCAAAGGCAAGGGAGCGGGATTGGAGAGTATTGGGAGGGACCATGAAGCGGTGGAGACGTTTTGGTTGGGGAAAGGGAAAGGGATCGGGAGAGGGGTGTTTGTCTGTGAGGGAAGTATAGTCAGATGGATGGGCATCTCGTGTGTCGCGAAGGGATGGGTCAGGGTGGTTGGTGCGAGATGTGTTGCGGTCGAGGATGGGGAAGTGTTCTCGGAGAGAATGTGAGGCGTTTTGGATCATGGCGGCCTCGTAGAGGTCGAGGGGTGATGTCTGGTTATGTTAGTGGGTTATGCGGAGAGAGGGAATAGAGACGTACTGAAGCCAGTGCCAATTTCTTGTTTAAACTCTCCGGCTCCCAACGGATTGTATTACAGGCTTCCCAGCCCGTTGCGCATACGACTGCATCAAGCTTCTCAATCGAGTTCCCTCCGTCCTTCAGCAGCACCTCCCATCCCGCGCCAAACCTCTCCACTTCATCAATAACAACCTTGATCTTCCCCTCTCTTACCAGGTCGTAGAAGTTCGTAGGATAATTATGAATACTCAAATCGTTGGCGACTTCAAACGCGCCTCGCCACGGTACCAGTTTCTCAGTCTCAGGGTGATTATGCAGCTTATTCAACGCAATAACGTCGTCGCCCAGGATCTTCCAAAACGCGGAGACGACCATACGACCCAGACGTGTGCGGTGCAGGAGGGCACGGATCCAACCTTCGAGACCGATTGTGCGGGCCCATGGGCATGGGGACATGACTAACAATCTCAGATTAGCATGCATTATATCATCGTGAGGAGTTCATAGGGGGGACGTACAGCCGAAGAAGCGAGTGAAGACCAGTTTTTCCAGCCACAACTTGAATGGAGTGACATGCGATGGCGCCATCCAGTTTGGACCGTTGCCAGATGGGCGGATCAGAAGGGTGACGGTTGCGCCTGGTTGTGTTGCACAAGCGTACGCCACGTCCCAGGCAGACTTGCCGCCTCCGATGACGAGGGTATGTTTGTTGGGTCTCACTATGTGCTCGTAGCGAGCGGACAATTCTTTGGAGTGGATGACAACAGGCTCAAAGGCGGGTGACGTTGGATACTTTGGCATCTTGGGCTTGTTCGTGTTGCCTATGGCGATGATGAGCTTTGTCGTGATGATGTCAAAAGTTCCTTCGGAGGAGGTAGATAGGCACTGTAGGCTCCAGCCTTCTTCGGCCTTCTTGATGACTTCCACCTTGGTGTTACTCCTGATGAGCTCGTGCAATCCATTCTCATCGACAAAGGCTCCCAGATATTCGTTCATGTTTGCTCCGTGGATATGCTCTCCTTTCCTGACGCCGAACCTTTGCTCACTCATAGGAAAATCTGGATGCTCGTACATTCCAAGCTGGTTATTTGTCTTCAAACCTGGGAAGAGACGTTCCTTAGACCATGTGCCGCCAAAAGAGTCTGCCGCATCAAGGATGAGAATGCTAGCTTCAGGGTTCAGGCGGTGATAAGTCGCTGCACTAGTGAGGCCAAAAATGCCTGCAAATTGTCAGTCATGTCTCTTTACATGGCATAGGCTGGGATTTTTAACAATGTTGTACAACAAGTCATCAAATCTGACGGACAGGAGAGAGGGAAATCTCATAGCCCGAAGCTCTACACAGTATCATTAGGCTCCGACTGCGACGGCAAGGTTTGGTGTATAGCTTCAGACTATGAGTTAAGCTGATACCTGTTGCAACCTGGTTGCTTTCCGTTGTAGTTGGCAACATGTAGTATCTGAGCCATGCAATGCTGACGAGGCCGAGAGATGTCATACGTACCCGCACCCACAACAACCAAGTCCGTTCGTTCCATGCCTTGCTCCAACGACTCGTCCATCGCTATTATCGCAACAATTCCAAAAAAGGAGTCAAAGTTTTCAGAGACCTCGGAGATAAGATGCGCTGAAGGATCGTGTAAGGATCGAACGCTAAGGATAAATGCAGTGGGGGCGGAATCCTCATCCAGCCAGACGCATGCCGATAGTGGAGTTTATGCATGTAAGAAAGCCTCGTGATCCGTGTAACAGTGAGATACATAACGCGATGAGATAGCCGACAGATGAGACTGAACAGTTGTCATTATAGATTAGAAGCCGCAACGAATAAAAGTTTCACAGTTTTGCCTTGACAGATCCAACTCCAGCTTGCACTTGTACCTTTCCAGAAGCATCAGTATCGACTGTGACGACTACTCCCTCCGCAGCTGAATGATTGGGCTTCAAAAGGATCTCCTGGCAGTCTTCCAAACCAACGTCGTTTGCGAATTGCACCACAACGAAATCTATGGGTCGGTCACCAATCACAATCATAGGCGCGTGCCATGTACCTGCTCCATACGTCACAGCCTGAGCACCATTTGCGACAAAAGCGCGGAGGTTCTTCAGGTCTGGGAGACCCGGCCCCTTTGGTCGTGCCGAAGCAGGTAGTCTTGAGAATGAACTGGGCGGCGGTGTACTCTCAGTCGAGTATGGGCTCGGCCTAGCTCGCGCAAATATGTCCTTCAAGCTCTTCTTTCTTTCGACGTGCGGTGTTGGATATGGAGGTGGTCTTCCCGTGTTCCTCCTCGACGCGCTCGCAGGAAGAGTAGGCGCGACGATGACTAAGTACTGTGTATGCTTCTCCGCCGGCGACAAGCCCATTGGGACGAACGTCTGCGTCGTGAACGGATGTCGTTCGAGGATGCCCACATCCAGCAGCTGTCTCCGAAAGTTCCCACCCAGATCATCATCGTCGTCGAGCTCCAGGTCGCCCCAGCTCGACGGCATGCTCTCACTGGGCTCATGTGGTCTGAGTTCGCGCGGTGCGCAAACAAACATGTTCATGACGGCTCTCGCAGGCTTCTTACTCGGCGCAAGGCTGTAGAGATTGGACATGTGCGAGACATCGAGGTACTTTGTGGCAGAGCCTTGGTTTGCATTGACGCTTTCGGGCGGTGGTATACGCTGCGGAATGGGGAGCTTTGCAGAGAGAGATGTTGTGGGGTTTTCTACGATGACACCGAATTGCGCGAATGCAGTGGGCGTGAGCAACTCGATTGGTATTCGAATTGACGGCGCGGGCATAGACGTCGGCATGTTTGTTGTGTGGCTGGAGTGTTGTTTGCTCCAAGAGCTGGTGATGGCCGAGATGGGGAAGTGGAGCACGGGAGCTCGCAGGAAGCTCGGCTGGCACGAGCATGTGACGACGCGCTAAGATAGCGATATGACACCTGGAATGCAATTATTTTGTCGTGACAACTCAACTTTGGTTTTCATGGAGCTCATCTTGGGAGTAGATATCCAAAATGCTGGATAGTCGCGGTCGCAACTGAGATGTTGTCTCTTATAGCAGAAGATGTAGGAGGCCGTGTCCTGAAAATGCTCAATGAAGCCACGCACTTGCAGTTGGATGTTTCTCCACACAAGGGAAATTCTTCATATCCGCATGTCAAGAGCATACATCCGGCAGCTGTATTGGACACGCAAAATCAATCACATCCTGTCTATGATTGTGGACGTAACCCCTCCGGCGCATCCTGGCTGCCCAAGGCTGATGTCACACTCGACAACGGCCCGCAGTTTCTCCGGGCGCAACTAGCGCGTACCCTTCGTTTTCTTCGAGTGTCGGGCAGTGTCATTCACGTCTCCCAAGTCACACGGTCGCGCTTCAATTCCTTGCCCGTGGTCCTTCCTCTCCCCTCCGCCCTGCCCGCTGCCGCTGCGTGCGCCCCACAGTCTGCCTTTGGCCATACAAACCCCCAAGAACTACGTCACCCTCGCACACTCGACGTGTTCCTGTCTTAGCCTTTCTCACCGCCAACGACGACGCAACAGTCCCCCAGTTGACACAGACTCGCGACCACCAGCACCTTGTCCCAGCCCGCTTTGTACCTCTACTGTAACTTTAACTAGTTATGGCGGCCCCCACACAGTTGGCTTGTGAGTACCCTAGACTGCTCCCCGCGAAGAGCCAAAACTAAGACACGTGCAGATCGCACTTCCAAGGGCATCGGGCTCTTCAATGCCGCTCCCGTCTACGAGCCTCTGCCAGGATTCCAGAAGTGAGGCGCACAACGGTACTCCCAGGAATCCGCTGCTGACTTGAGATAGACCTGAGGGCAACCTGAGGTGCTGCTGCTACTCGCCCGACAGCAAGTATTTTGCCTGGGCGTCACCCGAACAGTACGTCTATCCTCAAACACCAACACCTTGGCCTTTCTGACATGTGATTGCAGGGTTTCGGTCGTTGACGCCTCGCTCGGCCATGTCATTACTACGCTCCCCACCCCCAACGTCTTCGAGCTCGGTTTCTCACCCCTCGGCACATACATCATCACGTGGCAGCGCCCCACCAAAGACGAAGAAGGCAATGCGGTGAAGAACCTGAAGGTCTGGAGGACTGTGTCTGAAGCTGAAGATGGCGGACACTCGCTGGTCGGCGAATACGTGCAGAAGAACCAGACTGGCTGGAACCTGCAATATACGTCAGACGAGAAGTTTTGCGCGCGCACCGTGACCAACGAGGTGCAATTCTACCAGTCGCACGATCTGCGCACCGTTTGGAACAAGCTCCGCGTTGAAGGAGTGACGGACTTTGCCGTGTCGCCCGGAAACACTCACTCGGTGGCTGTTTTTGTCCCAGAGCGCAAGGTGAGATTTTTTCGAGTGTCAACTTGGGCCCGCTAACAATTTCGTAGGGTATGCCCGCTGCGGTCAAGGTCTTCCAGGTGCCTCAATTCAACTCTGCCATCTCACAGAAGACGTTTTACAAGGGCGACAAGGTCCAGCTAAAATGGAACGATCTTGGTACCAGCCTGATTGTTCTTGCTCAGACCGAGGTCGACAAGACGAACAAGAGCTACTACGGCGAGACGAACATGTACATCCTGAGCGCCAACGGCTCGTTCGATTCGCGCATCACCCTGGACAAGGAGGGCCCGATTCACGACGTCTCTTGGTCCCCGAACTCGAAAGAGTTTGGTGTCGTCTATGGATACATGCCGGCGAAGACTACCATTTTCAACGCCCGCGCTGTTCCACAGCACAATTTCGATCTGGGCCCGCGCAACACGATCCTTTTCTCGCCCCACGGTCGCTACGTACTTGTTGCCGGTTTTGGTAACTTGGCTGGCGACATGGACATCTACGATTTGGAGAAGAACTACCACAAGCTGTGCACCATCAAGGCATCCAACTGCACTTACTGCGAGTGGAGTCCCGATGGCAAGCACATTCTTTCGGCCATCACCAGCCCGCGTCTCCGTGTGGACAATGGTATTCGCATCTACCATATTGGTGGACAGCTAATGTACAACGAGGAGATGACAGAGATGTACCACGTTACCTGGCGCCCACAGTCTCCCTCGGTCCATCCTCTGGGCAATCCGCTGAACCCCATGCCGACTCCTCACCCATCGGCTCTCGCGTTCTTGAGCACTCAGAAAACGCCCTCGAAGCCCGCTGGTGCGTACCGACCTCCCGGCGCACGCGGCACCACTACACCGCTGTTGTTCAAACGTGAAGACGAGGGCGGCGCAGCTTACAGCAACACGGGCATTTCGTCTACGAACGTAGGCTTCCAGAACGGATTCGGCAAGCCCCGCCGTCGCGAAGTTCCCGGTGCGGAGACAGTCGACTCCCTGCCTCCTGGTGCTGCTCCCGGTGGCGGTGTCAGTCTCACTGGTGCCGTTGACGGTGACGGAGAGCTGTCCAAGGCGGCGCTGAAGAACAAGAAGAAGCGCGAGGCCAAGAAGGCTCGTGAGGCCGCCGACAAGGCTGCTGGTCTCGCTGCTGATGGGATTAATGCTCCCACCGGCCCCGCGAGCGCTGGTCGTAGCCCGGAACGTCGTAATGGCCCACAGCAGCGCAGCCGCAGCAAGACTGGAAACGGCGGATATGGAGGACGAAGCGCTAGCCAGCACCGCAACTTTGGCAACAGCCCCAGCCGTCACCCTGGCCAGGAAGGAAACCACAGGCAGATGATGGGCCAGCAACACCACCAGCGCCATGGATCTGGGCAGGCTCCTCTTCCTCCGATCCAGACGGAAAATCAGGGTCCTGCTCCCGACCTCACTGTCACCAGCCCTGGCGATGGCAACCCGCAAGACAAGAAGATGCGTGGCCTGCTCAAAAAGATGCGCGCTATCGACGAGCTCAAGATGAGGCAAGCTGGCGGTGAGAAATTGGAGGATACGCAGATTAAGAAGATTGCAACCGAGGAGCAGATCAGGAAGGAGCTCAACGCGATTGGCTTTGCTTGAATGTGTCAAGATGTAAGATGTGGAGGTTGAGAAGCGAGATTGGATATCAAACGTAGAGTAGTATACAGTGCTACCCATAACCCATAAAATCATTCTTCGTGTGCGAAGATCTTCCGAATCATGACTTGACGTGCTGCTCAAGTTTTAATTTTTAGGTATCATTGTCATTGAAAAGATTGAAACCCTTCGCCAAACGCCGGAATGCTAACAACGCCATGCTATGCAGCCCAAACGCATGAGACCCATTAAATCTTCAATCCCTCCAACGCCTCCTCAAGCTCCTTCTCACCCCTCTCACCCTTCTTCGCCTTCATCTCCCTATACTCCCTCGCCACCCTTTCCACTACGTTCCCCATCTTCGCATCCTCGCCCCTCCTTTCCATCTCCCTCTTCACCCGCGCAAAATTCTCCTTCATAAAAACCTGATACTCGCCCTTCTCCTTGCCCACCCCCGCCTGCCTAGGCGTCGGCTTCGTCTGCACAAGCCTCCCCTTACACCGCCCACAACTATGCTTGCCCGTATCCACGCTCTTACTATGCCGCTTGAACTCGTACCCACAATCCACACACTCCCAGACATACTTGAATTCAATCGCATAGCTGTGTTTCGTCGTAACCTCCACGCCCTTGTGCGCAAACGCATCCGACACTTTGCGGCCCCACGATTTGAACTCCGCGCCGTGCGGGTTGTTGCGCACACCGCTTACCATGAAGGTGGTGAGATGGCAGTATTCGTGTGCGAGGACGTTGTACAAGCGCTCTTCGTCGTCGATGACTTTCTCGGCGAGCTCGATGCTGCAGTGGTGCCGGATCTCGGTGGTGAAATCTGAGGCGGAGGGCCCGGTGCGGAGGCGGATTTGCTCGCGGCGCCAATTTGCGCGGCCGGCGGTGGTTTTGAGCGTGCGGGACCAGACTAATTTGATGCCGCCGGTGGATCGGGAGAGGGTGGATATCTGGCCCTGGGAGATCGTCGAGTCGAGCTCCGCTAAGAAGGATTCTGCGATGGCGTGTTTTTGCTCGGAAAAGGCCTTGCGTTGGGCGCGGATTTGTTTGGTGTTAAGGTCGGAGGAAGTAGAGGCAAGAGTGGGTTTCTTCGCGGGATTGCGAGTTGAAGTCTTCTTGGTTGTCTTCTTGGCCGGGCTTGCTGTTGGGCTTGGAGACTCATCATCGTTGCTGCTGCTCCCATCGTCTGACAAGGCAATACCTTCCATCATTTTGACGATGTCGTCGCGCCATTTTTGCTTCCTAGGAGAAACCAGTGGTTTACTGGGAGAGTGCTTCTCATTCCACTCATTAACGACTTCAGGATTCCAAAATGCGTCGAGACTGGGTCGTAGGCCAGGTGCTTTGGGAATCATGGGCTTCTTCTTAGATGGCGAGACAAGCTTGGAGGGACTTGGGGGGGCGAGAGGTGGTGTGGCTGGACGCGAAATCGGAGGTGCTTTACGAGGCGAACGATTCTTAGTCGGTGTTGGCGAGTATGTGAGCACCGCCAAACCACCTTGTGATGATGATGTCTGCGGCCGCGAGGAAGCGAAAGATGCTGAGCGCATGCGAGATGGTGGCGGAAGAGGAGGAGCCGGGAATGATGCTGGTGGCTCAGGCGAATCCGTAAGGTCGATGACTTCTTGAGCCCAATTTGAGATCGTGCTGTGACCTTTTCGATGTGGCGGTCGCATAGATGTCAACGGCTGTGATTCCTCTGCTGCTACCTCATGCTCTGTGTGCACTTTCGCAAACGGCTTGCGGACCTCAGGTTGCGGTAATGAATCTTCACTCTCCTCATCAGAATCAGAGTCTACCCGTCGCCTTTGTTGCTGTTGTCTTCTCTGTCGAACATGCACAACAGGGTCATCGTCTTCGTCCTCGCTGATCTCTACTATCGGAACCTCTTCCTGTTCCTGCGAAGTTTCCTGCTCTTCTTCCCCACACAACAGACTCGTCTCCGCTTCTTCTTCCGTCTCTACTTCAGGCACCTCTTCCTCCACCCTCTCTTTCTCATTCGATCTGACAGGTAGCGCAAAGCCTGGTTCCTCCACAACTTCAATTCTTGCTCTGCTTGCTTGCTTCCGGATCACGCTCTTAGCCAGAGTCTTCGCATACAGCAAGCTCGTCTTCTTCCCAATATCGATGTCCGTAGTGCCGCTCCGAACCCTATGACGCTGCTTCTTCTCGGGACTAGCAAGACTCTCGTCGCTCAATTTCCGCAAAAGTCGACTGTTGCTCTCTACAGGCCGGAGAATGCGCTGTTTCCGTGGTGTGAGTGCGTCCAAGACCACCGCACTCTTCGGCACAAGGCATGAGTCCTCTACATTTTGTGACGATGCGGTCGCATAGCGCAGCTCGCGTCTTGATTGCTTTGGCACCAAGACAGTATTCTCTTCATCCGACAACATCGAGTACTCGACAGAGCGCGTGGCTTTCCTTGGGCTTGAGCGCGTCGCTCTAGTTTCGCTTGGTGGCATAAGGATAGCTGCCTCATTCGGACTCGGTTTACGAAGGCGAGCCATCTTATAGGTATATGTGATGGCGCACGCTGTAGGGATATTCGAAAGTTTATTTCGGTATGTGGAAGCGACTGGTCCAAGAAAAATGCTCGCCCATGTGAATCGAGACGTTGATGCAGACCAGGATATTTGTTATTGGCCCGTTGTCTAGGAGATTGTATCACGTGCTGATAAGACCAGACCTTCCCGATTAAGAAGTTTGAAAAGTCTGTATCGATCGCAGCAATAGTTACTGCTTAAATGCTACCTGTTGGTAGAGGATTCTACGAGATGGTATCACATGCCATATCCCCTTGTTTAGAAAGTTTCAAAATTGGTATCAGTGCATTTTCACTGCCCAGGTGCTGTGCTGAATCTGAAGGGCAACGAGATGGTGTCCCGTGTTGATAAGACTGAACCTTCCGCATTGGGCAGTTTGAAACCTGGCATCGATCGCGGTAAGCAAGTGAGGGTGCATTTTCACCGCTGTGCTGGAGCGACACGAGATGGTATCACGTGCTGATAAGAATAGGCCTTCCTGATTAGGAAGTTTGAATTCTGTTGTCGACCGCAATAAAGTGCATTGCATTTTCACCACCGTACTAAAGGGGCGGCGTGAACGAGTAAACTCAACAGCCACAACACTCCAAAAACGTCCCGATAAGTCGATTCCACGACGATCGGGCTATTGGCAACAACAGGCTGATAACTTTTACTTCTCTCCATGGCGTTCTCTCCTCGCTGATTCTCGATAAAGATTGCAGCAACGGCTTCCGTCTCAATCTATGGCCGTATGACGCAATGCAGCGGATAGGGTGACCTGTATAGCTTCACACTCCATTCAGAATGTCATTCTACAATTCGTACATTCGTGAAGCTCCACAAGTGTACTCATCGCATGCGGCCAATCGTGAAAAACTTGAGACGGTATACAGAGCACGTTCACTGCAGCACAAAGTTCAGAGATAATCAAGTCATACATTGCATGCTAATCCATCACAAATACAAACACCCCATCTGATCCCTAGTGATACCCATAAAGAGAGCTTCCGCTGCCACATTCGTGTCAAATCGTCCAAGCTCCTATGCGCTGTGCTTGTCCTCCCCAATAGCTTGGTGGCTTCATTTCCTCTCTCTTCAGATGTGCTGGGGTATTCCATCCTGTATCTACATTCCTGGTATTTTTCGCGTTTGTCATCTCTACGCTCCATTGCGCTTACTGCTTTGCTGCCTTGGCCATGGTGTTAAGAGCGCTACCGTTCTTGAACCACTCGATCTGGCCCTCGTTGAAGGTATGCGAGAGCTTGATGTCGAAAGACTTGCTGCCGTCGGCCGGGTGGACGACAAGGGTCATGGGCTTGCCGACAGCGAGCTCAGTGCACTTGAGGTCGACCTTGTCGTTGGGGCCGATCTTGTCGTAATCCGCGGGTTCGGAGAAGGTAAGAGGGAGCATACCCTGCTTCTTCAAGTTGGTCTCGTGCTATCGTCTGTCAGTGAAATGTTGTAGAATCGCAAATCGTAGCACCTACAATACGAGCGAAAGATCGGACGATGATGGGCCATGCCTCCCAAGTGCCTGGGCTCAAGGGCGGCATGCTCACGGGAAGAGCCCTCGCCGTAGTTCCAGTCACCAACAACGACCCACGGCTTGCCGTTCTTCTTGTAGTCACGGGCAACATCAGGAACGGCGCCGTACTCGCCGCTGAGCGCATTCTTGACCTTATTAGCCTCGCCGTTCTCGGCGTTGATGGCACCGATCAACATGTTGTTCGAGATGTTGTCCAGATGTCCACGGTACTTCAACCAGGGACCAGCCATGGAGATGTGGTCGGTGGTGGTCTTGCCCTGGCACTTAATGAGGATAGGCAGGTCGGTGGCGTCCTTGCCGTTCCAGGCCTCGAATGGCTCGAGCAGCTGAAGACGGTCGGAAGTGGGGGACACGGCAACGTTGACGTTTGAGCGGTCCTCGGGAGGGTGCTGGTAGGTGTCCTGGCCTGGGTCGTAGCCGTTGGCGGGGAGACCCTCACCCGTGGGCTCCTTGAGCTTGAATTCCTTGCCGTTCGAGTCCTTCAGGGTGTCTGTGGGGAATTAGAATTTGTGGGGAGAGTAGAGAGGGAGATTTCTGCGCACCGGTCAATGGGTTGAACGAAAGTGTACCGGCGATGGTCATGGCTACAACGAGATCGGGGGAGGTCACGAAGGAGTGGGTGGCGGGGTTGGCATCGTTGCGGCCGGTGAAGTTACGGTTGTAGGACGAGATAATCGAGTTGGCAGTCCCCTTCTTTACGTCCCTACGATCCCATTGCCTGCGCGAAACGGTTAGCTGGATATCTTCAAAGCATTATTATCAAAGCAGGGGGGCTTGATAGGTCGGTGAAGGTGGACAGCATACCCCAACACGAATGTGTTAGAGCGATGTTGACAAGGAATTTCTTACCCAATGCAAGGTCCGCAAGCGTTGGCGAGAACCATACCGCCGAACTCCTCGAAAGTCTTGAGCTGTCCGTCCCCTAAGACATATTAGTATCTTCCCTACGTGAAATTGGAAATATGAGCTTGATGCCGTGAATACATCCAGCTCATACTATGGGATGTACTCACTTTCGATGGTCGCGCGAATTTGCTCAGTGGGGCTGTTAGCAGACATTCAATCTAGCTTATGGGAGTACATACCAGATCCGGGGGTGACAGTGAACAGTGCCTTCGCCTTGACGCCGTGGTCCATGGCATCCTGAGCAATTGAAGCAGCGCGGCTCATGTCCTCGTACGAGGAGTTGGTGCAAGAGCCAATAAGACCGACCTTGAGCTCTTCGGGCCACTTATTGGCCTTGACAGCCTCCTTAAACTTGCTGATGGGAGTAGCTAGATCGGGTGTGAAGGGACCGTTGATGTGGGGCTCGAGAGTATCGAGGTTGATCTCAATGAGCTCATCGTACTCGGCACCCTCGTCCTCACGGAGCTCCTGAGCGTACTCGCGGGAGAAGTCGCCAATGGACCTGCGTTTAGTAGCGTTGAGGTAGTCGTACATGCGGTCGTTGAAGGGGAAAACCGAAGTGGTGGCACCGATTTCAGCTGGGACGATCGATGTTAGCACATTCTGAATGCCTTCGCGGGATTCATGTAGGATTACGTACCACCCATATTGCAAATAGTAGCCATACCCGTGCAGGACAGGCTCTCGGTTCCGGGACCGTGGTACTCAACGATAGCACCAGTTCCACCCTTGACGGTGAGAATACCGGCGACCTTGAGGATAATGTCTATAGCGCAAGTCAGTGTCATTTCAATATTGTAAACGTATTGCGATGAGCTGATCATCTTCAATTACGTCACGGGATCTTTGTATACGCACCCTTAGGAGAAGTCCAGCCAGAGAGCTTTCCAGTGAGCTTGACACCAATAACCTTAGGAGCCTTCAACTCCCAGGGAAGACCAGCCATGACATCGACAGCATCGGCACCACCAACACCAATAGCAGCCATACCAAGACCACCAGCGTTGGGAGTATGCGAGTCGGTACCAATGAGGAGAGCACCAGGGAAAGCGTAGTTCTCAAGCACGATCTGGTGAATGATACCAGAGCCGGGCTTCCAGAAACCGATGTTGTACTTGGCGCAGGATGTTGACAAAAAGTCGTAGACTTCCCTGTTGATGTCCTGAGCGCGGGCCAAATCCTTCGCTCCACCAATCTGAGCCTCGATAAGATGGTCACAGTGGACGGTGGTGGGAGTGGCAACCGAGGGCATGCCAGCCGACATGAATTGGAGAATAGCCATCTGAGCGGTGGCATCCTGGCAAGCTACACGATCAGGGCGGAGCTTGAGGTAGCTCTTGCCGCGCTCAATGTCTTGACCGTGGGGATCGTCCAAATGGGAGTACAGAATCTTCTCGGCGAAGGTGAGCGGTCGGTTCAAGCGGCCACGAACAATCGACAGGTTCTCGCTCATCTTCTTGTAGTTGATGTAGTGGCCCTTCTCCCAGTTGGTCATTTCGACCTTGCGGGACAGCGGAGCATCGCTGACAGTAGCCAATTGCCTGCGCGAAGCAAGGCTCTGGCCGACGCGGCCGAGCCTCGAGAACTTCTGCATGGTGTATGGGGTGAGGGTTGGAGTGGAGGGGAAGAGTGATGGAAGAAGCGGAGGGCAGAAACGCCAGAAGCTGCCCACAATCCGGCCGATAACTAATGGCGATCAGAGGAATGCTGATTGGCTGTATAGGCGGAAGACCTCGGCGTCAAGCCCAAGGACCCCGGCAACTCTTTCCCGCTGGCCCGTTTCACGTGCGAATGGGATCAAATAACGCAGACGAGGATGTCGAGACGAGGTCACTGTTGATGCGCTGAGGGTGGTCAAGAGTACAGATTGTGCGCAGCTGGTGGTGGTTGTGAAGCTCTTAAAGATTACTGCCGTGTGACGACATGGGCATTCCCCCGCGCTCCAAGCTCTCTGCTTCTGCAACCGTCCCGAGGAACGCCAAACTGCTGATTGGCGTTCGATAAGCCCAGCACGTTCCAGCTTCATCAGACCGTGGTCATTTTGACAATACCTGTTACGACTAAATACTACCCGAGAAATCCTTGACGACCTGCAGACATTGCCGCGGATAAGCCACGGGAAGAGGTAACCTCGCTAACGTCGATTCAGTCCAAGGACGCCGGTCGAGCCCGCCAAAGACATCAAATTCTGCACAGTTCGCACGCACGGACGTTCGCGGCCATACCCAAGCGTGCCAGGTATCCGTGACCTTTTCCGAACTCCACATCTTCAACCCACTGCCGAGCGGCCGCGGATCCTACAGTGCAACCACAGCCCAATATGCCTGCCATCCGGGGACAAGACTCGAAAAAGAAGACACGTCGCCACACGCGCGACCTCGACCAGATCCACGCCGACCTGCGCGACGAGAAGCATCTCGCAGAATTCAAGGATGCGAAACCCGTAGAAGATTTGCCTGGTCTGGGCCAACACTACTGCAAAGAATGCGCAAAATTCTTTGAGAGCGAGACCAACTTTGTCGCACACCAGAAGGGAAAGGTGCACAAGCGCAGGTATGGACACTTGCTCCATGTGTAGTTTGGAGCAGAAATTAATGTGTATGTAGGGTCAAGCAACTGCGCGAAGAGCCATACTCCATCAAGGAGGCCGAAGCTGGCATGGGCGGTCTTACAACAAACAACGGAAAGCGCACCACAACGCTCATGGAGGTCGACGATGGCGCTGCGACTTGAGAAGCTAGCATAAAGAGCGTTCAATAGACCATCAAGAGGGCCACGACGCCAGAAACGATGCTGCGCAGTACCTTGAAATCTCTGTAAAAAGAGATGGCGCACGCAGGAGCTGTCATATGTCAGGCACACAGAGGCCGCACATGTAACTGCGCTCGGCGCTATGTAGGCTCCCTGCTGCCTGGAGAGTTTGATGGATCGGAAAGCATATGCATTGCACGGCGTTCAAAAATTTGGGGCATGGAGCGAATAGAGAGGATAGAAAGTTTCAATGATACCCGAGATCAGCCTTGCTTAGAAATACAAAAGCTTCCAGGCTTCGAATATATTATGATATCTGCTGTGTTGGCGCTCTAGGTACCCGTTTGTCGTGCTGCCTGAAGTTGCCTGATCGCTACCTACTAACATCACCATCACGAAAACTTCGTCAGCGTGACCATATAAACCACCACAACAACATGCAAGATCAATAACACAAAACCCACGTCATCCCCCAACTGCATCAAAATCAATTCAGCCCAGCAACAAAAAAATCGATAATGGCATTCACAAACACTCCTCTCTTCGGCGGCGCAATCACCGTCGACCTGCCCTCCAACTTCGCCGACACAAGGTAAGCTCACCTCTATCTATGGCCTATACAAATAATACTAATCGCATAACCAGCACAATCCGGGAAGTCCCCGACCACCAAGAAGTATACCTCGACGCCGGCGGCTACTCCAACATCGTCATCGAAATCCTCGAATACGTCGACAAGCCCAGCGACGAAGAAGCCCTGCAGTACCACTTCTCCGACCTCGTCGATGATACAGGAGACAGCACGAATATTTTGCAGCAAGAGAAAGTCACGTTTGGGAAAGATGGGGTTAAGTAAGTTTAAGTTGCGCACGTGACTTTAGTCTACATCCATGCATGGACTCCAAGTTGTCGGTAGAACGTTAGGATTGTATTGAAGCTGACTATTTATGATTAGGGAGAAGAATGCAATGGGGTTGACTTTCATTCAAACACCCGCCCCGCCGACGGACCCGAGGCGCAAGACGCCTGAGTTCGTGTATATTCATCTTTTGCTGCTGAGGTTGAAGGAGCAGGACACGGATATCATGGCCACGATCAACATCCCGCATTACAAGGACGAGTATGAGAAGGCCGAGCCGGGTGAGGAGACGAACTTGATGAAGGATAGTAAAGCGATTCGGGAGAAGGTATTGGGGACGTTTGAGGTCAAGGAGTGGGGATTGTTTGATGGGTAGATGGGCTGAGGGATATGAGGTCAGCATGATTGTTCAATCGTGGAGAAAAGGTGGATATCACAAGAATCTATCGCCTTGACTATAGGTCTTCCTGGAGTAGTACACGGTACTGTCTTCGAAATTGCAACAAAGCTACCGAGGCCATGGCTAACTACATATATATCTACCAGAAGTAGACACTACATCCAACAACTGATACACGACATCCGTAATTAGTGCTCCCACTAGTCCGATCACCTCCACGCGGAGCCAATTCCGCAACCCGTACCTTCACACCAACTAGACCCTTAACCCCGCATCCTCGCAGCCGAAATCGTGATGCAACGACGTCTCTACACGGCTATACAAAAAGCCTTCAACGTCAAAATGTCTCAAGGCCCTGCAATCTGTCTGTTCTCGCATGCCAAACCTCGCAATGTCCTCTGAATACACCATCCCATGTAAAGCTATAGTAGCTTCCGACCAACACACATGGACGTGGACAGACCTATTCACCCGACCACCGAAAGAGGATGAATTCCTCGTCGAAATGATAGCTACGGGTGTATGCCATACAGATATCTCGGGCTATGGCGGGATCTATCCACGCGTGCTGGGTCATGAAGGTACCATTCAATCCACTATCAGAACACAACTGTCCCATCATACACTAGCCTGAATAGCCTCAAGTGCTAAAATGGCCTCCAGGATATCCAGCTTTACTCAACAGTACCCAAATCAGACACACATAGCACCACTAACGCTCTCCAGGCGCCGGCCGCATCCTTCAACTCGGCTCGTCCGCCCAAGAATCAAAATGGAAAATCAACGACTTGGTAATACTATCAGCCGCATCCTGTCAATCCTGCCTCTACTGCAAGACCGCCCACCCAGCCTATTGCACTTCCCACGCAGCCCTCACCTCCGGCGCCAACGAGCCCATCTTCTCCACCCCCGGACCCAACCCGCAAATCATCGGTGGCGGATACTTCGGCCAGTCGTCCTTTGCGTCCCCGGCCCCAGTCAAGACGTCTTGTGCTGCAAATGTCTCGCATTTGATCCGCGATGCGGAGGAATTGAAGAAGTATGCGCCGCTGGGGTGCGGGATCATGACGGGCGCGGGCGCAATTACGCATGTGGGTATGTGTGGGAAGGATGATGTAGTAGCCGTCATAGGCCTAGGGGGCGTGGGATTGGCGGGGATATGTGCTGCGAAGGAGAGAGGAGTACGACACATCATCGCCGTCGACCTTTTAGACAGTAGGATTGCATTGGCGAGGGAGATGGGGGCGACGGCGGGGCTATTGTCCACCGCAGAAGGCTTGCACGGGCGGGAATTGAGCGCGGCGATTAAGGGATTAACCCCTGAGAGATTGGGGTGCACGCATGTTCTGGACACGACGCCGTCGGTGGCGATTTTGGCGCAGTGTTTGGAGGCGCTGAGGAAGAATGGGATGGTGTTGCAGGTGGGGGTTAAGCCTGTGGGGGCGAGGTTGGATGTCGATTGTTTGAGTCATATGGTTAATGGGAGGAGGTTGGTTGGGGTAATCGAAGGGGATAGAGATCCGGTGGAAGCCTTGCCGGAACTTGTTGAGTGGGGGATGAAGGGCATTTTGCCAGTAGAGAAGATGTTAGTTGAGTTTCCTGTGGAAGAGTTTGAGACGGCGCGGAGTAAGATGGAAGAGGGAAGTGTGATCAAGAGTGTGCTGATATGGTGAGAAGGGTTTAAATAGCGTGGATGGCCATGGAGGGCTGTATGTCTTCAAAGTCCTTTCAGTACCTCACAACCTACTGCTTAGCCCTCGAGTCATTCCAGACTCGCGCATGATATAGTCACTCATTTATAATGAGTAGTTGGAAGATCAACAGAGCGCACGAACCATTGCAGTGCCTGATATCGCATTGTCTAATTTCCTGTGTTCATCTTGTATGCTTTCATGTGCTCGTTACAAGCACTCGAGTGACTCGCAGGTTGTCCAAATACACATTTCTGAATCGAGATGATGGCCGACAAGGAAGGTATCAGAAAGCTATGAAATCGACCAATTAATGACTTATTATCGTAATACTAGTCCATCACACCCACACAGTTCCGTGCTTTAAGAACGCCAATCCAAATGCGAAGCCTAAGGATACTTCCGTATCCTATTTCCCAGGAAAGCCCGATATCCCAACGCCTTGCTATGCATGAACCGTAAATAGTAACCTACCTTCTCTCTAAAACCATGTAATTGAAAAACGGCCGGATGACAAAGTGATCGTCGCCAGCAGATAGAGCGTGTTGAGGGTGCTCAAGAAGGCGAGCCAGCAAACGAAGGCGTCGGAGCAGTCGTCACAGGCGAAGCAGCAGCCGCATCTCGGAATGTATCGCTCATTCGCTTCGAGCCGTTGAGGAGCGGGCAGAGTCTATCAAATCATATTAGCAAACTATTCGTCAAAGAAAACCGGGATGAAGAGGAAAATCCCCCCTCAGGGCAGATATAGGGTTCAAAAGGCAGTAGAGGGGGCAATGAGTAAAGAAATCCGCGCTCACTTTTTGTTAGTCTTGATGTGTCCAACCTCTCCGCAGTTGGCGCACTTCCTGGGCGTGGCGCCACCTTTGCCGGGACCAGAAGACGCGCTTCCATCGCCGCCTGTGTTCTTGTAGATGCCCTTTGCCTTCTCGCGGCCTTCGCGCCGCTCGATGTTGCGGGCTAGACGAGCCATCTCCGCCTTAAGTTTGACGACTTGTTGCTTGTCGTACTCGCTGTCGCCGGTGGGCTTGATATCGTCGAGGCGCATGTTCATTAGGCGCTCTTGCTTCTTGCGCTTGAGGTAGAGTTTGATTACTTCGGGGTCGGTGATGGTCTCGACGACGTCTTCGTACTCGTCGTACTTGTTCTTGACTGTGCGGGTGATGCGTAGCTTCTTGCCTCGAGAATCGGCACCACTATTGCGCGAGTATTGAGACATGGTATCATCGTCAGCACGCATGTGAGCTGGAGTGCCGACCTCTGAGCGTTGTCGAGTAACATTACGAGCTGCGGCAGTGGAGTCGACATCATCTTCAATTTCAGACGGTGGATTGGCGGCGGAGAGCGAATCCTTCTGCTTGTTCCAGATCCGCTTGATAGCGTTCTCGTACATTGACTGTTGTCGCTGGACGTTGTAGCTGTGCCCTCCAAGCTCCTTCAGCTTCTTGGCATCGACACGGTCTGCAGCACTCTCTCCAACGTCACGGAAACCACCCTTCATGGAAACCTTGATGAAGCTGAAGCCCAGACCTTGACCAGTCGGGTCACCTTCGCCATGAAGTTCGAGCATAGCTTTGCCGGCGCAAGCGTTGAGGAAGTTCTTCGTCGTGTTCCATGGCGCCAATTTGACGTCCATGTTCTCGGCATCCTGCTCTTCCTCATCGTCTCTAATCTCGTTCGACTTGATACCTGCATCTTGCAGCTGCTTGTCACCAGCGTGCATTGAGTCAATCAAACACACGTCTTCAGGTTTGATCCAGGTGCGCAGAATGGGCTCTTCTGGAATAGTCTCGCCCGCCACAGGCTCCCATGTGCCGATGTCTTTCTGATACTTCATGATCTCTCTCATGCGAGAACGGTTTTGTGCAATCTCGGTTCCGGGCAGATGCTGCTTGATCATCTCATTGCTGACCCAAGGCTGTCGCGCACCTCGCTCCTTACCGCGTCTATATAGACGGAATGCCAACATCTTGAGTCGCTTCTTCGATGCTTCCGTGACCTTGCGAGCATGCGTCCCGGGCACTTCAACCGACGGGAATTGTTGGCCAACAACCATCAGGTTCGGAATGGTGCGCATGAACCACTTGGTGCCATTAACACCAGTATGGCTTCGACTAACAAGGAAATCTGTTGACTCGGGCTTGTGCTTGAAGACAGGAGCGCGGTACATGGCGTTGTGCATCGTCAGAACCTCCTGGCCAGGCTCGACCTGCCCGAACAGCGAGAACGGACTCTTGTCTTGGGGCAGCAAGACCGAAGTCTCGCCGATGCCATCGTCTCGCTTCGGTCTTGCGGTGTCTTCCATATCTTTTCGGCGGTAGTAATTAATGATCTTGACACCCATACCAAAGTTGGACAGCGTTGTCGGATACTCCTCCGAGTACTCAGCAAGGAGCAGATCAGAGTTGTCGCCCACGTTGAGATCCTCAGCAACAGCAAACGCCTCTGATGGTTTGAGGTTCTTCTTGTGCTTCCTCTTTTGAGACTTGAGCATAGAGATACCAGCCCGCTCTCCAGGCTTGAACGTCATCGTAGGTCGATGGAATGAGCGAAGCTCACGGTCGTTCAAGTTGACCTTGTAGAAGGGATACTGCAGCTTCAATGCAGGCAAGGCGTGTTCCACGTTCATGTGACCAATCGTACTCCTGACCTTCTGCGTGCTGCTCTCCTTGAGCGCATCGTACGCCTCGTCGTTTGAGATGTTGTAGCGCTTGAACATCGGGTTCGCAAGACTACCACGATTGTCACGCTTGAGACCAAGACCGGCGCGAGGTTTTTGTGCCTCAGCACTGGGTTGCTGAACATCGAGAAGCAGATGAGGATCGTTCATGTCAAGGAGGATCTTCTTCGAGAGTCGCGCGGTCTCAAGCTCCGGATCGTCCCAGGACGGCAGATCCATATTGTCATAGACCGTAAAGCTAATACCCTCATCACGTGTGCCAAGCCTCCGCTTCTTCGCTGGTACTGGACTCGTCCAACTCTGGTCCATTTGGTCTGGGTTGCTGTCTGGTGGCGTGATCGGCTCTCGCATGTCGTCTGTGGCAGTTGCTTCACTAGTAGCATCTGGCAGGTCCCATTCCTCGCAAGCGATCATCAGGTCGTTCCATGAGACGTTTCCAATCTTCTCCTTCTCGTCAAAGGTCTCGGTATTCTCAAGCTCCACTTGCTCGTCCGTCTGGCGAAGCTCTTCAGCATCATTCATGATGTATATAAGACCCCCTTCGGCTTCCTCGGTATGCCGGGTAGTCTTGGTCGCAACCGCGGCAGGAGGAAGTCGGAAGCTCTTCTCCTGGTCGGGCGCGAGATCGAGATTGGCCTTCGTAAAGAGCATGAGCTTGTTGGCCTTTTGTGGTATCTTAGGAATATAGTATGCGCGTTTCCGAGGAATGAGGCTGAAGAATCGTGGAGGCTTGTCGGGCTCGAAGTTGGGCCAGACCTTCTCAAACTCCTCTGGTGAGGTCTTGACGCGCTCCTCTTCCTCTTCCTCCGGCTTCCTTGGCCTGGCCGCCTGCGCGAAGAGGGCCATCTGTTCGCGATACTCGGGATCATCGTCCTCTTCCTCGACTTCCTGTGTTGCGCCATACGTAACGGTGCGAAACGTTGGCTGTCCCTGGATACCACCAGCGCCTCGCGAACCGTCTTGTCCCGCACCATTTGCGCCTTCAATCGAGTTGAGAGGACGATCTTCGTGTTCGCCATCTTCTGGCTCCGGATCTGAGTCGCCGAATAGTTCCCGCTCCATCGCATCGTCGTCAGCGTCGGCATTTTCACCGGAGCCATGCGCTGTAGTCCCGCTAAAGTCTTCCAGGTTGAAACCGTCATCCTCGCCACTGCCACTTGCAAGTTCCTCATCGGGCAGGTCATCGTCGCCTATATCCTCGTAATCGATCGCGTCCTCCGCCTTCTCGCCGCGGTCGAGCTCGCGGCTGTTGAGGTCGTCAAGGAAGTTTCCTCCACCTTCCGCAGCAGTCGCCTGTGCTTGCTGGAGGAGCTTGTCGATGTCGTCATCGGCCGGTAGACCCCCATTTGGGGCACCGTTGAAGCCGTCCATGGTCGCGCGTGTGGTGGGTCTGGTTGAGGGCGAAGTTGAGGTAGGTTGATTTTCCGAGGGAACAAGTATTATTATGGGGGCGCGCTATCTGCCAGCGGAGGACTCAGGCGCACCGCAGGGTGAGTGAAAGTTTGGGGATGAGTGGTCCGTCATCCAAGCTGTCCCCGCGATCGGCGTCGTCGCGCGAGGTGTATATACAGCGATCCTGGCGTGATCGGTATTTCGAACTGCTGCAGGTAGGTCTGTCGGAAGCGTACGGTCGTGGTGTCGGTGATGCCCGTGGGCACAGCTGTCGTGTAAAGGTGATGAAGGTCGCGGCGGAGACCTGGTCGCGAGTGAGGCTAGCGCGTTTCGGGAACCAATCACATCAACATTCATCAACAATAGGCATGCTTTGTTCTGACGAGCATGCTATCTGATTTTCTCCTACATATGGTATCTAGTATAGCTTGTTCAGCCATTTACTTGCTCAAAGAGCTAGAACTCACCTCCCGTGCCAAGTCCCTCGCCGAGGTCAGCTCACGGTAAAGCTCGAGTAGCAATCACCACATGTTTCAAAACTACACACAAAATGCAGGACGCAGTTTGATTGATTTGTTTGATTCCATCTATCTACCCAAGATCCATCATGCCGAGCCCATCCATACTCAACTCCCCATCCAGATTGCCTCGCGCCCCAATCCACCACTATTACCAACTACTGAAAGCTATCCTACAAGAAAAGTCAAGCATCACACACCTATGCAAAAGCAGCACAAAATAAACAAAGGAGAACGAAGATATGATTCTACTCCCTTTCCATACGTCCGTTAGGCTAAGAAGACATACATGGGAGCGAGAAATAAAAACAACAAAAGAAAACTGCGAGCGCCAATCACCACGGGTAGATGGAGGTGATGAGGTAGCTCATGGTATCATGCATACGCGACGCAAGTAGCAACAAAAGAAAAGTCCAGAGGCTTCAGCTATCCAACGCTGAGTGGATTAAGATTGTGGTCCCGGATATTGGCATGATGGAATGGGTAAGAAAGTGAGTAATGTAACAGCTCAGCCTACGCGAATAGTCGTATCCACATCCAAAGGTGTACGCGGTAGCTCCTTGTTTCTCTCTGGACTCCTGCTCCTCTTCTCCTTGGGTGGCGTGGGAGGACCTGAGTGGCGATGCGAGAAGGGCTCGTCCTTTGGTGGGGTAGGTGGCCGTCCTCCGCTAAGCGCTGTACCTGTACCAGAGTCCTTCGGTGGAGTTGGCGGTGGTCGCCCAGGGTTTTCGTCTCTCGGTCGCGACCGTGAGCGAACAGGAAGGCCGAGGAGTGTGTTCTTGAGCGGTGGCGCTGGTGGAGAAAGAGTGTTGTCTCCATCAGAAGCACTTCGATTGCTCCGTCCACCTACACTAGAGGACTCGCCGGCTTCTTCGACCACCGGAAGGGTGGTGCCTATCTCTCCTCGCTCAGCAGACGGACTACGTACTGCCCTCATGTCACGATTTGGAACGTCTTCTTCGCTCCGGCCGCGCTGTCTCGAACGCCCAGCCTGCCATTCCGCCTTTTCGATGACGCGATCGGTCGTGTGCTGCTGTGACGCATCGGAGTTGATACCGGCAATGATAGGTTCGTTCTCGGCACGGGCGGCTTCGTGCTGTTTCTCTCGTTCGGCAGCTTCTTTCGTTTTGGTAACACCACTGATAAATCTCACAAAGCGGTCGCCGTATCGTTCAGGGGGTATGGCAGATATTTGTGATTCCGTGTTCGCAAGGCCTTTGATGAAATGCTCCATACGCTTGATAACGGAGTACTAAAGAGCATTAGCCGGCTGCTCAAGAGCCTTCAATCTTGTCAACTTACGTGTGTGAGACAGTCAATGATACCGAGATAGTAGATCTCCTCACCCGGCGCGTCGTCCTCATGCGTGGCCCGGAAGCCACCGTCATCAGAGTAAAAGTAGAAGTTCCGCTTGGGATCTTGCAACTCGTCGGGCATCTTGCTAGAAGTCTGTTCCATGGGCACTGGCTTCTGTGTCTTGACCATTTGTCGCAGTTCCCTCGCTTTACGCGAGGCCTCCAGCTTCGATGGCGTCCGCACAAGCATGTTAGGCTGTGGATCTTCTGCAGCCTCACCACCGGGCTGGAAGACTTTGAGAGTCTTGTCTCGCAAGTTTTCCTCGTTACCCCTTTCCAAGTCGTGGATGCCGACCAAGAGCGAGTAGTCCATGATGTGCAGGCGTTGTAGTAGTTTCACATCCTTCTGCATCTGCTCGATAAACATCCTCTTCTTTGTTGGACCGAATTCTAAATGCAGGTCTCGTCGCAGCCAGTTTAGATCCTTGAGTGTCGCGCGGGGGTTCGCTTCTAATTCTTCCTCCTTGAAGTCTCGGCCAATGGTGGAGCCCTTTAGATCAAATGTGCGGTGGATATCTCGATGGGGTGGGAATAAGTTGTTCATGACGACGAAATGGATCTTCCGTCCGTATGGTATCTTTACGCGATGTAAACCGTAAAACTGGGAGAGGAGAGTGTTCGGGTTCTCCTGGACATGGTTGTAGTAGTCCTTGAGAATCTTCCGCAGGAACTTGTGCTCGGCGTGGTGAATGGTTTTGATGATGTATTTGTAATCACGGGAGAAATAGAAAAAGCTGCCACTCTTGCCGGGCGAGCCCAGCTCAGAGAGAATGTATTTGCTTGTTAGCGATACGAGGTAGTCGGCAGGATCCAGCTTGAAGGTAGAGCGGAGATGGCGGAAGACCCATGGAGCGTAGTCCTTGAACTTGAAATCGTACTTTGCGGATGGAGTGAGCTCGTTGCCGGTACTAAGAGGTTGTTAGTTGATGAAGCAAAAGACAAATCATACAGGCCACCCAGACTCAACAAAACTGAACTCCAACAAATGCTTGACGAGATGAGGAAATCCTGATGGCACGTACATGTCAAACGAGAACTTATGCTTCGCGTCGAAATCGGCATCGGTCAGGTCGCGGTCCATCTTGGCGTTTGTCCGCGACACGGTGAAGCGGATGCCGGTAAGCATGTTGTAGGCGGTGACCCAGTTGACATGGTGCTGGTCGACTTTGGTTCCAACGACAACGCGGTCGTCGTCCTCGTCCTCCTTTCTTTTTCTCTTGCTTGCGCGCTTCTGTCGAATGTGTTCGGCCCATCGCGCTGCATCGTCGTCCTGAGGCACCTCGTCCGGGTGCATCTCTGAGTTGACTGATCGTGTGGTCCTACGCACAAGGGACATGGACCCTCGCCGACGCCCTCCAGACGTGGGGGAGAAGCGACCGCTCGCCGAGACGACGTCGTCGGTGTTGCTTTGCGCGTCGCGAGCGCGTGAAGTGGCGAGCTTGGGGACCTCGAGGGTGTGGCGCTGCTGCAGACGGTAGGGATGTTGCGATGGCGCTGGGGCGTTGTGGTTGAAGGCCGGCGGCGAGGAGACGCGATGCGCCGAGGCGGGCACCTGCAGGTTGGCAGGCGCATCGCCAGACTGAGGCTGCTGCGCGCTCCCTGGGCTCGACACCGTGCCGACGTGGGGCACAAAGTCCTTGCTGGCTTCCCTGGTGCCGTCGAACGAGTCCAATTGGCCCAGCTTGACGTGCGTGGTACCGGAGCGGTCCTTGGTTTCGCTGCTGTGTATCGACGCAAAGTAGCCGTCGTCTCTGTTCGGCATGTCGCCCGAGTTGTAGAGGCTCTGCGACTCCCGGCTCCTCCGCGATGGTGTCTCGTCTTGCGATAACCGCTTATCTATGCTCGTCCGCTGGGCAGGGCGGCCGTTGGGGACCGACTGCATTGGCGACCCATTGGGGCCGTTGCCGTTCATCTTGGCCGTGTTCCCGTTCGAGAGCCTCACTCCATTCTCCCACCCGGCGGGCGGCTTGTCAGATGAGGTGCGCGTGGGAAGACTGAAGTTGGGGTGCGAGGCGTGGTTCGGGCGGTCGGTGGAGTCGGCCGCATACGGGGGCATTATCTGGGACTCATGGATGGTCACGCTCATCAAGGAGGCAGTCTTTCCTCCTGGAAGCTGCGCCTGAGGGGTTGTGGAAGCCAGCTTGGGGCTTGCAGGGCGGATGTGGCTGGAAGACGCTATGTTGCTGGAGAGACGGGGTGGATGGCGGTGCTGGGCGGCTTGGGCGGAACGGTGCGGTCGAGAATAGGAGCGAACAGCAGCACCCTCGGCAGCCTTTTCGCGTCTAGGATAATGGTACAAGAGTCGCAAGAATGGCAGCGCGGTGTGCTGGAGAATGGGCGGGAGTAGTGACGAGTTGACGAGTTTCCGGACAGCCGTCTTTGCTCCTTGGCACGATGCAGGTGCACGAACCCCCCGGAACCTGGAATTGTCCAACTGCGAAGCAGTGCGAAGCAGTAGTACTTGATACCGAGACGACGACGAGTTCTTGCGCTTCTTGACGCAGCAGGTTTAGGCTATGTCGTGTCACACAATGCGACGAGTCTTGCGATGAATTCACACAATCACTTCAACCCCACATCTCTTCTGCTGGCTGTTCCCAGGGGAACATGCGCCGTCGTAGCTGGAAATTGGGAGCTGGAAGCCATTCTAATTCGGGAGAGTCGCGCTGCATGCTGCGCCACACACAATTCCAGAAGCCCGGCACCCCGGCGTGGGCGCCCGTCCGCGAGCAGCGTCTTCTGCCCATCTACGCCTCACTCTACACGACGACTCCTGAGGATTGACACATGCACTCATGATAGGGGAACATGACAACTTTCTCCGGATAGCATATAATACTGGCCGCTCCTGTAAGACGCGTTCCCGGCTCAAGCGGGATCGCGTATGGAGCTTTGGACAAGCTGAAATGAGGGCAGCCCTGCGTGGCGCTATGCTGGCACTTGCGCACAACGAGATTGGCATGAGGGGTGACGTCGGCGTCTTTTCGTCCGTGAAACACGATTTGACCGCGGCATTGTATCGACTCTTGCTTCATCGATGCGCGACTTTGGTACTCATGCTAGGTCTGACAACCCCATATTTGTTTTGCTACGGAGAGCCACTGTTGCTTTTAATTCAGATAGTAATCTGATAGGGTATTTACAAAGAGACTGTGGAAAGAAAAATAACTTATACATTATACCATCGCACACCGGTGTGACCGGTGTTTATACGTGAATCGTGAGAGGAATTATGAGTTGACACGGTACTAAGTGACTCGTTGCATTGCCGCCTTGCTGGTAGAGGTGAGGCGAGGACCAGACGCCATGTGTCCTGTGCTATCCCATCCAATGTAGCATGCCTTGAGCACATTGCTGTAGCACACACAATCTTGAGGTCTACCAACAACTTCGCCGCAGAAGTATCTCCCGTTACGTCAAGGCATCATAGCTGCCATGGGACGTATATCATGGTACTTCGCGGCAACGCAGTACATCTCTATGCGGGATGATTTAGGATGGTGTGGAGGTTTAATTGAATGGAGCAGGAGCGAGTATCATCCACAATCGATGCGATGATGTTCGCCAGAGGCAAGACTGACCACGTCCGTACGAGTAGGTTTTCGCCGCTCGTTATCCTGGCCTTCCTCTAGCATCCTCTTCACCTCGTCAACAGCGAACTGGCCGATGCGTGTTTGTTTCACCGCCCACCCTCGATTGTCTTTATCAGCGTCGTGCGCCGATATCCAAGCTTTGGCGTAGAGACTTTTCGCAATCTGTAATCCACCGGGCGAGCCAGTCGAGATGTTTCCGCCCAGCCACCATGGATTCTCCACGCAGTCAAAAGAATGCATTAGTGCTGTGAGAGGCAGGGCTGATTCCCGTACGAGGTGAGATGAAGCGTATGGCCGGATAGTCTCGTACGAAACTCCATGAGGCGAATAGATGACAGACAGGGTCTTTTCGCGATCGTTGTACGGTGAAGGGCAAATTGTCATGGGAGACATCGGAGTCCTTGGAGTTGCAGGCGGGCTCATGGGCAGATCGATATAGTGCCCTGGACTGCGCATCGACAGTGGAGTACATGGTGGACGATAAGTAATGCCAATCGCATGGTGCAAGGCTGTAACGTCACGCTTCGCTGGAAGCCATGATAGGGTGACCTCTCCACAGGTCCCTCGAGGCGTCGGCGGTGGTAGAACGATGCGATATATGGATCTGTCATCGCCCTCTGTGTACTTGGGTAACGCTTGGACAAACTCTGGACGGAAGTGGTTCCATGAATTGATCTTCTTAACAGCTGCTGGAGTGGCGAGTATAGTAGACTCGCAGTCAGATGGCAATTGACGCAGTGTCTCCTCGTGACAATGATCCGGTTTGTGCTGCGAGATGAGGATCACATCTGGCTCGAGGTCAAGTTCCTTGAGAGACGAGATACATGGCTGGCTCTTCTGCTCCGAGTGCGAGAAGATGGAGTTGAGGATGATTGAAGGCCCAACGATCCATGGATCGACCAGGATGGAGAACGACCCGGGGAAACAACCTGGGGACGAGAGTGGAGCCACTGGAGGGTTGAATATGAGTAGGAAGGACGTGTCACCGTTGAGTGATTTGATGGTCAGGGACATGGCCACGCATTTGCAAGGTGCAGTCCCGTGTAAGACTGAACCTGAAGAACGACATGAGGGGACATGACAGCAGGTTGTCAGAAATTGAGGACGTCAGCCGTCTCGCGTGGATAAAGATAGGACTTGATTGACGCCACGAAACGGGATTTCAAAAGTAGTGCGGCAGGTGCTACCGAGCACCTGCACAACAAGCCCGTCTGCGCCTGCCCGTTTCGCGCCCCCTTTCCTCAACATTTTGACCGTCGGATATCCTTCCCTCGCTGCAGTCGCTGCAGTCTAGCAAAGTACATAACTTGGACGCGTACCCACTTGCATGTGCCTTTTCCTTCACTTCCATCCGGACCGGACCTTCATCACGTGTGATCTACAACCAATCACGGCGCGAACCTCGCGTAGGACTGCCTCTCGGCAAGCAGACGAGAAAGCGACACCCGCCGCGCTGCAGCAGCAGCACCGGGGTGATCCTGTCTCGATTGATGGCAATCAATCGACAATGCACCATATCAAGCGATGACCGAAGTTGCACGCCTTCTCCACCTACAGCGCCTATGGAAGTGCATTTATTATACGCACTGAGGCTTTCCACACACACACTCTGTTGTAGACATGGTTTGAGCAACGGCTGGGTTCGCTTTGTAGAACTGGACGCATCCTTGCACCATTCGTTGCGAGCATCGAAAACGTTTCGCCCTTCTTATGCCGTAGTGGCACTGTAACGACACGCATAACCAGACACCTCTCGGGAGAGTCTGAAACAAAGGTACTACGAAGCAGATGAGGTGACTGCTGTCTTCTGCCCAGTTTCCGCAGTCCGATCTGGCTGGTCGAGATGGTGCCTCGCAGCCCAATGCCGTCCTAACTGTGTCCGGCCAAAAAGCGGCCGCGGATTGGGGCTCTGAGTAATTCACACAGGCAGTATGGAACGGTAGCTATAGCTTAGCTTCCCTGCTCGGTTTCTTTCATCAGGCACTGCGGCCTATGAGCGTCCTGCAAAGAGCTTGAGCTCTGGAGCTGAGCTGAGTGGCGAGACAAGCTCTGGCAACAAGAGAAACGCAAGTGAAAGCTTCGCACAAGCAGTGCAACACTGATCGCATACTCATTCACCTTTGATTGCATAGCGCATAGCCAGATTGAACGGCCTTGGTTTCATCACCGTCGCTACTTACATCTCAGCGGACTGACTGCTTTACCTATACCCCGCGCCGACTCAGCACCCCTCAACTCCACCATCCGCACACCAGAGCAGTTCCAAGCCTCCGCGAGCTCGCCCATCGGCAACGCGGACCCGCCTGAGATCTGACCGAGTTTCCAGAGCTCCCACAGCTTCGCAACAGCGTTTCATAGCTGCAAAGCTTCCATTGACGCCCTGATACCCCACTCTGCTTCCTGCGCACGGTTCTGCCGAGCATACTCCCATCGATGCTGACTATGACACCGCGGGCGCCGTTGACTGGCTCCTTCTCGGTAAACGAGGAGAACAATGTCGTCGTCTGTCCTCTGCGAAACCATGACGCATCGGCCTGTCGGAAGCGCTGCACAGGCGTAAGTCTCTCGAGTGCGCTGGAGTTGCATGCCCGCGTCATAGCCGGAGCATGTAGCAGACGAGACTGAAGCTTACGAGAGAATGTGTAGGAAAAGCGATATCGCTCCATGCAGGAGCATATCCGCCGTGCACATCCCGAGCACTACATATCGAAGCTCCCAGCGACCGAGGAGAGCTTCACGCTGATGGTCAACACTCCGCCTCAGGAACGACCACCACCACCACCCATCCCAAGCAGCTCAGCAGGACCACAAGGTTGGTGCCCACGCCCCTCCGACAGCTTTGGGGACTGACACAATGGGCAAGTGTACGCGCCCAACGACTTCAGCGCCTTTGTCGAGGCAGACTACGGCTCGAGTGCGCCTGCCGCAACTGCTGCAGCTGCCCTGGCCTCGTTACACAATTACCGCGCCGAGCTGGACTGGGAATCAGAGCCGGTAAGGAGCCGCACTGCAGCTGTCCTGCATGTGGCCGCATACTAACCAGGTTGTTGTGCACAGGATGCGCCCTCTGACCACGATTCGAAGAGCTACAGGCCCCGCGCCCGATTTGCACCCACGACACACGAGCAGCAGTTTGCCCCCGAGGAGCCCTACTACACCGCCACGTCGATCCAGCGCGAACTACTGCCCTCCTCACTGGCCCACTCACCGCCCGGCCGCTCGTCCACGCTGCCACCCGCTCCCCGCTCAATCCGACCAAACCGACCCCGCAAGTCGTCAGTGGGGCAGAGTGCACGAAGGGGAAAGCATGAGCGCCAAAAGTCCAAGGACCACAGCCGGAGGTTAAGCTACGACAGAAAAGCATTCTCGGCCGAACCCCAGACTGCTGCTGCCATCATGGGCAAACGCTGGGAAGACCTGATTGACGCCGCAGCTTCAGCGACCGAAGAGGATAGTCGAGACCTCACTCCGGTAAGTGTCGTCACCCTTCCCTTCATCCACTTTCTAACATACCCAGGTGCCGCAGTCGCCATATCACTCGCCGCACACCAGCAATCGGAGGTCCCTGCCACCGTTTGCTGCTCCACATTTCCAGTCCTACACAGCTTCACCATTGCAGCGCAATCTGACCCCACCACCGCCCGACATGTCAGATCTACAGCCATTTCCTTCCGTCGAGTCCTCTATTGAGTCGGCAGTTTCTGGTCATGGATTTCACATGCCTTCTCAAGGGCTCTCTGATTCATCTCCTACTTACCCATATCCCGTCCAGATCTACTGTGCGGCCTGCCGCAAACTCTCTGTGCTGCGGGACAGCTACGCATGTTCAGAGTGTATCTGCGGTCTGTGCCAAGAATGCGTCGACGTTCTTGTCAGCGAGCATACACGAGGTAGGGCTACACGATGTCCACGGTGCAACGCGGTTGGCGGCAAGTTTAAGCCTTTCCAGCTAGACATTCGATGAGCTAGCCATCTCCACTTTCCTTTCATTCAATACCCCACATTCTTTCCATGATGTTATCATTTATTGGCGTTGGAGGACTGATCTATTGTCGTTCGGAGCCTCCTTTACCTGTTGCTCATAGACAGAGCTAGCCCTACAGGGCAGATGACGTTGGCATTGGCTTAGATGGGCGCTGCGTAGACCACGCTGATGCATGGCGTTACTTGATTTTCAAAAGGGACCACATAGTGGCATGCCCGACACAGCGAAGACTTCGCACTCTGGTACCGCGTTATTCGTTGAATGAATGACTTTCAGTGGCGCTATCTTGCGACCACATCGCTCAGAACCGCTACGCTCCCTGGGGCTGAAGCTCCATTTTCGGAATTATTCCGACAAGCCGTCTCGTTAATCTTTATTGACGAACCAAACAGCAGGCCCTTCAGCTTTGTGCGGTTGCTGATGTGTGGTACGGTTGAGCTACGGGCGTCTTCGGAAGACTGACTTGCGATGAGTGAACCACGGTTTTGTTCTTGCCATGTGCCAGTGTCAACGCCGCCCTAGCCTACCGCAACTTGGACCTATCCCCCTCTACGGCCAGATCAAGGCGACACGACGAACCATAAGCTTTCGTTGGTAAAAAGCCACGCTGAGAACACATGCCTATTTCCGACCTTTCGTCCCTGCAGGGCGTTGAAGCGAAGTGGGTATTTTTACCATCGCGTGCTGTCCGGTCCCAGGGTCTAACGGCGAAAGGGGGTCGCCCGCGGAACGGAGAATTGTCCGCGTGCTGTCGTCTATGTATCTACCGGATGGTGCAACATTGGGTAGATCTGAATTTCCGAGCACAAAGTTCTAGTTCTAGATTAATTTCACATTCTTCTTGCGGACGTTGTGCAAGGATGTGTCGTGTGACTCGCAAAATACGTAAGTGCAAACCCAGCGCATGATTTGATGTTTGGGTGGTGTTCGCCATCGTCGATTTGGTACCCAATCGCACATGGCACTTTGTCTGGGGAATTGCCGGATAGCCAAAGGGGGAATGTCTGACGAATGGGATGGGAATCATTCGGCAAAACACTTTCAGGCGGTGTGTTCGTCCCAACCTTGCGGTAAAGGTAGTTGGGTAAGGGACCTATGTCATACGCTTTTCCAGCTGCTGGCTATACCGAATGCATCGCCAAACCTTCGCTGCACCACCGCACTCAGTTAGGAATTCGATAAAAGCCAGCGCAAGACGGGTATTTGCATCACTCTCTACATGGTCAACAAAGAGCAAGGGCAAACTTACAGGCCGAATCGGCTGGTCTTGGACGTTTTCCCTCGTGTTGTCCTGTTCTGTTCCTGAGAGATCGGCGCGGCTAAACAGGCGCAGGGCCCACGCTTCGCGGACCCGCTCTGGTCTGGACATGGCATACCTTGTTTGGGGCTACTGCGGGTATGTATTGGAAGATGCGTATTGTGGAAGATCTGGATTGCCCAAAAGAAGGGGGGAGGGGCGTGAAGGGTATTTAGTATGTGGCTTGCTCGTGTGCGCAGTTGCTGCTTTTCCTGGGGTGATTATACGTCGCATAACATTACATCGACTTCTCGACACGAATAGACTGTACACTCGGACCTGGAAAGACTACTGTCAACATGCCTCTCCTTCGCAACCTCACGACTAAGATCAAGACGGCTATCTCACCGTCATCTTCGCCCGTAGCTTCGCCTACGTCTTCGCCCTCGGGCTTCGAAGTCCTCAGCGGCCGCAGAGAAGGCGATGGATACACGGTGAAACGCCCCGAGACGAGTGCGCGCGTTGACAGCTTCATGACGGACGAGATGTCCCAGGCCAAAGCGCGGCGCGTCAGTCGCTTCCGGGAGGAACTCGAGTTTGAGCACGAGGAGTAGAAACATGAGATGCGATGAGGTACGTTTGTTGATGTAAATCATGTTTCGTTTTACTGTGTCTAATATGATTTACAGACATTCAAATTAGCTCATGCTGTCTCTGCAGGCGCATCGTCTTGTACAGGTGTAGCACTGTTGGATGGCGGGCCTCCTCTAGGTGGTCCGCCAGCTTTCGGAGGAGGAGGGACGCCGCCGGTCTTCGCTTTGGGCGCGTTGTCCTCTGCTAGACTCTTCTCCTCGCCTTCCTTGAAGTAGTCGTCTAGTCCACCACCACCACCGGCTGGACTAACGACATGGTGCGCTCTGCCCTTCTTCCTGGGTGGCGCATTGCCTTGAGGTGGAGGCGGGGACTTACTCGGCAGCGCCATGTTTGCTGGGACGAAGAGTTCCGTTGGCGCACCTGCTACCACGGGATTTCCAGACATGTCCGAGAGCGCCCGCTTCTCGTCGAAGGACGTCGGCGCGGTGTCGGATGAGAAGAGCGTTTCGCCAGGTGCTTGTGGCGGCTCCTCCAGAGACGGTGGAATACGGTGCAATGCGCCGAAGCCCAATACACATCCCAGCGCCCCTTCGCCGCCCCAGCCACGACTCGGCGTGATCGTGACAGGACGTGTGACGTCGTACTCGTGGTTGTACACGATCAGTCGCAGAGGCCGGTTGAGGAAGTCCTCAACAAGTTCACCGAGGCCGGATTCACCGCGGACAAGTCCTTCGGGGCTGCCGATGACGTAGTCGCCGTATGGGAGCAGGCCGGCTACATCGGCGGGAGAGTTTGGTGCCACATCGAGGATGTGCCATACATCTTCGGCGAGGGCGAGAGGGGACCATTGGAGAGAGATGCCTAGGGTCGGGTTTGTGGAAGGAACGGAGATGTAGACCTCGCGAATCTTCTGGCCCTGTTGTTGGGTTTAGAAGACCTCCTTGAATTGGGGCGTTGATGGGCTCGAGAAGACGATGTAGAAGCCTCGTGACATAAAGAATGGAAACCATGATGCAAACACAACTTGACCGTCCATCCCACCAATGCATCTTTTGACAGACAATATGACATGAACCAAGACATGAAAAGTGTAAAGCTCAAGAAAAGTGAAAGGAGATTCGGTGAAGCTTACCTTCGCGCTGAAGACCCCCAAGCTCACCGTCTGCCCAGCACAATTTCTTACCTCAGTCGCAAAAAGGCTCGGATCAGGACTATCCTAATACACGTCAACACCTTCCCCTCCACACCTCTCGACCTAACTCACAATCGTGCGCCCATTAATACCAATAATGAAGTCAAACCACGGCTCCAGCGGCACTTCTTGATTCGTGTTCCTCAGAACCTGGAAGCCAAACGCTCCATTGACGGCAGACTGCTGTTCCTCGATGGGCGCAGCATCGAGCCGCGAGATGAAGCGGTTTAGGGCGCCGAACATGCTCATGATGAGTGGTTGTGGAGGGGTAGATGAAGTGAGGTCGGTGTTGTTGATGCTCGAGGACATCTGGAGGTTTGGGATGTTGATGGGGCTAGCGGCGATCGGTGGGTCGCGCTAGTGCAATGAGGTTCAACTTCGAGAAAGTCACACCTGCAAGTGAACTTGAGGTGTGGAAGAGTTGTGAACTTCGGATAGATGATTTGAGTGCATAGTCAGGCACTCTACGTTACATCAACAGCCTCACCAGGCTGTCGTATTCACATCGCACTATCGCTTAAGTGATCTAGTGCACTGAGTTTGTCTTTCTATCTTCCCACCACCTCTCACTACTACTCTCCAGATCTCTACTTCTTCAATTGAATTTTCCTATTCTCTTGAGAAAATTACTACACTTTAACACCAATATCATGTCTTCTTCTAAGCCCAGCGAGGAAGGCATCCACCAATGGCTCCACGTCGACCAATTCCCCGAAGAGCTCAAGAAGTAAAACGCCACCATATCATCAACACTCATTTTTCCAGACACTAACTTCAACCCAGATACTGGTTTCAGCGCTTCAAAATCTGGGAGCAATACGACAAAGGTATCTGGATGACCGAAGATGCCTGGTTCGGCGTAACCCCAGAACCCATTGCAAAGTACCCTCAACCTCAACCAACCCCAAATCCCCCCTCCCTCCCACTAACACCCATGAAGTAAAATTGCAGCACACATCGCCGAATCCGTCCCATCCTCCAAGTCGATCATCGTCGACGCCTTCGCCGGCGTCGGCGGCAACGCCATCGCACTCGCCCGCTCCGGCCGCTGGGAGCGCGTCTTCGCGATTGAAAAAGACGAGAAGACTATGAAGTGCGCGAAACACAATGCCGAAGTGTACGGCGTGGCGAGTAAGATCTTTTGGTTGACGGGGGATTGTTTCGAGGCGATTCAGAGGTTCAAGGGAAGTAATGAGGTTGTGATTTTTGCGAGTCCGCCTTGGGGCGGTACGTATCTTATCTTCATCTCACATTTCCAGGTTGGGAGTAATGGGCATGAATGAGCTGACGAAATCGATATAGGCGTCGAATACGGCTCCGAAGATGTGTTCGACTTGACTTCCATGCAGCCGTACAACCTGGAAAAATTGTACAAGAGCTTCACGAAATACACGGATGAAGTCGTGCTGTACCTCCCCAGAAATTCAGACTTGAATCAGATTGCGAGGTATGCCAAGGACGAGAAGAAGAAACTTGAGGTTGCGCATTATGCTATCATGGGGGCTAGTAAGGTGCGTCAAACGTATGTTGGCTGGGAGGAGCAGTATGTGGCTGACAAATTATAGGCTTTGTGTGTGTACTTTGGGGACTTTAAGTTTGATGTGGACGAAGAACAGCCGTGAAGGATTTGAGACTTCTCAGAGATTCTTCGAGCAAGCCATAGTTCAACTGGAATGCTTCAAGGGTAACAATGAAGAGTGCTGATTATCTGGTCGTGGAGACAGCAGCATAAGCACATTAAAAGCAATGGTAATTAATTGGATCTGAGGGATGGATAGCTCGGTTAACGCACAATCGTGGTATGTTAGATGGACGCCTCATAAGTAATCAAGTGGAAGACACATTGAGTATTGGAGTTGGCACGCAATTAGTCTTCATTATGCATGCAAGATAGCGTCTATCATAGTATACAATGCATGCCACACCTCCGCATCCAAGCCTCCCCACCAGTCAGCGAATCGCTCACTTGTAAAAGTCGAACTTGTCCGCCTCGGTGGTTCCCTTCACTTGGCTCGTGTATGCCTCCTCCAGATCCGCCTGGATGATGTTGTACCTGTTCTTCCGTACCGCCCTCAAACCTGCCTCTTGCATGATAGCTGCAATAATTGCACCGGATAGCGGGTCGTTGCGCACGATCAGACTGTCGAGATCTACCTCTGGCGAAAGACTCATCTTACTGGCGATGGTTGAGAAAATGAGACGTCGCTCACGGCGATCACGGAGAGACGGGAACTCGATCTTCCTGTCAAGACGACCGGGTCGGAGGAGCGCGGGGTCGAGGGTATCGGCGCGGTTGGTGGCCATGATGACCTTGACGTTGGAAGTTTGGTCGAAACCGTCCATTTGGTTGAGCAGCTCAAGAAGGATACGCTGGACTTCTCGATCGGCACCGGTCTGTGCATCGAAACGTTTTGTAGCGATAGCATCGATCTCGTCGATGAAGATGATACACGGGGAGTTCTCGCGCGCCATTCGGAAGACGTCACGGACCATACGGGGTCCCTCACCAAGATACTTTTGGACGAATTCGGAGCCCACCACTCGGATGAAGGAGGCGGTAGTGCTATTTGCCACAGCCTTGACCAGCATAGTCTTTCCTGTACCTGGGGGTCCGTACAGCAACACACCGCGGGGCGGGTCGATACCAATCTGCTTGTACAGGTCGAAGTGCGTGAGCGGTAGCTCGACAGCTTCTCTGATTTCCTGCTTCTGCATGTCCAGACCTCCTACATCGGCATATGTGACGTCGGGCTTCTCGTCCTGGCCAAGCATGGCAATCGAAGAGTCGGCCTCGGGAGGCAGGATGTCAACGAGCGCATTTGAGTGACGGTGCAGTGCTACCGATGAGGAGGGCTTCAGCAGTTCGCGGTCGAGGGTCGAGAGAATGCGGACAACGTAGTTTGAGCCTGTTGAAGACTGTACGATACCGGTGCTATGGCTGTTAGCTTGCGGCGACAGCCAAACGTGGTGTGCTCACTTCTGATCGATCGCCTCCATGAACTGCCCTATCACCAGCGGCACACTCTGGATACGCTTGATCTCCTCCTGTGCTCGCACGAGCTCGCGCTTCAGACTCCGCTGCTCGTCCTTGATGTACTCTTCCTGAAGGTGGATGTACCTGCGCCAGTTAGCCACCGATTCCCACGGCAGATAGAGGGGCAGGGACTCACTCCAGCTGCCTTTGTAGCTTCTTAAATGTGGAGTAGTCATCGCTGCCATCTGTCGTGAAGCCTTCAAGAGTGTCGAAGTTCGGTATCGATGACGGGAGCTGCTTCTTGTGCGGCGCGACGGTGTTGGACGGGTTCTCAACGGCGGCGTCAGCCATGATGAAGGTTTGGTGAGTGAAGCTTGCAACCGAGTTGCAGGGTATGTCGAGGGGCAAGAAGAGGAGCTGCAGACTGTTGGTGGGAGGAGGCTCGTGTGTACTTGTCGCAATGTTGATGCAGCTCGTGGAAGGCGCGATCGGGCTGTGGGACGCTAAGCTCCGATGTCACGTGCGAGTGACGATCACCCGCTGAGGTGAATGTGCAGCATCCCTGTCTTTCGCAGCAACATGCCAGGGCTTCTTTAACGGTGTCGTTTCTGTAAATCGTTTTGAAGCGCATACTGAATGTTATATTGTACGATGAACAATCCTTTACTATCATCTTTTTTTCTACGTCCCAGTCCTACCCGCTATTGCACTATCTAGCCCAACTCTTAGTGGTAAACACAGTGCTGAATCGTTCCACACTGGCTTGACTGTCACCACAGGATTCCCGTTCCAAAGAAACCGTGGTTTAACCCTGAACGAAGACACTCGGGTTGGACCAAAGTCGGCCAACGTGGGCTTGCCAATGTGGCAACCTGCAGGGTTGGCTAGGCCCTGGTCACTCCGCGAAACAGCACGACGGTCAACTTGTATGACCAATGGCGGCCTAAATACCACAGACTCTGTATCCTCTTCTAGCGGCCGACGATGAGTAGCGGTCTTGTTTGAATACCCTCATCTGTACAAGCCCGTTGTTGTGTCATTTACCTGTAGGATATATATTACAGTGCGACACTGATACGAACATTCCTCAGTCTTGCAGGTAACGAATCTCGACAGTGCTCTATGGTCCACTGTTCATGGCATTTCGAAGACTTCCATACACGAGAAAACACCAAGGAGGGGCATCAAGGCGTGGAGGCATTTTCGTGTCCAAGCATGAGGCGGTCCGGTCCACGGGTGTCAGGCGGTCTGGGTAGGGCCGTCCTCACCCACTTTGCGACCGCGCAAGATAACAGCGCGCCAAATCTGCAGGAACAAGAGTGATGTAATAAGTGGAGAGAGACATGTGCCTTCCGTGTCACAGCGGCCAAATGACCCGCGCGTGCGGAGTATTCAGATTGAGTTTAGACTGCGTGAAGTGCCGGCAACGAAGCCACTTCACTCGTCGGCGCGCAAACGCGTGTTCCTGATGCGCATGCGACACTGCTTGCTTTTTGACTTTTCTGGCCTCGCCGTTGTCGAAAGCTGCGCGCGATTGCACTCTGCTGCTGTAGAGGCTCGAGGCCGCGGGCTCAGATAACGTGATGCGCCAGAAGAGGCTTGGCTCCGCTGAATAAGCGCCTCCAGGTTTCTACCGCCCTCAAACGACGCATCGCGTCCAGAGCGTGCGGTACGTGAACTATCGACCGCAACCCAAGCCGACCATTTCCCGTCCTGCCCTGACGAGAACATCGACCTAGCGTAATACAGCAGTCGCGTGGTGTGTATTTTTGTTGCTTTTTGGCTCCCCCCATTGCTGGTCCGTACTGCGCCTCGTCCTGCGTGCTGCGTCCAAGTCGCGTTCATCCAAACATCAACAGGCTTGCTGACCAGTCGCTGTCCAGGTGGATTGAATGCTCTCACGTGCGCGTCCCTCATCGTCTCTCACGCTCCAACCGTCGCCTTCTCTCACCTCCTGCTGCCACCTCTCGTAGACGTGCACGGCAGGCGCGCACCATGGACTTCCAGTCGCCCCAAAACGGCATGTACGACCCCTCGAGCTTCATCGACCCGAGCGCAATCGCGAACCCACAGATGAACGGCGCGCGATCATATCCCATGTCATCAATACCCCAGAAACGGGATTCGACCGGCGCCGCGCTCTCCCTCTCGCGCTCACAGACCCCGTCGCAACAACCCCAATTTGGCTTCCCGCAACAACAGAACTTCACCAATACTCCGTCGCCGACCATGCAGAGCCAGAACTTCCCCGCGCAATTGGGCGCCCAGCGAATGCAGACCGCGTCGCCAGCCCAAAACCCACATGCGCCGCAGATGTCCCCAATGGGTTTCCAGAACTCTCCGATGAATCCCGCGTTTAACTCGAATGCCAATTCCCAGTTTCCTGTCCAATCAGTACAGCTGTCCCAAAATCTCCAGAGCCGACAGCAGGAAGCCCAAAGACAGTACGCAATGCGCCTACAAGCTCAAGCGCAGCAGCAGCAAATGGGGAACCTAGCCGCAAGCAACATGGCAGCGCAGCAAAGACATCAAGGTGGACAGATGCCCGGCGGAATGCCCGGTGGGATGCCTGGCGGAATGCCCGGTGGGATGCCTGGCGGGATGCCTGCTGGGATGCAACAACCAGCGATGCAGCCGGGTATGCAGCCCGGGATGATGCAGGCGCAGCAACAGCAGCAGCAGCAGCAGCAACAACAGCAACAGCAACAGCAGCAGCAACAGCAACAACAACAACAGCATCAACAGCAGCATCAACAGCAGCAGCAGCAACAACAACAACAACAACAGCAGCAGCAGCAGCAGCAGCAACAACAACAACAGCAACAGCAGAATCCCCAATACCAATACCAACAGTTCCTCAAGAATGTTGGCGCGCTCATGGCTCAACAACGCAGGCCATTCAACTCTCAACCCACAGTTGCCGGACGACCCATAAATCTGCAGCAACTCTACACCATAGTCATACGCTACAAGGGCCATAGACTTGTCACACAATCACAAGGATGGCCAAAGATTGCTCAATTGATGAACATCCACCCCCAGCAGTTTCCAAGTGCGTCCCAAGAACTCCAACAGATCTACGAACAGAATCTGGCTTTATATGAAAGTGCCTTTTTCCAAAGACAGAACGCTCTTAAGACGGGTGGACAACCGGGACAACAGATGGGCGGTATGGGCTCACAAATGTCGCCAACGAGGCCTCCTATGCCTGGCGGCCAGAACAATGTTTCTGCTCAGCAAGAGTATCTGCAGCAATTACAGAGATCTCAAGAAGCTATGAAACAGCAACAGCAGCAGCAGCAGCAGCAGCAGCGGCAGTCCGCGACTCCCATGCAGCAAACGCCGCAACCCCAACAATTCGATCCCCCCTCACAACCGCAACAGTCGACCCCTCTCCAGAGCAACGCGTCTCTTCCGAGCATGAACGGCCATAGCACACCACAACCAGAAGGCAGCGCACGGAAAAGCTTGACCCGACAATTGGAGGGCACACCAACGCAAGGACGAGAGCCCAGCCAGGCGCTAGCATCGCCATCGAAGCCTGGGGAACCGGCAGTTCAACCGGAGACAGCCTTGGTCAAGGTTGAAGACGTCGACAAGCCAAAACCAGTAATCGAAAGGGACGATGGGATTCGCGTTTACCAGCCACAATATCGACTGCAGGACAAATGGGGTGGGCTCGACTTCGAGTCACGCAACTTTGTGAACATGATTGAAGCTATCGTAACTTATAAACCAAACGCACCATTGTTGTCCGAGCTTGGTGCGATTGATATACGGGCGCTCACGATGAGTCTCCGGTCAGGGCTCCACGCAGAAACCCGACTTGCGCTAGACACGCTCACGCGGATAACATACGACAACACAATACAGTTCGATCTGGCCCAATGCGAAGACCTCACGGACGTGCTGGTGGACTTTGCAGAGGAGCAGCTAGAGATTCTGGGCAACGACAATCCTGAAGTTACCGATATTTTGGACCTGACTCCATACGAGGATGTATTGCACCACTGCCGCGCGGAGGCTGCCACACTGCAAGACCTTCCAGAAGCTGGTTCGAAAGCCCACATTCTGGACCGAACTGCTGATCGGTTATTGGCAATAACCACTATCTTTCGAAACCTATCATTCCTGGAGGTGAATCACGCCTCTTTGGTCAGCTTCCCGGTACTCAAATTCATTTCCAACTTCATTCGGCTCGTCGGCACCCGCGTACTCCTACTGCGGTCACACATCAACACCTTCGACTTTATGAAAGATGTCATCACCTTCTTTTCCAACACCGGTGCTAAGATCGTGTTACCTTCACGCGAGGACGCTTATGCCGTACTCCACTTCCTCTGTGCCTTTGCCCCTTGTCCTCGTCCGAGCGAGCCAGTCAAGTTCACACCCTTTAATCCTCAGATACATCGCTACCTCCCTTCCGCTGTCGACAGCCTGGCTAAGCTCCTGGCGCGCGATGACCCAAATCGAACATATTACAAGCAGATTTTCATCAATGAAGCGACTTCCACGCCTTCTTACGATCTTCTGACCCGCGCGTTCGGCCTAGCCATCTCCGTCGCGCCAGATCGAAATTACATCGAGAACAGGATGTACCAGATGCAGGGACAGCCCGTCAAGGAAGTGCGCATGTTCGAAGCGCGCATCGCAGAGTCACGGAAAGCCTACTTGATGCAAGGCATGCTCGCGGCAGACATACTTGCCAGCCTGGCTCCTGGAGCAGAAAGCGGACTGTGTCGCTCATGGCTTGAATCAGAAGATGGTTGGGCAGGCAGTCTGCTCAAATTCGCCATGTCTCTCTCCGCCACTGATGCTGCCATGCCCCACCAGCCTCCTCCGCCACAGAACATCCGTGGTCAGCGGCCCATGGAACACGATCGCGAAGGCTTCCACCTCATTGTTCATCGCGCTCTCTCCACACTTCAGAAACTGGGAGACAAATCAAAAGGCGGCGAGGCGCTGGTCAAGGGTGTACAAACAAACGGTCATGCGTCCGACATGATGGACGAGGATGATGATGACGACGACATGGACGTTTTCAGCTTCAACGGCACATCGTGGAAAGTCAAAGCCGACATTCTCCCGCGCAAGGAGACGTTGCGTAGGCGCCCTTTTGACGGCACAGCTAGATGTGCGGAGCTTGAATCAATTTTGCAAGATTGGATATCTCGATGAATGAAAGTGGAGGGAAAAGGGATGGGAGTATATCGGGTTAATGGAACTGGACTGTACATTATGAGATGTTTTGGGGCATGAGCAAAGTCTACCACTTCTTTGACTTGTGCTGCAGCTTCGTATGCAATATTCTTTTCAGTTCTGTATGTCTAGGTTGGTCATTTTGGTTTGAAGCGTGCAGAAATGGGGATGTTGAGGAAATACCATTGGAGAAGTCATTCAATCAATCACCATGTTATTGTTCATGTTCTATTGTAAATGCTTTCAGTGACTTCGTCGTGGTATCTGAGCGCAACGAGGATATCAGCATGAATTGACGAATCCGTCTATAATCCCCAAACACCGGTGGAAATGCCCAAACCCAAACCCCCTCCCAATGCAAATCGCATCACGTCGTAACTCATCACATCATCAAATCCCCGCACCCATCTACTCCCCACCACCTCAATCCCTCATCTCCCTCTTCCCCTTCTTTTTCCCCTTCCCCCCACCCCCACCGACAGGCACACTCTTCAAAGCCGCATGTGTCGGCACGTCCGCCAGATGCTTGTACAACTTGGTTTTACTCGGGAATGTCGCCTCACAGCCCTGACATTTGTGGGATACATCTGTGCCTGTGGCTTCGGCTTCGGCTTGCTTTGCGGCTTTTTTCATGCGTTTCTTTGCGGCGGCGCCGAGTTTTGGTTGGGGCGTGTCGGAGGTTACGGTGTCTGCGGTGGATGCATTGGTTGAAGTTAGGCCGTGCAGGCGGGCTTCGATGGTGGAACGGGAGGCGTATTCGTCGTCTGAGGCGGAGGCTGAGAGTTCGGAGTCGTTGGGTTGGGTTGTTTGGGGTGTGGAAGGGACATTTTCGTCGTCATCTTCGTGTGCGTCATCATCTATGCCGTCGTCTTGTTGTTCAGCATCATCTGCAACGTCGTCTTTGACTTCGAGGTCTTGCGTTTTAGCTGTGATATCCTCGATGGAATCTTCCATGCCATTGGTGTCAGACGCGACGCCTTCGACAGGAGTAAAGGCATCGCTGCTCAGGACGTCGTCGTCGAGATTGAGATGTGCGTTGTCTTTTTGCATTTTTCGCTTGAGTGCTGATATGGCTTTCTGGTGCTTCTTGCTCTTCTCATGTGCGTCGTATTGGCGTTCGCTCTTGAACGTCTTGTTGCACGCAACACACTCGTAGTGCTCTTCCTCAATCTCTTCCTCGGATTCCTCCTCCACTTCGTCTGGTGGCCGAGCTGTTGCCCAGCTAGGCAGTGCTTGTGCTTCTTGTTCCAGTTTTGCCATTTGTGCAGCACGCGCCTTCGCAGCCTGCGCTTTCCTTGCATCCCGCTGTGCCTTGGCCTGTTCATCGGCAGACTTTGTGTTCGGCTTGTATCGTGGATCACGCTTGCGGACGAAGGCCACGAGCGTCCTGACAGCATCGTTGAATTCCCGCTTTCCTTCGTCGCGGAACTTTTGATTTTCCTTCTCCATGGCTCGACGTGTGCGGCGGTCGGGCGCATCGGACATGCGATACTGGTCCATCCACGCGAAGCTCTTCACTGTTGCGAACCCGTGCCACACGGCGTAGAATTCACGAACCACATCTTCATGTGTATCGTCCTTGTGTCCGAATGTAGGGTAGTCCGGGACGCTCAGGTCCTCATAGTCTGCCGCATATTCCTCCTCCTTTGCCAGCTGCTCAAATGTCTCCCTTACGTACCCAAAGAAGCCACTGGGAGAGTCGGAGAAGTCTACATTGCCTCTGAATTTGCCCATCATCCGTGTCAAATCATGTGATGTCGTCATGCGCATATTGCCCTGGTAGTGGTCTTCAGTCGCACCTTCCCCACTACCACCCCGCAATATGTCTCCTTCATGGGCGTCATACCACGCGCGTTCCTGGTCGTCGGAAAGGACTTCGTATGCGGTCTGGATCTCGGCGAAGAGGGCAGTGGTGCGTTCGGTGTCGCCATGGTTGCGGTCGGGATGGAGTTCGAGCGCTTTCTTGCGATATGCTTTTTTGAGTCTGAGGATTGTTAGGCAAGATATTCTCTGAATGACGCAAATAATATTACTCGTCCTGTGTAGCTGTCCTCTCTACGCCCAGCAGCTCATAGTAGCTAGTCTTGATCTCGCCGCCACCCCCAGGTGCTTCTCCACCCCCAGTCGACTGTCCAGCGCCCATTTTCGATCAGCCCAGAATACCACGAGTCGTGGCGCTAACATGTGAGTAGAGAGGTTTTATGTTCTAGAAACTGCGGCCGTGCTACGGAAGAGTTTGTGGCCGATCATGGTTTGCTATGCTGCATATGACTGTGCGCAGAGCATATAATTGGTCTGGGCTACAGCGGCGAAAAGTCTGGTTCAGCGTCACTGAAAGGCAACAACGCCGACAAAGACCTCTTACAGTCTAGCCAGAGTACCGTCACAACTAGATAATCTTCAAGGGCCCATGTCGTGATTTGCTTCTTCTCATAAGGATGCTGTTCCCCCGCATCGTCACCAAGCATCATTTGGAGTAATTCGCATTTTGAAGAAGACGGCTAGCGGCTCTTTCTCGTCCCTGGATTGGATCACGAAGCGCATGACCTGCGAATCTTGGAACGCCGCACTCAGAACTGGCGACTCAACAACCGCGAAATCCCTCACCTCATCATTTCGACTCATCTTCAACATCTTCATCGCAACCTTGGTACCTGCCCTTAGATCTTTGAACGCGCCAGGGACCGTCGATCATATCGCAAGCATCGACTTTGGGAATCTTAGCCTGGCCCGTGGTACCGGAACCACGCCGCTTCAACCAGAGCCCTTCGTGGACCCACGTGCGACTCTTACAGGCTGACAGGCTGCGGTCGCCCAGCCCTACCACCAAACCACGGTTCCCACCTGCAACCATGAAATTCGGCCAAGCTTTCAAGCAGAGCCTCAAGAAAGAGGGTTTCCCACCCGAATGGGTAGACTCCGCCATTTCTTATTCGCAGCTCAAAAAGTGCATCAACAGACTCACCGATGAGCTGCGACAGGTGGGGCTCGATCCGGAGACCCTGTCGAAGCTGCTGAAGCATGTCGAAGACTTCAATGCTGCAACTGGTCAAGATGACGACCAAGAACGCCCCTTTGAATACATATTGAATTGGGACGAGTCTACAGAAGCAGCGAGCAAGTCCCGCAAGCCTTTTCAACCCAAACTCATCTTCTACGTCAACGAAGCGACTGGCGACTTGCACAGTGCCAAGCTCGATGAGGAGACCAAGCAAAAGCTGCAGATGCTGGCTGTTGAAACTGGCATGACGCAGCTACGCATCTTTGAGGACGATGGCTCGTCTAAGAACTCTCGCGACTCTTTCGATCTCTCTAGCCCAACCAGCCCGACCAGTCCTACTCATGCAAATAGTGCCAAACAAAGGCCCGGCTACAGGACTGTTGAGGTACCACTGAACTCAGACACCGAGTTTCTCACACGCCTTAGCGCCGAGGTATCTGGACTAGAGAAGCTGCAAAAACAGGAGGAGAAGAGGATGCACGTCCAAATAGAAGAGCTTGGCAAGGAAGTAGCCAGAATGACAAACCCTGACAAGAAATCGAATCGCAAGACACTCGCAGCGTGGCGTCAAGTCTTCCAGATGTATGTCGAGGAGGGTATATTCTTTGGCAACACAGAAAGCGACCACAAGTCACATGATGCGGACAAGGCCATGCAAAGACTCGCCGAGTTCTCGAACAAAGTCGCTCAGGCAGGCATAGTAGAGACGATGCAGAAGAAGGACAACATGAAGGCGCTCAACATGTTCATGCACGTCAACCGCGAGATCTTGCAAGGCCTTCGCTTCGGAGAGATCAATCACAGCGCCATGGTGAAAATTTTGAAGAGTACGATGACAGCATTATTACTTCTTTCAAGCTGAATGCTGACCAGATTTACAGAATTCGACAAAAGGACGGCCCTTGGTGTGAAACAGACATTCCCGCGACAGGTAGAGTATCCCGAATTCTCAGAACATCTTGCCAAAGCCGTCTGCGCAGAGGTCAACACCCAGATCCTAAGCAACATCCCCCAAATCGACGATTACTCATGCCCAATGTGCATGGAGATCAAATGGCGGCCGGTCAAGCTTCGGTGCGACCACGTCTTCTGTATCCGTTGTTTAATCGTAATGCAAAACAACAAGCAGCACAATTGCCCCTTTTGCCGCGAACCCACCGTCTTCGACGCAAATTCAGGTACGTCATACTCACACCATATACGACATCCAGGGATCACTGACTAATGCCAACCTAGACAACCTCGATCACGAACTCGCCGCCTTCTTGAAGAAGTGGTTCCCGGACGAAGTCAAGACCAAGCAACGTTACAATGAGCTCATGGCGGGCGTTGATCAGTACGGAGAGGTGTATGCTACTCAAAAGTGCGTCGTCGTGTGATGAACTCCACCTTCCCTGTTACTTGCTAAGATTAAGTAGGTTTCTGAGAAGCGGGTCACTATGGTAAGTTCTGCTAGACACCGTGAGGAAGACCTATGCTAACAAAATTGACAGGCACATGGTGTAGATATTTGGATGGCAGTTTGTTTGCAGAATCGTTTGATGATACCCCAGACCCACGAGAATAGATTTCAATAGTTTATAAATGCATGCCTCAGCTCAACATATGTACGCTCCGTCTCAAAAACTGTATGTTGTTTGGATAACAGAACTTTGCATGATTGACAGCAGATGAAGGGTGATGATGATGTGTCGTGCGGAATCTCGGAAGAGTAAGACTTCCGATTGATGCGTCACGCACTCCACAGCTCAACACGACCGTGTACCATCGTCGGCCGATGTTAACGCGACAATATCTATACTTGGTAGCATCGAGTTTGTACGTAAAGCATGCCACCGTTAATCGGCTGAGCGATGCCGATCTACCAACCACGGTACCGGGGAAGGGACGCCGGCCCATGGAAGGACAAAGCTTCGACTCAACGGTACGCACATTGCACTTGGGTGTCATTGCGTCTTGACCGTACTTTGAAGACAATGCCTTAAAAATATTGTCCAAGCAGTTGTCCAAGCACTGCTGCACGCACTGCCAGCGGTCCAAACCCACCATTACGAGGTAAAAGTAACATCGTCTTGTGATCTTCCATCTTGTTCGAGTACAGGCGTCACGTCTCCCAATGAAAACCGCCTTTCCCAATCCCAATTCGAATGTTTAGTTTCGAAGGCATATCCTCGGCATGATTGTTTTCTGGAGACGATAATTCTGCTTCTATTTCGAGCGGTCTGCAGGCCGAGGCCGTCACCAATCAGAGTTCAAAAAGGGGTCACGCCTTACTTCTTTCGTATACTCGCCAAGAGCTTCGGGCCTTTGCCGTGGCAATTGTAACGTCACTTCCGCCCAAGACCCTCTTAGACGGTCATGGGTGGGGGGCGCGCCACAGCCGGTGCTGGCCATGCCAGGGTCACAAAACTGGGGATACGATAATTTACGCTCGTGTTCTGACTGGATGAAGTCATAGCGTTGCACTTTGGTCGTCGGCGCCGAGTGCGGGCACTGTTCAGCCTCGTTCAGGACAAGCTTCGAGTGGGAGATGATGATGTAGGACAAGGGGAGGAAATACGAGTGGGCATTTGGATATATAACAGATGGGATGCTGCTCACTTCAAGCCCTCATCCAAACATCAACTCATCAACTCTACACTAATACTTAATCAACACAACTACCACTTCCAAACTTCAACAACACAACCTCCAAACCATCAACATGAAGTTCACCACCGCTGCCGCCGCTGCCTCCATGGCCGCTCTCTCCTCCGCCCTTCCCCAGGCGTCCTCTCCCTTCCCTCGCCCCGAGGCTGGTGACGTCTTCCGTCTGATGTCTCTCCGCAGCGCCACCCCCATCCATTACGGTGCCGTCCAGGCTCGTGAAGGCAGCCTCGTCATCAACTCGCCCGACGAGAACAACAAGACCTGCATCGTCAACGGCGACCGCGACAACGTCACCAACGGCATCAACTACGCTTCCTTCACCCTCGACCAGGAGACCGGCAGCGTCAACATCTACACCTTCAACCCCCCTCTCGAGCTGTACGTCGACCGCAGCGGCATGGGCAATGGCAACGTCCGCTACACCACCGGTGTCGAGCCCATCGGCAAGAACCAGGAGCGCGGCCCCTTCAAGATCAACGATGACGGTAACCTTGTCTTCGCTGCTGGTGGCCTTTCTGGCGACATTGGCTTCCAGGCCTGCCCCGGCGCTGTTGGCGGTGGCTGGAAGATCTGGCTCTCTGGTGTCGACAAGCCTGCTGGTTCTGAGGGATGCACTCCCTTCACCATGAAAGCACTTAAGGAGACCGAGCCCAAGAAGTGCCTCTACTCCTCTGCTCCCGCTTAAATATCTGAGCTTGTAGAGAAGTTTAGGGAGTGTGTATATTGATAGTCTTGGAGACGGGACTTTTTGTTTTCTATTGTGTATATATGATCGCATTAAAGCATCTGCATAGCCTTTTGTTTATATTCAGCTAGAATTGGAAATGATAATGTTCATCCAAAAAAACTCGTTCTTTCCTGCTGTGCTTCCTGACCTTTGCTGTTGTGTCATGTATAGACTAGCTCCATCGATCAATCATTCCACCACCCTTCTAAACCGCCATGAAACTTAAAAGCACAACTGGTCAAACAAGCGTCTCCCACGTGCACCACACACATCTTCAAGCCAAAACACATCATCTCACCGGCATCCTCCACCTCACTGAGCTGGCGTCGCTGACCAAAACCCAATTTCACTCCCCAACATGCTTGTTCCTTGTCCCCAACACCAACCGTCATTTCCGATAGTACCGCCGCACTTTAATTGGCACCTACCAAAAGCTGACATGAGCATGCTTGCTTACGCTGCGAACAGAGTTTTGCGCCCGCGTAAAGTTTCTCGTACCGTGCAGATTCTCGGATCGATCTCCCGTGCCGGAGAACAAAGTTGGGGATGGGGCCGGGGGCGGGTCGGAGAATTTCTTTGGGGGTGTAGTTTGCATATGGATAGTTGGGTAGGACATGAAGGTGTCTAGATAGAATTGGTGCTGAGGATAGAGACATGGGGCAGTCAGTACATAGTCACGGAATCATCAATGCAAGACAGCACGCAGCAGAAATCTTCATATCGAAAGTTAAATCAACGATGGGGTATTTGAGAAAAATCTACAACGAGAAAAAGATCCATTTCATGTCGCAATATACAAAGTAAAAAATAGGTATTAACAGCATCCTCTTCCCGTCTTCCTCCACCCACTCATTTACATCGCGACTCGCTTAGTACGAAGCAGGCGCACCGTCAGGGTACACGTACTTGATCGTCTGTACAGTCGGGCAGTAACCCGTCTCGCCCTGCCATGGCATACCAGCAACGGGGCTCTGATAGTTACCGCCGTTGTTGTTATCCGTGTATCCCGTGTTGTACTCGTCCTCAGCATAGTTGGCACTAGGGGCAACAACATCGATGGGCTGGGGAGTGTATGTGAACGGCTTGCCAGCGGGCTTGCCCTCGGTGGCCTTAGGCAGGACCTGGTAAGGCGAGGACAGATCGGGCAGCTCATCGGGGGACGCGGCAGGGATGACTTTGTTGCACTTTGCGGCGATGTGCAGGTTGGGGATGGTGGAGGCGTCGACTTCGCCCTTGTCGGTTACCACCTTGTAGTACATGTTGGCGGCCAGGTAGGGCTCGACGTCTTCGGGCTTGAGGGATGCGAGGTAGCCGGCGGCTTCCTTGCCCTGGAGGCAGGTTGTGAGAGGCAGAGAGCCGCGGGACATCATGGGGGCGGAGCCGTTGCCACCACCGGCCATCATGGGTCCAAGGATGCCATAGGCGCCGACATAGTTGGGGTCCTGGGTGTAGTCTTGCGCTGGGTCGTAGTCCTCGACAGCCTCGCCGGTACCGTTCGTGGGGGTGTAGGAAGGCGCAGCGGAGGCAGTGGGGTATGGGCCGTGTGCAGAGGCGGTGGCGTTGCCGTAGGGAGCGGTAGAGTTGGTGGTCGCGTTACCGTTGTTACCGATGAAGCAGTGGATGGTATAGGAGCCGTCAATCGCGAACTTGTCGGCAGTGATGTCGAGGACGTGGTTGTAGTCGCCTTCCTTGAAATCACGGCCGAGGTATTGTCCAGTCCTCTGGTTAGTGTTGGCGTCACGCTTGGTAAGTTGACGAGAACCAGCACCATAGAGACGGGTGACAGCCTGAGCGACCTGGCTGTATGAACGATCGCTTGTCTCGGGGTAGTAGTATCCGAAGTTGCGGGTCTCCCTGACGTCGTTGCTGGTGAAGTATTCGCCGTAGGTGCCCTTGGTAAAAGGCTTGAGAGGAGTTCCACCGTTCTTCGACTCGCCTTGGTTCCACTGAGCCATGGGGCGGGGAATGTTACCATTGGCGACCCAGGTGTCGGGAACGATGTACTGGTACATGTTCAACAGACGGTCAATGTTGCAGTGGTGCAGCCAGAAAAGCGGGTCAAAAGCGGACATGTCGAGGTAGTACATGTGTCCTCCGGACTCTCCACCGGCAGCGTTGTGAACGGCATCGTGGACGGACTCGAAGCTGTCAGTACCGCTGCCGCTAAGATCAGTTCGGACACCAATCTGCGAGGTGGATGCGTATCCCCAGGACTGCTTGCTGGCGAAGAGAGCAAAGACACGGTCACGGAGAGAGACGCGCATGCTATCAAAACGGCCGTTCATTTCGTTGTTGTTGCTGCGGGTGGGGTTTGCAACTGGGCGGCGAAGGGTCTGGGGGAAGCTGTTCCAGGGACCACCACCAATCTCAGCGGGCAGGGAGTTACCCCAGCTGTACGAGTAGAGCGGGTTATTGATTCTGACTTGGCCCTGGGGCTTGGTGACAGTAACCTGCTGGTCACGCATCTGAGTAGGGACAGTAGGTCCGCCGTTGGTCTCTTGCGCCCAGTCCCAGTATGGCATGCGGAGGGTAGCCGCCGCCCTGTTCCATCGGTCGCGCTGATCCTGGGGGAAGTCGTTGATCACCTCAGTGACTGCGAGGTACCAAGCTTGCTCAAAGATGGCAAGGTAGGGCCTGTGCCATGATCCAAACAGGTTGGAGTTGTGGGGGCAGAAACCTGCCTGGTTGACGAGGGGAGTGGGGAATTTGTTCCAAGTGGTAAATGGACGACCGTGGACACCAGCAACCTGGTAGTAGCTGAGAGTGTCGCCTTTGTCCTTGCTCATGAATCTCTCCATACCAAGGAGGTACAAGTTCCACTGATCGGCATTCTTTCGCCAACTCACGGATCTCGAGACGAGGGTAGGACTGGCGTCCATTGCTGTCACAGTCTCCCCACCATCGGGTTCCAGTACTGCAGACACCGCTAATAGCAATGTAGGGACCAATGTCACGCTTGGCAAGGGCACCAGCGACCTCATCAATATGCGCCTTGATCTCATCGTTGCGACGATGGGCGTGGTGGTGTGCGCCGTGTTGCGACGCAACAGTAATCTGGAGTAGTGCGAAAAGTGCAATCAACATGGTCATCATGCTCTGGGGTTTGCTGAAGTTGGCCATATTGCTGAATGTAATGGAGCTTTTGTTGTAAAAGACAGGCTGAGCAAGCGTCAAAGAAACGACTCTACAGCTCGAATTAGGGATAAAGAAGTGGTGGGTGCTAAAGAGCGTAACGACCTTGGACAATCCCAAAGGTCTAGTAAAGAAAAGGTCCTCACAAGAGACTTCGACGTCAAAGAAAGACAGCGAAGAATCGAAAGTTTGGCGTAGCAAGCAGGGGCGGGCTGCTGACGGGGTCATATACCGAGACAGGTCTATCCTTAGCCATGCTGGACTGGGACTCGACCGATCCCATGTTGCCCATTAAGACACGAGGCAGTGGAGACAGGCCTGTGTGGCGCGTCGTATTCGTTGCCATATCGGCAAAAAATAGTAGTGATTGGGTGGGCAGGGCCGGCAGTGGGGATGGACAAGCCCCTGGTGGCCCCGAAACGAACATGCGCCAGCGATCCGCGAGCCATTTCCCCTGACTTGACCGTAATAGGCCGTGGCCCTCGCGCGCATGGGCGTTCGATGCTTTTGATTTGGGAGCCGCCTGGCGCTGACGAACTATCCCGGCCCGTCTCACACCACACGAGATGCAGAGAGACGTGGTGTCTGTCGAAATGACGATAAGCATATATTCAACGGTGCGACCAGCCCACCTGGCATTTTGGAGAGCGGCGACACCAAGATGCGGAAGGCCGAGACATAAGAACGAGCCATGGTACCGCGGAGACATTCGCGTGGTCTGTGGCTTCTGGAGCGCCTAGCATTCAGCCATTGTGCCTCAGCACGCACCATCTGATGAAGCCACCGCTGCAAGCAGAGGACCGGCGTCGCTAAGGCGCTGCGTATACTCGCATAGGAGTATTCTGGCCGCCGCCTGGTTAAAATGCCCTTTGCATGTTATCAATGCAAGGTCACAATTCTACCACAGTGCAGCAGCACCGGGGTTGCAGTGCGCATCGAAATCTGTCAGTGCCGGTCATTGTCGAAGTAAGGCACATATCCGACTGATTCCGACATGGATGATGTGGTGTTGTTAGCACCGCCCGCCTCGCTTATGGATAACGGCTTCATGCAGAAAAAGCGCCTGTTGTTTCACGACGCTGACTTGTGAATGGCGAGCCTGTGCCGCTGTTTCAATCCTTTTTTCTCGACCCGCTCTGCAGCTTGACATGACATCAAGCTTCCAGTGCCTTGTGGAGACGGCGAGGCCCTCAAGGTAAATCCTCAACAACGAGCGGGGCCGTTGACCCTCAGCATGTGCAATCTTCTGGAAAGCCGATATGTGCGCGATGCGCGTTTTTGTGCGCCAAGGTCCACAGGTGAAATGGCAATAGCTTGGGAGAAAGCCTCAAGAGTCAATCGCAGCACTTGAAAGGAGATGTGCCGCTTCTCGTGTTCCAATGTCTTGTCGCTGAGTCGCCATGTTCTGGCGTCCTTTGGTAGCCCGTAGGGCATGTCATTCGTCAAAGGGTGCCAATACGGGCGACACCATGCTTTCCCTTTGACTGTCACATATCTCTTTCAACATCTGTCCGTTGGTCAACCATCTCTTGTTATCAGCTTTCGTTATCTCCTTGTTGTACACGGGCTTGTGCGCGTTACATCGTTGTGTACAACCACTGGTGCGACGGAGAAATACAAGGCGAGCCCATGCAAGGCTTCCAAGTCTACATCGCGAGGTCTAGCGTGTGGCTGCCACCTGCATCCTTCAGCTGGTCACGCCACACATGTACAACGCAGACCCTTGTTTGTGCTACAACAGAGTAGCATGTATACCCAGGCTTGTCCTTTACGGACACATTCTGTGGTTCAGACACACTACTACCACAAAAATCATCCACTATCCCTACCGCTACATTCTCAACACTACTAGCTAACCAACTAGCCTCTAATTTTTGCGTTAACCTGTCCCCACGTACTTTCATTTAATGTCTTGTTGTCTACTTCTGGGTCGGTGGCTCGTGCTTGCTCAACGCGGCGTAGCTTTCTATCCTGAGTCCATGAAAGCTCGTTCTGTGCAAGTTGCGTGCTTCTTCTTTCTAGAACGAAGGATTCTAGATGGAATGCACCCTTCGCAAAGCAGCAGCTGTGCCGATGCGCGCTTACCAGACCCGAACCACGGTATGGTAGGCACAACCACTCCAGACCCTTGGCAGAAAAAAGGTTGCACTTCCACTATAGCCAATCGTCACAATCGCAATCACCCGGCACAACGTCGATGGCATCAAATTAGACATGTTGCTATTATCATTGTACATAATCCTCAAAGAACTCGACAACTCCGCCGAATCCCATCCCAAGCCCCTCAAATTGTAGAATCATACCATCGCAAACTTCAGTGTACAATCCGCAATCCACCAGCCAGGCCTGAACTACAATCTTTCCTTCAATTTCTCCACTACCTCTAACACCCGCTTAACCTCACCACTACCCTCCCTCTCATGCTCTTCCTCCCCACCACCTTCTTCCCTAACATCTAACTCGCCACTCTCCTTATCCCCATTGATCCCCTCCAAAACCCTCCTGACCCTCTTCCTGCCCTTCTCCTTCTCCTCCTCCGTCATGTTCCCGTCCCTCTCCCGCTTCTTCAACCATTTGAGCCTCTCCGCCTCAATCTCCACGGCCTTCACCTCCCTCGCCAAAACACTTGCTTCAAGCTCCGCAAGACTCATATCCCACTTCAGAGCAAGCAATCCTTCTTCAACTTCTGATAAGCGTGCTTTGAGGTCCGCGACTTGGGCTTCAAAGGCAAGTGTGTCCGAGTGTGCGGGAGACATTTTTAGTTCGTAGGGTTATTTAGAAGAGGAATTTGGATGTGGAAGTGCGCCGGGGAAAATCTGTGTTCGATTCACAAAAGGTATGGTGTATCAAGGTAAACATCATCCGAATGTATGAAGATTGTTTTTCTCATACAGAAGTGCGGATTTCGTTCGAAGGGTCTGGAAATTGTACATTGGGAAACGTTTGGACAGATTGTCAACCATGGTAGATTATGTTCTCAGGCGAATGGAACGTTTTTGGGGGGGGGGGGGGGGGGACTCTTTATCATTAAACTTTAAATTGAATGAAAGTTGCTCTGCGCGGGTCCTGGAGGGCTACCCACCCCTGGAAGCTTGTACAATAGCCAATATATCGACCGGTCTTTACATATTCTAGCGCGTACCAAAAAATGGCCGACCCAACAACAGCCTGGTGTGAAGGGCTACACGCACGTCAAAATCCGCATCTTGCAAATTGTGCGGGTGTGAAAATAGTCAGGGTATCATATCGCAAAACCACACGTTTACAAAAGCAACAAGATTGGCCGTGATATGTCTCTCCATCCAAAGTTTTTTGCCCTCCAATCCGGCTACGACGCCCGGGCGCCAAAATTCCTACCTCCCACAAACGAGAAAAAAAAAGATAACCTGGGTATATGATCTCTCCTACCTAAAAAAACCTGCCCTTCTCACCACTAACGGTCCGTTCCTCATCCCCTCCCTCCCTCTCAGCCTCTACCGGAACGCACCCCTCAATCTTCGAATACAACTCCGTAATCCAAGAAGTATACTTCGGAATCACTAAGGCAAAACCGGGCTCTTAAACAAATCTCCACGCGCGGGCGTTTCTGGCGGGACAATCCGTGAAGCATACTTACTAAAACTAGTCTCTCACCCGCATATAACTCTCGACATCTCCCGGAAAGGGCGGGGC